TGGCAAGCATCCTCAGATGTTGTGAGGTCTATTGTAGGTTTATTTGGGCTATATGGCCATGTTCTAGAGGCATTCTCTCCTGATGTTTCGCCTGCATCTATGGCAAGCGTCCTCAGAGGTTGTGAGGTCTATTGTAGTTTTTTTCCAAGCTATATGGCCATGTTCTAGAGCAGGGGTCCACAAACCTTTTAAAAAGAGGGCCAGGTCACAGTTCCTCAAACTATTGGAGGGCCGGATTATAATTTGGAAAAAACATGAATGAATTCCTATGCATACCACATATCTTATTTGTAGTGCAAAAAATCACTTAAAAACAATACAGTAATTAAAATGAAGAACAATTTTAACAAATATAAACTTATTAGTATCTCAATGGGAAGTGTGGGCCTGCTTTTGGCTCATGAGATAGGATTGTTGTTGTTGTTGTTGTTGTTGTTGTTGTTGTGTGCTTTCAAGTCATTTCAGACTTAGGTTGACCCTGAGCAAGGGCCGGGTAAATGACCTTGGAGGGCTGCATCCGGCCCCCGGGCCTTAGTTTGAGGACCCCTGTTCTAGAGGCATTCTCTCCTGACATTTCGCCTGCATCTGTGGCAAGCATCCTCAGAAACTCTGAGGGTGTTTGCCATAGATGCAGACGAAACGTCAGGAGAAAATGCCTCTAGAACATGGCCATATAGCCCAAAAAAACCTATGACAACCCAACATTACAACTTATACAAATATCTATCTATATAAATAAAAATGTAATGTTAGTTTGTGGGATTAACATAACTCAAAAAACCACTGGGCAAATTGACACCAAATTTGGACAGAAGACGCCTATCAGGCCAACGAGTGACCATCACTCATAAAAACACTGAAAAACGCAACACAAGGGACTTAGAGAACCAAAAAATAAAAATTACATTACAACGCATGCGCAAAACCACATATATACACATATATACACACACATATGCACATATATATACACACAAAACACATATACACTGACTGGGCCACTGCAACGCGTGGCAGGGGACGGCTAGTACAACAATAAAACGATATCATGATGTATGTTATCCGTACGATTATATTTAATATATTAGTATTAAGATATTACAGTATTATATTGTAGTATTAGTATTATATTGTATTACATTGTATTATTGTTAATATATGTAAATAATGATAATAACTTTATTGGGTTATTGCTGTGATTTTTTTCTGTGCTGTATGGCCATGTTCCAGAACCATTCCCGACGTTTCACCTGCATCTATGGCAGGTACCCTCAGAGGTGCCTGCCACACATGCAGGCGAAACGTCAGGAGAGAATGCTTCTGGAACATTGCCATATAGCCCGGAAAACTCACAACAACCCAGTGATTCTGGCCATGAAAGCCTTCAGCAATACAATAACTTCATTCTTATATCCTGCCTCCATCTCCCCAAAGGGACAAGGGGCTTACAAATAACACAATTAAAAATAACAAAGCTTACAAATAACACAATTAAAAACACATAACAGTAAAATATATTAAAACAGACCAATAAAATGTAAAACATTATAAACCAAACATCAAACAACCAGTAGCTGAAAAAAGTGGGCACGTGCAGATATGAAACTAATAGGGCAGGGCAAGGGCTTGTGCAATTGAAAACTGCAGAGCTGGGGCTCGGAATAAAGTGCTAGAGATCCAATCAAAAGATTAGATCTAGGCAGACTTAATCAGTAGCTAAACCATTATTCAAAGGCACATTGGAATATCCAAGTCTTTCCGAAAGGGGGGCAGGGTGGGAGCTAATCTAATTTCCCTGGGGAGAGAGTTCTAATATAATATATTGGTGGCCTTTGGTGCAGCCATTTAAACCCCTGAGTTGCTGAACTTGCAGACCAAAAGGTTGGTGGTTCGAATCTGGAGAGTGGAATGAGCTCCTGCAGTTAGCCCCAGCTTTTGCCAACATAGCAGTTCGAAAACATGCAAATGTGAGTAGATCAATAGATACCGCTCCAGCAGGTAGGTAATGGCGTTCCATGCTGCCATGCTGGCCACATGACCTTGGAGGTGTCTACAGACAACGCCGGCTCTTCAGCTTAGAAATGGAGATGAGCATCACCCCCCAGTCTGACATGACTAGACTTAATGTCAGGGGAAACTTTTACCTTTACTATACATTATTAGCATAGCACAATATTAGCATTATATATTATTATATTGTGCTAAACCACTATACTGCAACATTATTAGTAATGCTGAACCATAGCTGAACAAGCATTAAGAGGTTCGATAATCATTAAAAACTTAATGTATTATTGAACATTAAAAGTTAAAATCAACGTAAAATTGCCCATTCTGCTTTGCAGAGGAACATCTTCATACCTTTCCTGAATGTCATGAGGGTGGGAGCCGAACTCCAGAAGCGAGTTGTATAACTTAGGAGAATGTACCTTCTCTAGTAGCTTTTAAGTGTGTGTTGGCCAGAGTCTGTGTCAAAATTAGGGTCTCCTTACTATACCTTAGAGGTCTCTCCGGGCTGTTTGAGGGGGACGACAGGGACACAGTGTCTCAAGTACACTGAACCAAAGTCATGCAGGGCTTTATAGGTTAAAACCAGCACCTTGAATTGGTTAGACCACACCTGGAATATTGTGTCCAATTCTGGGCTCCACAATAGAAGATATTGACAAGCTGGAATGCGTCCAGAGGATGGCGACTAAAATGATCTGGGGTCTGGAGAACAAGCCCTATGAGGAGCGGCTTAAAGAGCTGGGCATGTTTGGCCTGAAGAAGAGAAGGCTGAGAAGGAGACATGATAGCCATGTATAAATATGTGAGAGGAACTCATAAGGAGGAGGGAGCAAGCTTGTTTACTGCTGCCCTGGAGACTAGGACGCGGAACAATGGCTTCAAACTACAAGAAAGGAGATTCCATCTGAACATTAGGAAGAACTTCCCGACTGTGAGAGCTGTTCAGCAGTGAAACTCTCTGCCCCGGAGTGTGGTGGAGGCTCCTTCTTTGGAAGCTTTCAAACAGAGACTGGATGGCCATCTGTCAGGGGTGCTTTGAATGCAATTTTCCTGCTTCTCTGCAGGGGGTTGGACTGGCCCATGAGGTCTCTTCCAACTCTATGATTCTATGAATTGGGCCCAGAAACAAATCAGGAGCCAGTGGAGTTGTTTCAACAGGAGTGATGTGCTCCCTGGAATCAGCTCTGGTAAGTAACCTGGCTGTTGTTCTCGGGACAAATAGGAGTTTCCGAATACTTTTCAAAGGCAGTCCCATGTAGAGCACATTACAGTTATTATCTGTAATAAAACGATAGCAACTACCAGGTGCCGCCAAAGCTGCCATACATAGGGAAAATGTAACTAAATGTACCTTTATGTACAAAATAACCATGCCAAAATATTACTTACATGTTGTATTCCTGAAAATATTATATATATAATATGGATTTCTTAATTTTTCTGTGTATGCAGCCTTTTGGGACACCCTGAATGTTACAACTAATTGTATGTGTCAATATGGAAAGTATTAGTGTAAAGAAGGTCTCTATCAGGAGCCTCAAAGAAAGGGAGTGTGTCAGTGAGGGAAGGCTGCAATCAGGCTTTATGCCTCATTTGTTTAGATTTGCAGAAAAGGAGCCTGAATTGCCCTGAAGGCAGCAGACAATGGGGAGACTAATTTCCAAAATGCCATTCAGGGTGCATTTGGAGTCACCTTGCATTCCCTCTAATGTAGAGCAAAGATTTAAAGACAGAATGTCGTTTTTCCTGGAGTAAATTTTAAAGGCACCAGATCCACCTATGACTAAGAAAAACCCTATGAAATTTATAAGGTTACAGTAAACCAGCAGGCAACTTGGAGGTACAGTAGACTGGCAGTTAAAGAGAACTCAGGCTATTAAAATGCTCAAGCAGCCAGCAAAATAATAATAATAATAATAAATCCACGAAATTATATTGCCAATAAAAAAGCAGTTTGTGTTAGATTAGGTTAACTTTCTCTTTGTTTTAATTTGCTGTTAATTACTCTATTTCAATATCAATATATCAATACAGAGTTTATGGTATGGTAGAATATGAGGTATAGTATTAGTTAGGCCGATTTTTAACATTAACATTCAGGCAACCAGAAATACACATTCTCTGTAAGCCACGTTTCAACTAAGGCATCATGGATTGAGGGTTCTTGTTTGTGTTAATTTGGGGCATGATAGAAAAAGGATCAGGTTTAGAAGCAGGCAGAGATGAATGAAGTATGGAAAGTGGCTGCTTGCATTGTGTGGAAAGAAGTTTCTTTTCTCTCTCTGATTCAGTCCAGGAAATTCCCCTTTGTGATGGTGTTTCAAGAGGGTGACAAAACAATGGGGCAGGGAAGGAATGCAGTGTTGATAAGTAATAGATGACTGAAGATGACACTGTTGTCTTTGGAACCCAGGATCCATTATCACAGGAGAAAATATTTTTAAAGGCATGTAGGAGAACTGTTCCATTGATGCTATGGTTTGTTTGTGGAGTTGTGATGTAAATACAGATTTTGTGAATATATGAGGGGGCCATCTAGCCCTGGAAAGTGAGTAAAAGGAGTTGAAGAATCTTACCTTTATCTGAAAAATAGATTGATATGGGTCTTATCTTTCTGTGGGAGTATGTAGTTGAGCACTAGGAAAATATTTATCTGAACTGTGGGAAATTTCTCTTGTTACGCAATCTTGGCTAGGAGTAATATTTGCAAACAAAAGAGTTCAGATTAAGTCTGGTATCCCTATTTTTCAAAAGTTATAATCCTAGATTTTTTTTAAAAAAAATAGTTATGTTTGCAGTTTTTAAAAGGAGATACATTTCCATCTCTCCCAAACTATGTTTCTTACTAGAAACTATCTCTTGACTTTTGTTTTCAGACTTCTGCTCTTGAAGCCCGTGTGCCAAGAATCCGATGTTGGGCTCGGTTTCCTGGCAGAAAACAGCAAATCATCCCATGAGAACTACCATTTCTAGCCAAAGGAAGGGGTCCAACAGGAATCAGCATTTGTTCTTTCAGGTCTGGCAGCAGGAAAGAGCGCAGGAGGTGGAGTCCGTTGAGTTTGAAAAGAGAACTGAAAGGTAAAAGGATCAAAATTGTGCTGGAATATAAGCACTCTTAAAGTACTGCATCCTGTTTCCTCAAGCTTTCGGAATCCTTCAAATTTTATTGTAGTGAGGGACTGGAGGTCCACTGTATAGTATATTGTGTTCTTGTTGGAAGTAATGGTTTATATATTGTTATATATAAAATTATTGCTATAACTGTAAGTAATGTTTTATATAGTTATAATGTTTTATTTTGTTTTATACTGATGTTATGCATTTTAATGTGTCACATTTTAAACTGTTGATTGGGCTTGGCCCCATGTAAGTTGCCCCAAGTCCCCTTTGGGGGGGGGGGGGGAGATGGAGGTGGGATACAAAAATAAAATTATTATTATTACATTCCTTTATTAAGAGTACTTTAATTGTTGTCAATTTTTGTAATAGAATATATTTATTAAATAAGGGAATGCTAGATTTTTATGTAACCTGGAAAAATAATGTACTTGAAACAACCCAAGATTGACAGATAGTGTATAAAAGAAAAGGGTTTGGTGGCTTATTCTGACAGAAAGTCTAGACATGGCCTGATAACTCCAGGAATGTTCTTTTGATTAAAATATGAGCTGTGGCAATTTTGTTGTCAGAAGTGTTTTCTTTGCAAGCCATTCCATTCTGATATGCTTTGAATTAGATCTGTATAGCAATTGGTTACCAGCTGCAGTTTATCAAGCTCCTTTTTACTAAACCTTAAGATCACAAGGACCGTAAAGCCATTTTGTTTAGTTTTCAGATGGTATGTAATAGGGGTGTACGATCGATGAAAAAAATGTTTCAAAACTCATTACAAAATTAGGGAGCGTCAGCATTTTGTTTCTAAAAGTATTGTTAATGAAAAATTTGTAATTATAACAAGAGTAAAGAAATGTTATTTTTTCGTTAGAATAATTGTGCAAGTGGGGAAATATCAGGGGCCCCTTTCTCCCTCATTTTTACAGCTATTGATGTGAAACTTGCTACAATGGTAGAACACATTTACCACTGTTGGTCCATTGAAAAAAAAAACTTTAAAAGCCACAACAGCTATCTCATTGAATGTCTTTCATACTAACCCATAGAACTTACATTTAGGGATTTCTTCCCAGCCCAGCCCAGCAATTTAGTTATTGGAAGTATCAGTCAATCATCTTTGCAGATTCAACAATTTATTGGAACTGGCTACCTGCCGCTATGGAGGGACAAATCTATCTCCTATTCTGATTTGGGCTTTCTGATGCTGAGCAGAATTCTGGGAAATGTAGTTTAGAACAGGGCCTTTTGAATTCTCTGGCATAAGGATCCTCCCCTGCCAAATGACATTTCCCAGAATTCTGTGCTCTGTCTCTTTCCCAGCTGACTCAACTTGTCCTGCCCTGCTGCTTTCATTTCCTCATGGGGAGAGGCAGCCTCTTAAAGAGGAATGGCAGCCTTTCTAGCTCTGCTTTTCTTCCTTGTGTAAAACTTTGGGAGGCTTCCAAGATTTATAAAATGCAAACAAAAAAGCATTGAGTAAGTTTTGGTTCTTAAATTTTTGGTGCAGGCCATTCCTGCGCATCGGATATCATGACATAAGTACAAATTTAACAAATGTGATATGACTAATGAAAAAAAATGCACACCTCTAGTATGTATGCATTATAATTTAATCTCTTCTAGAAAAGATTCTGCTTATTATACTCGGAGCTTCAGGTAATGCTTTCATTTTCCTTGGCATTGACCTCTGTGCTCTTCCTTTCTCCCCTCGGTAGGTGACACTTAAGTTGGAGATGGGCGGTGGAGAAAGGTTCAACATTCCATCTAGCCAGCCCAGAAATGCTACCAAGAGCCATCAACAACTGAACAACAGGAAAAAAAGCAAAGATCAAAATTCCCAGATGAAGAAGATCCACAAAAAGGAGAGGGGACATGGGTGCACTCCATCCTCTGCGGCATGGCAGGCCATGCAAAATGGGGGAAAGAACACAATACATTTCCCAACCAACCAGACTTGGAATCCAGCTTTATCCCACTCATTCTTCATACCTCAAAGCAATCAGAACTACGCTGGAGCGAAATTCAGTGAGCCACCGTCTCCAAGTGTTCTCCCCAAGCCGCCAAGCCACTGGGTATCTGTTTCACTTAATCCCGCTGACAAAGAAATCATGACTTTTCAACTTAAGACCTTGCTTAAAGTTCAAGCTTGAGGTACCACATTAACTGTACATTGGGAAAAATGGCACACTTAGTTTTGTATTGCACAGAATGTATCCAGTAGTAGTTTCCAAAATCAATACAGAGACACATCTAATAGAAATAGGTTAACTGTGTTAGTAGGTGGTTGAATTATGGATGGGAAGAGCACTTCCCATTGACTCTTTTGGTCAGTGTATGTGTGTGTGTGTGCTCATTCAGCATAGTTTCCAGTTCTCTTTGCTACTGCTGCACTGTCGCAAATGAGTAGGTAGTCAGAACGTGTCAGGCCATGATCTTCGGTCTTTTTGACCATTTAATTTCAATTGCTTTTTGTTTTCAGATTGCTTCATTGTGCATGCCTTTTTCAGACTTGAAATCAGTGCCAGCCAACCAAATTTCCAGCCATTGCAGTGCAATACAGTTGCAAAATTGGTTTAATTTGCCCACATACTGTGAAATAGTGTAGGCATTTAATGTCAAATTAGTATCTTTTTTTCTTAGAACATTTAGGTTTTTTGAAAGTATGACATCTAAAATTGTTAGAGTATGCTGTCTAGATTGTAATGTGCGTGTCTTAGTTTACTAAACAGTGGGTCCTCCAGATCCATGATTTCCAGCAGATCATCATGCTCCATATTAGTAAGTGATGGCGCATTGCTGCCATTTAATAATATTGGGTATGATCATCCGCATTTTTGATTTCTGTGACAGGTCCTGGAACGGAACCCTTGCAGATAAGGCAGGCACATTGTAACCCATGATCTCCTCACTTGGAATGGCAGTTTGGGCAGGCATCTATCTACCCAAAACCCTGTGACCAAAATGTAGAATACTTACATTAGGAAATTTCAGTCTGTATAACATTTCTTGAGTAAGAATAGAAACCTGGGCATGCAGTTGATCTCTAAGTTGGTTTTTTTAAAAGCACATGCCTAGATATGTATTATATTGAACACAAGCAACTTTTATGTGTGTCAATTTGAATAACTTTTCTATTGCCAGGTGACTGCCAAAAGCATCTTGAGTGTTTTACTTCACAGAGAATTTCACAGAAGTGTGTTTGAAACACATTTTGTGTTCTGTATCATCTGCTGAAGTGTTGAGGCCAGTCAAATTGAAGAACATGTAATATAAGCCTGTGTAGCAAAGGTGAAATCATCTTTTAGATATGGAAGAAAGAGCCATGTAAATACATGTAAAACTTGTAGCATATGTAAATATATGCTGGGCTTTCCTGCCAAAATAAAGTATTTTTAGTACAAAATTGCTGAATGTAAAAAGACCATGCTTAAGTGCATGGCATGATGGTTTAAAAAAAAATAATTTTGTAAAAAAAAAAAAAGAAAAAGCAAAAACTGAAAGCACATGTTTGTGCCATTGCACTTAAAGTACCAGCAAAAGTATATGCCCATTTATAACAGCTGATAAGATGGGGTTTAAAGTCAACTGGGTACTGGAAAAGATGTTTTAAAAAGGTAAAACAAAAATAATTTTTTGAAATTTTAAAGGTGCATTACTCTGCTTACTTAACAGGAGCAGAACTCTGGAGCTGAACAGTATCCTTAGGTTTCAGTCAGTACCCTTTATTTGAACACAGGGTTTTTTTTTATTAAAGTAAAACTAATGTTTAGACTGTAGCCAGTACATCGATTGCTCTTATTTTATTGTAACGTGAATAAAGGCAAATGAGTATTAAGAAACCTCAGTGCCCTGGATGCCAAGATTCCATCTTGTTTTTGTGAAGGCCCGAGACTCCTGTTGGATTTTATTATTTAGGTTTGAAGTATGAATTTTATCTTTGCACTTTTCTTGGCAGTTTCGAATGAGGTCACTTGATTGCCTTGTAGAAACTGTTTCTCAGTTTGGTTGTCTTCTAAACTTTAGTGACACCCAACTTTAAAACATGGTGACATCTGAAATGTTTACAGTGCCTAAGTATATCAGTGGCCTGAAGACCCTAAAGCTCTTCACAGTGAATTAGCAAATGGCAGTACTAAAGGTAATTTCCAAGGGTAGTCCATCTCAGGCATCATATCTTAGCTACATATATATTTGAATTGTTTTTTGCAGACCGAATTTTAAAAAGCATTAACCAAGAAACCAAATAAATTGGATATTTTGCTCAAAATTATTTTGTCCTATATCCGAGTTTTTCCTGATATTTTAAAATTGCTATATCCCAGATGTAATTTCGATGTTCTAAATTTTGTATGCTTAATGTACTGCTCAAATATGAATTAGAAACAAAATTTAAATAAAAATCCCTAACCTTTTCTCCCCCTATAATGTGTTGATGTCTTATTTAATATATGGTGTACATCTTCCGTGCGTACATGTATTCTAGCAGAGAATTTAACAGTGGAATTAACTCGAATCAGTTTAAATTGGGATTATATTTTGTTATGTGATATAATCAAATGTATTGGAGAATTTGGAGGATTATGGCAGCATTGATCTGTTTTCGCTGGCATAGAGGGGGGAAACAGTTCTTATGGGCCCATATACATATATTTTCCTTATGCCTGAGGCTTAGGCCAGTGTAAACAAGATGCTACCAAGTAACTTCAGTATGAAATACAATGGAACATGCACTTTTCACTCCAGTTAGGCTCTTTTTATTGTGGTGTTCATGCTCGTCAGTGGAGCATTTCTACAGTTTTTAGTTGAACTACTTACAAAATGTTAGCTTCTTAAACATTGCCCCTTTCCCAATGCATGCAGATCTTTGAATTCAAGACTCTCACATTGATAGGACCCAAAGTCAGGGAGTCCCTGAGTTACAAACATCCAACTTCCACATTACTCAACAGGGGTGAGACGACAGGAAGTGAGAGAAATCTACCCCTTGGAAGGGAAATTTACCCCTGGAAGAGCTGTTATCATGGGGAAAGGTCTCAACTGAAGCTTTCTCACTAATCCTTGTTTCCACAAGCCATATTTTTCAAAATCCAATGACCGCAGGGACAAAAATTAAGGTAAGATCTTCTGAACAGGCCCAGACAGCAAAACAAACACCATTGGTGTTAAAGCCCTGCCCTATTTTATCCAAAGGCATATACAGTCACTTAAAAATGTACCTGTTCCGACTTGCATACAAATTCAATTTAAGAAACCTACGGATCCTATTTTGTTTGTAACTTGGGTACTGCCTGTATGTATGACAGCTTTTTCACCATTTTAAGACCAGGTGGTCAAAAAAATGCTCTGAAACCTCGTCGAATTGGACCCGGAGAAACTGGCCACCATTTGGCCCTCCTGGGAGATCACTTCAGTTGGCCAGTGCGAAGGAAAAGGTGGTATCGTGCACACTTAATTTCCACGAAGAGTATTGTATAGAAACTGGGATTACATTCAGAAGAAGATATTAATAGTAGAGAAACTACAATAAAATGCAATGACTACTAATAAAATTTAAGAAATAATGTTCAAAACTAAAGTTGTGGCTGTTAAGAAACTAGAAAAAGTCAGGGGAAATTATTTCAAACGTGGCATCTACAGATCATGAACTGCTGAACAACAAATAAATGGGTGTGAAAGGAAATAAAACCTAAAAATCTCACTTGGAAGCCAAAACCCAAATTTCCTCCAAATACATGCCTCCAGGTATACTGGTGATTATCCTTTCAGAGTTTAGTGTTCACAATGTGGATCTGATTTAACACAGTACACAGTCTTGTTAACTGAGGGATCTCCTAAAGCAGTCAAGCTGAACAGTATAGGACGTTTCTTTCCATCATGGATGAGAGAACCAATATTTATCCTTCAGATGAAAGGCCTTGTTTGGTACAGCTGCCAATCCTTTTCGTGATGCCTTTATTTTAATGAGGAAAAATTCCAAACCGGACTCATAAGCAGCTTAGAGCTGTAAATATACATATCAGCACAATCATCTTGTAAATTGTTGTGGGGAAGGTGGTTGCAAATATTCAAATATTGAGATAATGGAAGGCCACACACTGCACCATACTGGTTTGGTTATGCTCTTGAAATACTAAATTCTACACTAATTGGGTATTATCAGCAGAATTATGTAAACCATGTACATTTGTTTATCTTGCCCTCATATTTCAGCTCTGGTGGCACACAGCTCTTGTAAGGCATTTGTTCTACAGTTAAGATAATATGTTTACGTTATTTCTGTAATTTGCATAATTACAGACATAACCCATCAAGCTTGCTTTTAAAAATGGTTAGATGAAAGCAACTATATCTCTGAAGAAAAAATGTTAAGACAACCAAGCTTCTGATTGAAAATTGTTGGTACACTGACAAATAGAACCTATTCCAGTCTTAGAAGACAAATGTTGAAAATGTATCTCTTTCACCCAAAAAGATATACCTGTTCTGAATTCTTCCGAGCACAATTCAAAGTGCTGGTGTTAACCTATAAAGCCCCAAACGAATCCGGCCCAGTTTACCTGTCCGAACATATTCTCCCCTATGAACCATCTAGGTTGTTAAGATCGTCTGGAGGGGCCCTGCTCTCGGTCCCACCGGCCTCTCAGGCGCGTCTGGTGGGGACGAGGGACAGGGCCTTATCAGTGGTGGCCCCTCGACTCTGGAACTCTCTCCCACTGGAGATCAGAACTGCCCCCTCCATTCTGTCGTTCAGAAAACGGGTGAAAACCTGGCTATGGGGTTTGGCTTTCGACGAGTGAATCAATATTTCTGTGATCGGATAGATGACGATGAATGATGGACTACGAATTCACTATGACGACTGACCATTGTTATTATGTGATTGCATTTTGCTGTTATAACGTTTTAATTGAATATGCTATATGTTTTTAATGATTATTTTGTGATTTTATTGTTGGAAACCAGCCCGAGTCCCCCGGTAGAGGGGAGAAGACCGGTATACAAAATTGCTAAATAATTTAAAATAATAATAAATAAATAAATTGTCAGTTAAAATTTTACTATTACAAGATTTACTGAGTTTCTATTCCTTATGTTTATTGTAGCATGTTTGCCATATTTACAGCAAGCAAAATAAACTAGTTCTTCCTTGATTCAAACATAGATGTTTTAAAGCAGTACACAGTATTTTAAAAAGAACATATAAAAATACCCCTTTAGAAGCCTCTATAAGAAAGGAAATACAAAGTTTATTTCCACAACTTTCTTCTGACCAGAGCTGCACAGAAATGCTACAATTGTACAGTTTGTTTTCAACTATACAGCAGGAAGACGTCTACAAAAAAGTAAAGAACACAATATGTAAGTGATTGCATAGCAGGAACACGAACTTTTAACATGAAACAAAGGTTAGAAATACTATCAAATACACAATGATTCAAGAATCAACCTTCTTTAGGCATTTCCCACAACCAGAATTGAAAAAGCAACCTTTATTCTTATATGGTTGGCTGAAGTGAATTAAACTTAAATTTTCTACAGAAACATAATAATTCAGGATACTCAATTCTAGTGAACAGAAGCAGAGGGCTGTAAAATGTTTTGATATTGGCATACATGTTTCAAGAGAAAACCTAAAACAACAGAGTACTCTCTCAAGAACAATTTCAGCTATGCCATGGCAATTTTTCACATTTATAAAGCCAAAAGGAAAAGTAGCAGCTCTTCACATTCAGTGTGAACTCAGAAGACACATGATACTGCAACCGGAGCATTCTTTTTGTAATCTTCCTGAACAGTCTTGTTCAACCTATGGTAGGCCCTGATGAATGACCTCAAATTGTTCATTATGCTTGGAGACAGGGCTATTCATGAATACACAAGTAACCTAATCAAAGTTTAGTTCTATTTACTACAGACACTGATCTATCATGTTTCATCTGCACATTATATAGTAAGGAAACTTAAGCAATCTGTGATCAACTGATTGCTAAAACCTATGTTGCACAGCATACAATGTATTCATATTTACCTAATTATTTAAATGAATATTTTTTCCTTAAAAGGGTTAAGAGATTCGTCAAAAGGAAGCACCTGTATTCCTGACAAAATTCACAATAAGCTCTTCAGATGGCCTTTTTTTTTTTTTTGCTCCATTCTAACACTACCAGAACTGTAACTTCAGCAATATCAATGAGTACCCAATTCCATGTTACAATATCCTGTGAGCAGGCCATCTTGGCCCAAGTTGGGAAGGCAAACTGTTCCCTCCTTAATTCAAGTAGCTCATCTATACTTCACAGCAGTCACGGCTGTATAATAGCTGCTCAGTTTTTCAGCTGCACGGCAGGGGATTACTGGACACATTACACGGGGACTAGTTATCCTTTAATGATGATGTTGTTAGGACAATGGGGTCAATGAGGATGAAAGCCAAGGTACCGTAGATGCCTGAAGCATAAAAATGCAAGTATTTTACAAAAATATACATAGAAACACCACAAGGACCTCGTAGCTGCCCATTACATTTAACAAGATGGACTCTCTTGTATAAGATTTTTAATACTGTGTTTTAATAGTAGTAATTGTCTCCTACAGGGATGACAAAAATATTTTAAAGCAATGTTGCAACATCGTAACTTAAGTGAGTACCTCAATAATAATACATGCCTAAAAAACAATGTACATGTTTAGTGGCCACTGCATTTGGGACTAGCCTATGACCGGGATCTGGATTTTGATCTAGATCTAGAATGCGATCTCGACTGAGATTTGGATCTAGCTGGTTCTTTTTTCCTTGGTTCTTTTTCATATCTTGAGCTGGACTTATATTGTGTCTTAGAATCCGTTTTAGAGGTGCCTCTAGATTTAGTGCGAGATGCAGATCTAGAACGTGACTTAGCCTTCATTTCGTTTTTGGGTGGTGACTTAGAGCGTGATCTTGAATTGGACTTTGACCTTGAAAAAGACCTGTTACGGTGTCTGAACCTATCAGAAAGAGGAAGATAATAAACTTGAATATGGACAAGCTGCTAACAGTCGGGTATTTTACATTTAAATGTTGTACTGTTGCAGGCACACACTTTTTGGATTTTGAATTTGTTATAGAAAAGAGTGTTTACCTATCATTATCTGAACGACTTCTGCTACGGCGGCGTCTTCCAGCAGGTCTACTGCTAAAAAGGTACATCAGAAAAAGTAAACAGTGGCTTAAACCTTTACAATTTTTCACAAACCCCAAGTAAAGCTTTTTGAGAATTGCATTGGTATTTCATGTTTCTTCAATGATACAACAACTATTTTTGATGGTTCATGCAAGGTATGACAACTCCCATGCATGTTATTACTAGGGTGACAATATCTAGGTATCAGGCTCTCTCTTCTCCACTACATGGTCAAGCTAAGTACAACACTTACTTTCTAGGGCTATAAGATCTGCGATAGCTGTAGTCAAAAGAACGGCTTCTTGACCTCCTCCTTTCGTAACTGCGGCTTCTAGAACGCCTGTATCTGTCATAGTCATCGTAACGGGAAGAGCTGTATACGTTTCTTCCTTCTTTTGCTTTCATTTGGTTTGGTGCTGCAGAAAAAATATGTAACAGCAATTCTTTAATATTGTTGTTATGTGACTTCAAGTTGAGAGTGGTTTAGGTCAACCCTATTCTAAAGTTTTCTTGAGACAGATTTATTCAGAGATTGGCCACTGCCAAAAAATGTGGCTTGCCAAAGATTGCCCGTAAGAGTAGACTATCTAGTCCAGTATTCTTTCCCTACAGCGGACAATCAGATGGTTCCATGAGAGGATGTCTGTGTGTATAGTCACCTAGGCCCTTAGCAAATGGAGGTATATCACTATCATGACACGTCACCGAGAACCATATATTTCACAAAACGGTTGAGTCTCCATATCATCTATATGGGTGACTACATAGTACAGGTATGGGCAAACCCAGGCCCAGGGGCCAGATGTGACCCCTTGAACTCTTTTCTCAAGCCCTCCTCTCTCTCACCATCATATCCTTCCTCTCTTCCTTCTCTCTTCCTCCTTCCCTCCCTTCCTTCACTTCCACCCTTTCATCCTTCCCTTTTGTCTTTCTTTCCTTCTCTCTTTCCTTTATCCTTCCCTTCTTCCTTCTCTTCTTCCCTCCCTTCTTTTTCCTTCCCTTCCACCCTTTCATCCTCCCTTCTGTTTTGTCTTACTTTTATTCTCTCTTTCCTTTATCCTTCTATCCTTCTCTCTTCATTCCTTCCTTCCTTCTCTCCCTCTTTCTCCTTCCACCCTTCCCTTCCTCCCTTTTGTCCTTCCTTCCTCCTTCCCTTCCTTACTTCCATCACGGGGCAGCCAGTCCTCCTAGCAGGGAATGCAAGCATGCGGCCTCCTAAGTTAGAAAGTCTGCTCATGCCTGACATAGTATGTTAGCAAATTTTGTAGTTCAAATATATACAGTGAGAAGTAATTCAGTCCATCCTGGACATCTAGCCACTCAACCTTATACGTTAAGTGAGCTTTAGCATTTTAAAATAGATAATACCGGTTATCTTTTTCTCCCAAGCTAAAAGACACAGAATCTCAGGTGAATCCTAAGAAAGCTCTATGTGGTCACATAAACCCAATTCTATTTTCTCCCTCGTTTCTCTACTCAAATTTATCAACTTAATTCTCCGTTTCCACCCCCACCCCATGACTCCTATGAGGAATAGCTTGCTGGCTTTGGCAATTAGCATACTAATCAAACTTTCCCATACACATTCATGTATAAAAGAAACAAGCTGTTCCCAGTATTTGTCAGACTTAATATTTCCATTCCACTGAACTGTAGCACATGATCTACTGTGTGCATTTCCAAGGTACTCTTTCTACAGGCACAGAAATAACACTTTTGAAAAAAAAATCCCCATAATATTGAATTCATGTCCCAGATTCTGTGGTTATGTGAACAAATCTGTTGACACAGTTCATACAGCTCAAAATATTATATTTTAAGACTCAATTTCCACTAGTGAAGACTATTACAGAAAGACAGTACACATACTTTTCCGGTCTCCTTGAGCAAACTGGATTTCTATTTGACGGCCACAAATCCATTTCCGGTCCAAATTATGAAAGGCATCCTCAGCATCACGGACATCCTCAAATGTGCTAGATGTTAAGGTACTTGGGAATCTGAGGTATTTACATCTACAGTTAGTAAGATTGGCTTTTCCATTATGTCATCATGCCCTTGTTTACCAACTTGTTGTTATTTTTGGCATGTTCTATGGCATAACAAAAATTAGCTGACATTAACAGCGCCTATCTGATACTTTGTCACAAAAAGGCAAATTTCAGGAAAAATATTTATACTTAATGAATGTCAGATTTCTCTTATTGATACAAATGGTTCTCATCCTACAAAAATTACTTTACTTCCCTTAACTAACGATTAAACGTTGCAGTTTGCTGATGCATCTAGTACTAAACTGGAAGTCCCCTACATTTTTCTATGATTGGTTAAAATTAAGTCAGTATCATACTTTATGAGAAACACATTATGCTGACAAATTATTCTGAAATCAGATGTTTTATTTCACACTAGCCAATTACTCTGCACATCTCTATGTGACCTGTACAAATTCACTGTTCTTACATGCCCTGATATCAGCAAAAATTCAGATATGCTCATCTTAAATCAGGAATGGCTTTATTTAAATGAGAACCACAATTTCAAATATATCACTAATGTTAAGCAAATTATTACAGGGTCCACAGATAAACTAAACCATAAAAATGGATTGGTTAACCACTTACAAAGACAGCAAGAGGACATTTCTTATTCTGTAGGATACATGAGGTATGGCTCCTTTTATCTTGGCCACCAGTCAACTTCATCTTGACCTTTAACTCTTTAAGTGCTTGTTAGAAGGACTTGTCATGAGATGCTTGGTCAAAAATGACAGATGGCTTTATCTTTATACTTTGAAAAACAACCTTTTTCCCCCATCTGCAGATAAAGCGAAGCTTTGTCTCTCATTATGGCTTGTCCTTCTTCCAGCTTTTCTTTATCTTTTCTTTTCCCAAACTTTCCCTTCTCTTCAAGCCTGATCCTTAAGAGGTCTTTGGCTTGTCTACTTGCCTTAATTCTTGGACTCTACTCTAAAGGTTCTTTCATGCTTTCTCTTTGGGGTCGCCATTACTGTACAGCTTTACACTCTGAGGCAACAACAGAGGACAGCAAATTAGGGGACAATAATCAGAGCAAGATTCTTCACCTCATTTTATACAAATCTGCTTTTGATCAAATTACTGTTTCTATTAAATTAACACAAAATATCAGCCACATTTTGCTAAGCACAAGAACAAGTTTACCACAAATGCCAGTTATATTAAAAATGCAACGAAACACTTTGGGGGCAGCAGCAAATACCATTTCAATATTAAAAGTACAAATTTGAATATGAAGCTTGCAACAACAAAGCACATTTTACTGAATATGGCTTAAATTCTAAAATATGAAAATGTATCATATATTAATCTGCGGGGAAAACAGTACACACATAATGTAACTTTACATAAAACACAGAATAAATTAGGTTTTTTTTTCCATTTAGGTTTGTTACCTCATACAAAAACGTGAATTTCAAACGTCAACACCCCTCACTAATCAGCCATCTGAGGAAAGGATATTGAACATAAGCAAATCCTCTTGGACGGCGAGTGTAGAAATCCAAAGGTACGTACACATCAACTATTGGACCATAACGACCAAATTCACGACGCAAGTCTTCAGACCTGAAATAGAACACTTCACATTAGTTTTTTTTTAAAAAAGAAGTTTTCTTATTAAACAGGACATGCCGTGTCATGTATAATAAGCACATAAACATTAAGAAAATAAAGGGACACTACATTCCAGTTAAGTCATGCAAAATGGCTGTAAACTTAGTTTTGATTCAGGAAGCCTATTCTGTTTTCTAGATGGTCACAGGCAAAACATGATTCTTTCTGCCTTTGTATCAAGCTTCTGGCCACACTCTCATGGAAACTAGTATGTTTAAATGTGTTTTAACTAATATTTTTACTGTTTGTTGTTTAATCTGTCTATTCTATTTATTTCATCTACTTTTTATTAACTGACTTTTATTTTGTTCATTGTGTAATGTACTTATTTGTGTGGTGAGCCACGCTGAGTCCTTTTAGGGAGATGGGGTGAGACAGAAATAAAGATTATTATTATTACTAAGAAATCCTTCAAAATGAAAACATTCTTTTTTTTTTTGCATAATTTTTTTATTGAATTATCATAAACTACAACGAAAGAGGGTGAATAATATAAAGAAGATAGAAAAGTGGGAAAGAAGTTATAAATGCACATAACAACAACAACCTCAAAAAGGAAAAATACAAAAAAAAGAAGAAAAAATGAGTGAAAAGTTACAAAAATTGCACAAAAAAACAGAGAAAAAAACCCAACCCCCCCCCCCCCAAAAAAAAACCCACACAGATCCACAGAAACTGGACCTCCTTCCGGCTCTGCCCGTGTATTGTCTTTATGTCAATCCTTTTCAATGTATTCAACCTTATGAGGTTTTATTACCTTTTCTTTTAATTACATATCCTTGGACCTATTTTCGATGTAGTCTTCAATTATTGACCAGTCTGTTTGTTTTATTGGGTTGCCTGTATTCTTTTTTAATAAAAAAGTTAATTTATCCATGTCCTTAATTTCGTTTATTTTCTTTACCCACTTAAATTTCACCGGTACTTCTGTCTGTTTCCAAAGTTGTGCAAAGACGATTCTAGCAGCCGTCGTCAAGTAGATAAATAAAATATCTTCATTTGTGTCTATACATATATCTCCATCTATAATTCCCAATAAAATGAAAACATTCTTGAAAATATGCAACTTAAGTGTTTTTTAAAAGTATGTGGTGCAGCAAAAACAATGGGGTTTTTTTTCAAAGTGAAGGAAAATCTCCAACGAGACAAAGTCTACAAATAATCAAGAAGAACAGGAAGTGCTTTCATAAGATTATTGCAATGGCATTAGAAAGTACCCTCCCATCTGTCAGGGGTGATTTGAATGCAATATTCCTGCTTCTTGGCAGGGGGTTGGACTGGATGGCCCATGAGGTCTCTTCCAACTCTTTGATTCTATGATTCTATGATTCTAAGTTTTTGGATGAAATTGGCTACCTTTGGTGCTAAACACATGGATAGCAGATTTTTTTAAAAAAGGGATTTATCAAATAACAGCATATTTCGCTCTGAAAATGTAACATGACAAAGCAGCACACTTAAAACGCTTCCCCACTAGCAGATTCCACCGAACATAGTGTAGCTTGCTTCAAATTTCAAGTTTTAAATTATTAATTTAATAAGTATATTTATATTTTAAAATTATGTTAGGCTCTTTTAACGGATTATGTATTTTTAATTGGTGTTCATGTTTTAACTGTGTTGTATGTCCTGTTATTACTGTATTTTAATCTGCCATTCCCTATCTAAATCAATTGAGATAGGCAGAATATAATAATTATTCTATTATTACTACAAATGAATTACAATTTCTTGCTGTATTTTAATCAGGTATTTCCCTGCTTCGATTCATAAAAAGAGGAAAGAATCAATCAATCAATTAATCAAACAAACAATAAAAAATTGTTGATGAGAAACATAGGCATTAGGATTGTTTATTTCTTCCTGCATTTTAATCTTATTCCATGCCTCGATCCATAGGAAGAGGTGGGTAAGAAGTAATAATAATAACAACAGCAATAATAACTAATCCATGAGGAGAAACATGTGTATTAATATGTTATTGTATTAGAATCTTTGTCCCCACCTTGATCAGAGGGAAAAGTGGGAACGAAATAATAATATATAAAATAATAAAAATAATATAATAATAAAAGTTTATTTATATTCCGCCCTATCTCCCCTGGAGGACTCATGGAGGATTCCAACAAACCGAAAGGGAAACATTCAATGCCTCAATGACAATAAGTACAAATATAATAATCCAGAATAACCCCACATAAAAGACATCCTAAACATAACTTAAATAAAACGTAATCTATCCAAAATGATAATTAACATAAAATGTGAAAATAAAACATCCAAATTAATTTACAAAAGCACCACGAAGGTTCACAGATGTGTGCATTGATTGTACGGTCAATGATGTGAAATGGGCTAATGTGATCTAACAAGGCCCAAATGCATTTATACTTTCCAATCAGCAGTCTAGTAATAGTCTCTCTTCATCTAATCTTCCTCCTCTCTAAATGCTTGTGAGCAAAGATAAGTTTTCAGCTGTTTTTTGAAGAAGAGAAGGGAAGGGGCACTTTTATTTCTTTAGGGAGGGAGTTCCAGAGGAGGGGGTGGGGGACAACAACTAGTATTATTATTGTTAATCTATGATGAGATATGTGTATGGTGCTTCTCTAGTGCTGCACTTTAATTTTTGGTATTATCATAGAAGCATTATTCCACATTTCCATAGTCCCATCCAACGTTGGAATTTGTAGTTTAGAATTGTTCCCTCCCTTAATTCAAAGTGAGAGGTGGATAAAAACAATAATCTTAACAATCATTACTAATTAGTGACAATTAGTAATAAAAACTATTAATTTGTAACAAAAAAACACATGCATGGGACTTATGTATTGATGTATTTTATCGTATTTGTTGTACCCTGCTTCAGGATACTAGGAGAAACTGTTAATGAATTATTATTACTATTTTAATTAATTGTTCCCCACCTGGATCTTTACACAAGGGTGGACAATAAATGATGATTTTGGTAGACCATGACAAAGGTTTGCACAGGCATTCTCTATTTATTGCTGTCTTTTAATTTATTGTTATTATTTTATTTATTATTCAAACTTATATGCCGCCACTCCCCTAGGGATCGGAGCGGCTTACAAGAACAGACTAAAATCTAAAACAATTAAAAAAACCAGCAATATCAAAGATCAAAAGCCTGTCAAAACAAATATGTCTTACATGCCCTGCAGAACGCTGATAAGTCCCGCAAGGCACGGACTTCAGGTGGCAGAATGTTCCAGAGTAATGGTGCCACTGCTGTAAAGGCTCTGCGTCTGGTTGCTGTTAGAAGCAAGGTCTTAAAACTGGGAACTTCCAATAAATCTTGGTCCTCAGAACAAAGGGATCTCTGGGGTTGGTAGGGGGTGAGGTGGTCCCTCAGGTACATTGGCCCCAGATCATATAAGGCCTTAAAGGTAAGTACCATCACTGAAAGTGATCCGGTGCTCAATTGGTAACCAATGCAGCTGCAGTAAGATTAGTGTTATGTGGCATCTCATTGGAGCTCTCGCAAGAAGCTGAGCAGCTGCATTTTGTACCAACTTGAGCTTCCGGATCACCAACAAAAGGCCAATGTAGAGGGCGTTACAGTAGTCCAGTCTTGAGATGACCATGGCCTGGATCACCATAGCTAGGTCGTCCCTGGACAGGTAGGGGGCCAGCCGTCTAGCCTGCACTTTTAGTCTACATTTGCATGGTTCCATCCTATGAAATCTTGGAACATATCATTTGGCATTTATTTTCCACTTGAGTCCAAAGTAAAAGGTGGTCAGGAAGCAATAACAATATGAATACTGATTAGCCATTATCAATAATAATAATAAGAATTACAGATTCCTAACAAGAAGCATGTGATTGAGGTGTTTCAATTATATTAATTAATATTATTGTGCCCCCAGTGGCACAGTGGGTTAAAGCCCTGTGCCGGCAGGACTGAAGACCGACAGATCGCAGGTTCGAATCCGGGGAGAGGCAGATGAACTCCCTGTATCAGCTCCAGCTCCTCATGCGGGGACATGAGAGAAGCCTCCCACAAGGATGATAAAACATCAAAAAAAAAAAAATCATCCGGGCGTCCCCTGGGCAACGTCTTTGCAGACGGCCAAGTCTCTCACAACAGGATGCTCCTGACACGACAAAAAATATTATAAATAATAATAAACATTGCTTCTCTATTTAAAATTGTGTTTAATTTGTTTATATTATTATTAAAGCACTTTCAATTTTCGTGGTTTCTTTCTATGCAATTTGTAGTTTGGGGGTTGTTTCCCGCCTTGAACCAAGATGAGAGGAGAGTAAGAAACAACAATATTAATAATGATATTATATTAATAATAATGATTACTAATTAGCAATGATATGGAGCCCCCGGTGGCGCAAAGGGCTGAGGGGGAAAAGGAAGGGACCTGAGGCTGCTGGGAATTGGAGTCCAAAGGGAGTTGGAAGGGCGAAGTTGGCCCATGCCTCATTTAAAAGCAACCCAGGGAGCAGAGGAGGCAGCCAAGCAAAGAGGGCGGGGTGAAGGGCCTCGTGGTAGGAACAGCGAGGCCTCCGAGGCCCGCTCCCCCCTCCCTCGGGGTTGGGCCTAGCGCTCCCGCCGAAGCCTGCCTTTCCTGAGTCTCGCCGCTGCCTCCCGCGCCCGGTTCTCCCTCAACTTACACGCACCTGGTGTCGTCAGCCACGTTGCGAACGAACAGCGAGGTGTTGGGAGGCCGCAGGTAGCGAGACATGGCGGTCCTGCGGGAAAGGAAAAGGAAATCCGCCGACGAGGCCTGAGGGATGGAGGCAAGCAAGCCGAAGCGGTACCAACCGCCTTCTGGCGCGCTCGCGCACTCTCGCGAGATTTCCCCCTCTCCCCCCAGAGCCCCTCAGTGACGTAGCTCTCGCTCACAATAGACGGCGGGAAGTCTTGATCAAAGTGCATGCTCGAACCAGCTTGAGAGGTATCCTTGCGCAGGCGCGGGACTGCCACTTCTTAGCGCATGCGCAGGTGGGCGCTTTTTTCCCGCTTTCCCAGCGCGGGTACTACTCGGCCAATTAGGACAGGTTGCTGTGATTGCCCCTGGTGGCGCAGTGGGTTAAACCCCTGTGTGGGCAGGACTGAAGACCGACAGGTCACAGGTTCGAATCCAGGGAGAGGCGGATGAACTTCCCTCTGTGTTTCTCAACCAGGGGGTCAGGACCCCTGAGGGGGTGTCAAAGGGGTCGCCAAAGACCATAAGAATGTCAGAGTGGGTCATGCACAGAGTACTTGAGGTTTCCAGATCAATTATCACACTGTAGACTTCTTCCAGAAAATTAGAAACATTAGAAATTTCAGGCAAAAATTGGTATGATAAGAAACAAAGATGGCAGGGACCTAACAAGCTGAAGAGATCAAGAGAAGGTGGCGAGACTATACAGAAGATCTGTATAGGAAGGATAATAATATTGAGGATAGCTTTGACGGTGTGGTGAATGAATTAGAACCAGACATCCTGAGGAGTGAGGTTGAATGGGCCTTAAGAAGCATTGCTAACAACAAGGCAGCAGGAGACGACGGGATCCCAGCTGGACTGTTTAAAATCTTGAAAGATGATGCTGTCAAGGTGATGCATGCCATATGCCAGCAAATATGGAAAACGCAAGAATGGCCATCAGACTGGAAAAAATCAACTTATATCCCCATACCAAAAAAGGGAAATGCGAAAGACTGCTCAAACTTCCGTACAGTGGCCCTTATTTCTCATGCCAGTAAGGTAATGCTCAAGATCCTGCAAGGAAGACTCCAGCAATACATGGAGCGAGAGTTGCCAGATGTTCAAGCTGGGTTTAGAAAAGGCAGAGGAACGAGAGACCGGATTGCCAATATCCGCTGGATAATGGAGAAAGGCAGGGAGTTTCAGAAAAACATCTACTTCTGCTTCATTGACTATTCTAAAGCCTTTGACTGTGTGGATCATAATAAATTGTGGCAAGTTCTTAGTGGGATGGGCATCCCAAGCCACCTTGTCTCTCTCCTGAGGAATCTGTACAAGGACCAAGTAGCAACAGTAAGAACTGACCACGGAACAACAGACTGGATCAAGATTGGGAAAGGCGTATGGCAAGGCTGCATACTCTCACCCAACCTTTTTAACTTGTATGCAGAACACATCATGCGATGTGCGGGGCTTGATGAATGCAAAGCTGGGGTGAAAATTGCTGGAAGAAACATTAACAACCTCAGATATGCAGATGACACCACTCTGATGGCCGAAAGCGAGGTGGAGCTGAGGAGCCTTCTAATCAAGGTGAAAGAAGAAAGCGCAAAAGCCGGGTTGCAGCTAAACATAAAAAAAAAACCAAGATTATGGCAACAAGAATGATTGACAACTGGAAAATAGAGGGAGAAATCGTGGAGGCCGTGACAGACTTTGTATTTCTAGGTGCAAAGATTACTGCAGATGCAGACTGTGGCCAGGAAATCAGAAGACGCTTACTTCTTGGGAGGAGAGCAATGTCCAATCTCGATAAAATAGTAAAGAGTAGAGACATCACACTGGCAACAAAGATCCGCCTAGTCAAAGCCATGGTATTCCCTGTAGTAACCTACGGATGTGAGAGCTGGACCTTAGGGAAGGCTGAGCGAAGGAAGATCGATGCTTTTGAGCTGTGGTGTTGGAGGAAAGTTCTGAGAGTGCCTTGGACTGCGAGAAGATCCAACCAGTCCATCCTCCAGGAAATAAAGCCCGACTGCTCACTGGAGGGAAGGATACTAGAGACAAAGATGAAGTATTTTGGCCACATAATGAGAAGACAGGAAAGCTTGGAGAAGACAATGATGCTGGGGGAAATGAAGGAAAAAGGAAGAGGGGCTGACCAAGGGCAAGATGGATGGATAGTATCCTTGAAGAGACTGACTCGACCTTGAAGGAGCTGGGGGTGGTGACAGCCAACAGGAAGCTCTGCCATGGGCTGGTCCATGAGGTCACAAAGAGTTGGAAGTGACTGAACGAATAAACGCATACACATCTGAGTCCACACTGCCATATATTCCAGTTCAAACCAGATAATTTGGGATTTTATTCAGCTGTGTGGAAGAGGCCCCAGACAGGACCTTTATTGCAGGATCTGATCCCAAGGTTTCTGTTTATCCCAGATTATCTGGCAGTGCAGACTCATATAATCCAGTTTAAAGATGAAAACCTGGGATCAGACCATGGGATATAGGGCCTGTGTGGAAGGACACTAAAGTAGAGGCATCTCTAAGCCCTTAGAAGACACGTGTTTGGGGAGTTTTCATGGTTGCTTTGCTCCAATCCTGAAGCTGTCCACCTTTTTTACACATTGCACCATGTTGTTGTAGCGCTATTATTCCACTTTAACTACCATGATGTGGAATTCTGGGTGTTGTATTTTAGTCAGGTGCAAGTGTTCGCTGACAGGGACTTTGCCCTTCTTTGAACTACAAATCCCAGGGTTCTGTGGGCTGTTGTCATGGCAGTTAAAGTGGAATAATAGCACTGTAATGGGTGCGTCTACACCAGGCATGGGCAAACTTCGGCCCTTCAGGTGTTTTGGACTTCAACTTTTACAATTCCTAAGAGCTGGTATGTAGGCTGTTGGGAATTGTGGGAACTGAAGTCCAAAACACCCGGAGGGCCAAAGTTTGCCTATGCCTGATCTACACTGTAGAGTTAATGCAAATTGACACCACTTTAACTGCCATCCAATGCTATGGAATCCTGGGAGATGTAGTTTGGCAGAGAAGGTTGCAGATCTTGTAAAACGACAGCTCCTGGGATTCCAGAGCATTGAGCCAAGTGGAATCAAACTGCATTAATTCTACAGTGTAGATTCTGCAAAAAAAAAATACTTAGCATTTCAGTAAAGGAAACAAAACCAGACTATCCATGATATACAGCGTTCTTTATTATCCAAATATAAAAACATCAACAGCGGGACCTCAGTATCCACACCCAAATCCATGGATTCTCAAGTCCCATTATGTACAATGGCAGAGTAATGTGGTATTGCTTGTTGAATATGGCCAAATTAAGGTTTGCTTTTTGGGCTATTTTTTTAAAATATTTTAAAGCCGTGGATGGTGGAATTAGTAGGTGCAGGATCTGTGGATATGGAGGGCCAGCTGTACTACTAACGGAGGCATCCATCCTCTCTGCTTTAAACCTTCTTGCTTCTCCTGGTAAATGTTGCTGAACCAGATGTTATAGTCTGTGGAAAAGAAGAAAGGCTTTTCAAAGCAGCTGTGTAATTATTATTATTATTATTATTATTATTATTATTATTATTATTAATTATTTATTTATGAAACATATGATTTTACATCTATATATATATAAATGCTCTGTGCGTAATGAGTACCTTAAAAACAAAAGAACCAATGAACGAAATCACACCAAATTTGGCAACAAAACGTCTCACAACACAAGGAGTGACCATCACTCAAAAATTATGATTTTGTCATTTGGGAATTGTAGTTGCTGGGATTTATAGTTCACCTATAATCAAAGAGCATTCTGAACTCCACCAATGATGGAATTGAACCAAACTTGGCACACAGGACTCCCCTGACCAACAGAAAACACTAGAAGGGCTGGGGCAATTGACCTTGAGTTTTGGAGTTGTAGTTCACCTATATCTAGAGAGCACTGTGGACTCAAACAATGTTGGATCTGGACCAAACTTGGCACAAATACTCAATATGCCCAAATATAAACACAAATGGCGTTTGGGGGAAATAGACCATGACATTTGGGAGTTGTAGTTACTAGGATGTATAGTTCACCTACAATCAAGGAGCATTCTGAACCTCACCAACGACGGAATTGTGGCAAACTTCCAACACGGAACCCTCATGATCAACAGAAAATACTGTGTTTTCTGGCGGTCTTTGGCGACCCTTCTGACACTCCCTCGCAACCCCTCCCCCAGGGGTCCCAAACCCCAGGTTGAGAAATGCTGTCTTAAGGCCATCCAGTCCAACTCCCTTCACCAGGGCAAGAAAACATAAAGCCCTCCTGACAAGGAGCCATCTAGCCATAGATATAGATAAATAATATTATTAAATATATATGATTCACACACACACACACACGTTTATGACAGATATAGTACCATAGATTTGAAAGGGACCCCTAAAGAAGGACAATTATATGTTGCATGTTCCAGAGTAGGCAAATCAGACAATCTTTACATCAGCACTGACAAAGAAACAACAATACTGTTTACCCACGAGGATAGAGAAAAACATATATTAGAAACCAACACTTTCTCATTACTTTATTTTCCAGATCACCAGACTGGGCCACAGCAACGCGTGGCAGGGGACCTTTAGTAATTTATAATTTTATCCCTTGCAATTGACCCAGCCCACTGTGCTCAACTTTTTATTATTTTACTTCATATCCTATGTTTACCTTGTATTATTTTGTTTTGTTTACATTTTATTTGATATTATTTGTTGAATGTATTCTTTTGCTTTGTTGTAATTGTTGGGCTTGGCCTCATGTTAGCCGCCCCGAATATCCTTGGGGAGATGGTGACGGGGTATAGATAAAATTATTATTATTATTATTATTATTATTATTATTATTATTATTTTGTCTGTTCAGTTTAGAACTGGAAAGACTGCAGAAGATCATTCATAGCACCTTTTCCCTATCCCATCTGGATGGAACAGACTGCATTTATAAACAAGGTAGACCCAATGGATGGGGATGGTGGGTTTTGTTGTCCCAAACATTTGGAAGTTACCAGATTGGGAAAGTAAATTAGTCACAAATGGGAACAGATTTAGGGTGCATCTACACTGTGGAATTAATGTAGTTTTGACTTGAACTGTCAGGGCTCAATGCTACAGAACACTGGGAGTTGTAGTTTGGTAAACCACCAGCACCATTAGCAGAGAAGGCTCAAGACCTTATAAAACTACAACTCCTATGATGCCATAGCACTGAACCTTGGAAGTTCAAGTGGTGCCAAATTGCATTAATACTATAGTGTAGATAAGACATGGGCAAACTTGGGCCCTCCAGGTGTTTTGGATTTCAACTCCCACAATTCCTAACAGCCTCAGGCTCCTTCCTTCCCCCTCTCAGCCGCTTAATGGAGCGCCGAAGTTTGCCCATGCCTGGTGAAGATGTACCCAAAGATGGCTGAAGAAATCCACAAAAAGCTTTTTCTTCCTCTTTCTGCAGCTCATTTTTAGACTGGCTTCAACAAGGGTTAGTCCTAAATCCTGTTTTTATAAAGCCAGGACACACACACATAGTTAAGTACTCCATAGATTCATGTGCCTCTGAGCTTTTTAAAAACTGCTTTCCCTCACCAGTTGTTTCATTTTGGTCATGTCAGGAGCAACTTGAGAAACTGCAAGTCGCTTCTGGTGTGAGAGAATTGGCTGTCTGCAAGGACGTTGCCCAGGGGATGCCCGGATGATTTGATGTTTTTATCATCCTTGTGGGAGGCTTCTGTCATGTCCCCGCATGAGGAGCTGGAGTTGATAGAGGGAGCTCATCTGCCTCTCCCTGGATTCAAATCTGTGACCTGTCGGTCTTCAGTCCTGCCGGCACAGGGGTTTAACCCACTGCGCCACCAGGGGCTTCCATGGTGATGGCGGACAAAAGTGGCAGGACATATAGGCCAAAACATGTGAAAGAAATTATTTAATGCATTTATTTATTTTAAAAATAATTTTTTGATGCTTCTTTATTTGAAAACTTAAAATCATATATTTTAATTTTAACTGAAAAATAAATTAACAAATTAAATTATATTAAATTAATTAAAAAACATGCGTTTCCATTTTGCCACGAATCGAGGACAAGACAATGGGGCTACCAGGGCAGATAGAACAACTTTTGATATTATTATCATCATTTTCGTCATTTTTTTAAATGGCATTCATTACTTTTTTCATTTAATAATACACAGTGATGAACAGATATATATTAAGAATGCCCTGCAACAGCCACAGCAGCTTCTCAACCAGAGGGCCGGAACCGCTGGGGAGGGTCACAAGGGAGTGTCAGAGGGGTCACCAAAGACCATCAGAAAATACAGTATTTTCTGTTGGTCATGGGGGTTCGGTGTGGGAAGTCTTAGGACAGTGATTATTGTCTATTTGTGCACGTTTCTGTTTTTGTTTTTAATGTTGATACGGTCAATGGACTAATCAATAAACTTTGCTTGCTATCATTAGTGGGGTTCAGAATAATCTTTGATTGTAGGTGAACTATAAATCCCAGCAATTACAACTCCCAAATGTCAAGGTCTGTTTTCCCAGAACTCCAGCAATGTTCACATTTGGGCATATTGAGGTTTCGTGCCACATTTGCTCCATATCCATCACAGTTTGAGCTCACAGTGCTCTCTGGATGTAGATGAACTACAACTCCAAAACTCAAGTTCAATGCCCACCAAACCCTTTCAGTATTTTCTGTTGGTCGTGGGAGTTCTATGTGCCAAGTTTGGTTCAATTCCATCGCTGGTGGAGTTCTGAATGCTCTTTGATTGCAGGTGAACTATACATCCCAGCAACTACAACTCCCAAATGACAAAATCACCCCCCCTCCCCCAACCCTCGAGTATTCAAATTTGGGCGTATTGGATATTTGTGCCAAATTTGGTCCAGTGAATGAAAATGCATCGTGCATATCAGATATTTACATGATGATCCATAACAGTAGCAAAATTACACTTATGAAGTAGCAACGAAAATAATTTTATGATTGGGGGTCACCACAACATGAGGAACTGTATTAAGGGGTTGCGGCATTAGAAAGGTTGAGAAACACTGATGTAGATTAACTACAACTCCTATAAATCAAGGTCAATTTCCCCCCCCCCCCAAACCTGGTTATGGGGATTCTGCGTGTTCTCCAGACATTTTTGGGGTTCAGATCCCATCAGCCCTCGACAATGTAACTAGATGGTGGATGGTGATGGGAGCCGCAGTGCTTGTGGAACAGGCATCAGCAAACTTTGTCCCTCCAGGTGTTTTGGACTTCAACTCCCACAATTCCCAACAGCCAATAGGCTGTTGGGAATTGTGGGAGTTGAAGTCCAAAACACCTGGAGGGACAAAGTTTGCCCATGCCTGTTGTAGAACATCTGGATTGAAAGAAATCAACTGCTTTCTATTTCTTCTTCACATTCACAAGATTTACGTACCTCGACCATTTCGTTGCCTACTATTTCCTGTTCGTGGATGAATTTATCCGATTTGGCCACCAGCTTTCCGTCAACCAGGTTCACTGTGCACTGTTTGAATAAAGAAAGAAAAGATGCTGAGCAGTGGAAGTAAAGGAGATAATGGGACAGCAAAAGCTGGAGAGTCATTTATTTTCCTTTTTAATAGATTCTTTTCCAGTATTTAAAGATCCCAGGATGGCGCACATATTAAATCAACACAAAAGAAAAGGATTAGAAAGGGCATGGGAACTTCACAGCCAACTGAGCCAGTCATGGCCAATGGGAAGGAATGCTGGGGGTTGCAATCCAGGGGAGTAACCAGGGGAACATTTGCACAGTTCAAACTAGTGCGCCAGCTGCGCCCATACCTTGGGAAGTCTGACTTGCCCACGGTAGTCCACACTCTGTTTACATCCCGTATAGACTACTGCAATGTGCTCTACATGGGGCTGCCTTTGAAGACTGTTCGGAAGCTTCAAATGGTCCAATGGGCAACAGCCAGGTTGCTAACAGGAGCAGTGCTCAGGGAGCACACAACTCCTCTGTTGCGCCAACTCCTCTGGTTGCTAATTGCTACCGGGTACAATTTTAAAACGGTAAACGGTTCTGGCCCAGTTTACCTGTCTGAACGCATCTCTCCCTATGAACCATCTAGACCAGGGGTAGGGAACCTTTGGCCCTCCAGCTGTGGTGGACTTCAACTCCCACAATTCCTTGAGGCTCGGCATTCGCCCCAAAGGCTTACCTTGGCCCAATGCCGAGCCTCAAGGAATTGTGGGAGTTGAAGTCCACCACAGCTGGAGGGCCAAAGGTTCCCTACCCCTGATCTAGATGCTTAACATTGTCTGGTGAGGCCCTGCTCTAGATCCCGCCCCCTTCGCAGATGCAATTGGCGGGAACGAGAGACAGGGCCTTCTCAGCGGTGGCCCCTCGGCTATGGAACGCCCTTCCTAGGGATATTAGATTGGCCCCCTCCCTCCTAGCATTTTGAAAGAAAGTCGAAACCTGGCAGTGTAACAGATTAATTGAGGTCCACAGAACGACTGGACGATGCGACGGAAAAATGATTTTAGTGATGAGACGCTGAGGACTTGTGTTTTATGGTTTTTAATGTTTTATTGCTTTTATATGGTTTATATTATATGTAATGTTTTTAACTGTATTTATGTTGTTTGGGGGCATTGACTGCCAACTGTAAGCCGCCTCGAGTTGCCTCTGGGTTGAGAGGGGCGGTATATAAATATGGTAAATAAATAAATAAATCCAACATATATGATTCCCACCCTTTCACTAGACTAGTTTGCATTCATTGGCAGATGGAGGCACTAGTTTTTGCATTATTATGTATCAGAATTTCTTGGGCTGGACCTGTTTTTTTGAAGACATGTGCTAGAATCCTATATAGTTGGTCTCCACATTTTGTGGGTGGAGTCCCTGCTGGTGCTAAACCCTTGTGCCGGCAGAACCGAAGACTGACAGGTCAGAAGTTCGAACCTTGGAAGGGTGTGGATGAGCTCCCTCTGTCAGCTGCAGCTCCCCATGCGAAAACATGAGAGAAGCCTCCCACAAGGATGGTAAAACATCCGGACATCCCCTGGGCAACATCCTTGCAGATGGCCAATTCTCTCACACTAGAAGCAACTTGCAGTTTCTCAAGTCACTCCTGACACAGAAAAAAAATATGGCTTTGCTAATTCACTGATTTGATTACAGGTAGCCCCAAAGTTACAAATATCCAACTTACAAATGACTCCTAGGAAGAGAAAGACAATCTAACCCTCGAAAGGGAAATCAACTCCTGGAAGAGTTTTTGTCATGGGTAAAAGGGGTCTCCACCGAAGCTTTATCCCCAATCCTTGTTTCCACAACAAGCCACATTTTTCAAAATCCAGAGACAGAAAGTGAGGGGAAATCTGCTGAACAGGGGCACAGAGAGCAAAACAAACGCTACAGGGGTGTTAACCCTTCCCTATGCGATCTCAAGGCATATACAATACAAATATTTGGCTGGAGTCACACTTTAAAAAGGTCCGTGTTCCGACTTACACACAAATTCAACTTAAGAACAAACCTACAGAACCTATCTTATTTGTAACTTGGGAGCTGCCTGAAATATGTTCTGGGTCTCCAGGTCTTCCAGCATGACCCTATGGCCAGCATCCAGAGCTGTCCTGGAAGACATAGAGCAGGGGTTCTCAAACTTTTAAAGCCAAAAGCCGGTTCACAGTCCCCCAGATTGTTGGGCGGCTGGACTATATTTTAAAATATTTTTAAAGTACACCAAACATATATTATTTGTAGTGCAAAAAACCATGAAAGAACAGTACAATATTTAAAATGAAGAACAATTTTCACCAACATAAGCATACCAGTATTTCAGTGGAACGTGTGGACCTGCTTTTGGTTGATGAGAAGTCAAGTCAATTAGACTTGTTCTGTGCCTTTAAGTTGTTTCAGTCTAAGAGCAACCTTAAAGCTAAAGTTTAGGGCGGGGGCTGGGGAAATGACCTTGGAGGTCCACATCCAGATTGCAGACCCTAGTTTGGGGACCTCCAACCTAGAGATTCGTAGAGAATACATTTCTAGAGACTTCTGCAGGTTCTCCAGCATGATTTTATGGTCAACCACTAATGTCATCATGGAGAACATAGAGATTCCCAGAGACAATTTCTCTAGCATTCATAAGTCCTTCAAAACGATCATATGGTCAATGTAAATGTGAGTTACCTTGACTTTCTTGCCGTCCATGGTGGTCATGTCTGCCTCTTTCCCCAGTGTGAATGAGTTTGTGACGGACTTATTGGGGGTCTTGGAGGTGACGACGAAGGTGTTCCCTGTCTGGCGGATTTCAGTGACTGGCTTGACATCTTTGGCGACTTTGATGATATCGTCAGGCAAAGCTGGGAAACAGAACCCCAAAAATAAGTAATCATGCATTTGGTTAGGCACTAGAGATGTAAAGAGTATGGACATCAATGGGATATGGACATCAATGGTCTTCTGTTGTGTTGGGCCAATAATTCATTTCACTTCTTGGTCATTCTATAATTAATGCAATTTTGCACCACTTTAACTGCCATGGTTCCATGCTATGGGTTCATTGGAGTTATAGTTTTACAAGGTCGTTAGCTTTCTTTGCCAAAGAGTGAGGATTCCACACCAAACTCCATGGCAGAGCTGGTGTTTCAACACTGGTCTCCAGAGTTGAGGTCCAACAAAAATGTAAATAGAGAGGATTTAAATTTATGAATAGGTGAAGGATGTTGCTAATAGTTGTAGCTGACAGTGGAAATACAATTCTGCAATACTATACCAGATGGGTTGTTGTAGGTTTTTCAGGCTGTATGGCTATGTTCTAGAAGCATTCTCTCCTGACATTTCGCCTGCATCTATTGCAAGCATCCCCAGAGGTTGTGAGGTACAACCTCTGAGGATGCTTGCCACAGATGCAGGCAAAATGTCAGGAGAGAATGCTTCTAGAACATTTATTTATTTATTTATTTATTTATTTACAGCTTTTATATTCCGCCCTTCTCACCCCGCAGGGGACTCAGGGCGGATTACAGTGTACACATATATGGCAAACATTCAATGACAATTTTGACATACAAACATATACAGACATAGACAGAGGCTATTTAACTTTTTCTGGCTGCCAGGGGAGCTGTCGCTTTCATTGTCTATCTGCGACGCTGATGAAGCACTTCCGCATTCCCCGCATGCTTCCCCGCTGGAATGCTTTGCTGGAGTCTTCTTTATGGCCTCATAAATCAGTTAATTTAGCCTCCCCACACTTTAAGGTGGTACCTTATTTTCCTACTTGACAGATGCAACTGTCTTTCGGGTTGCAAAGGTTGACAACAGACTACACACAATTGGTTGGAAACCCACTCCAACCCGGGCTGGCTTTGAACTCATGACCTTTTGGTCTTAATGTAGCTGACACTCAGCCTACTGTGCCACAATCCCGGAGAACATGGCCATACAGCCCGAAAAACCTACAACGCAGTGATTCCAGCCATGAAAGCCTTCAACAATACAGAATACCAGATGTTCTTCTGAAATAGAATTCTACAGTAGGATTGTGAAATAGCTGTTTTGTAATAGAATTCAATATGCAGCAAAATTTTGAATACCAAAGTAGATGCTGTTTGACCCAACAAAGAACATCAGAACATTGTAATAGGTTTCTATGTAGGTTGCCCAAGAAATGCCTATATTCCAATGCTTAGAGCTTGGTGTTTTGTCCCTTTTGGGATCATAGCTCCAAGCATCCCCTCAGGCAGCATGGGACATAGCAGGATTTTGGGTATTGACATCCCCAAAATATCCTTTCCAAACTCAGGCAGTATTTATTATTTTGATGCAGATGGATATGTAGACCCTCTCCATTATTTTCTGGCTTGCAAAAAATAGTGCTCCAGCTAAGAACAGAAAGCTAAAATGTAATTATGGCATATTATTCTCTTGCCACGACTCAGTGTCTTCCAGGAAACAGTTCCTATCCCTCAAAGATAGCTAGGATGATGGGACGTTACCTATCTGGATGGCACCAGTTTAGGGAATGGTGCTCTATGGAGGAATGTAACCCCTTTGATAACAAAGCCCCCAAGTTGCTTACCAATAGCTTTCAGGAAATCTTCATAGTTCTCCTGGGAATAGACCTGCCATGTGCCGTTGAATGCCATTTTGCCGTAACCCTGAATGTTAGGACAGTCTAGCTGGTAGGAAAAGGATAGGGGCAATGACTAAGGGGCCAAATGCTATTTATAAAGGAGGAAAGGTGTCCAAAGTGAAGCTGTGAATTGTGAAACCTGGAGATATCAATCATTAACCTGTACTTTGTAGGAATAACCTCCTGTTCGTTGTGCTGGAGAAATCCTTGATGGATTCAGGAAGAGTTATTGCCAAATCATATAGTCAAGGTTTGGGGGATGAATAGCCAAGGCAATAAACCTCAACATATTTATTTCTGAATTTTACAAATAAACATTGAAACACCTTGTTACAATCAGCATGCATCCTTCAGTGCAGTCCTCTCCGATGGCACTGATTTAATCAGCTTCATTTAAGATGTCCCAGTTTCTCTTTTTGCCTCCGACTTTCCCTTTTGTCCTTCCGTTGCTGCAAAATGAGTTCAAAGCGCATAAGTAGTTTGCATCAATTAACTTGGCAGCGTGAAGAGATGTGGTGTAAAATCATATCCTTCCCAGGGGACTCAGGGAAAAGCAAACTGCAGCAGCCTCTCCTGTTTTAACTGTTTTTCCTTATGAATAATGTCACCATCTTTGCCCCATCTTTCAGTTGCTTGGCTGAACATGTCCTGGTTTTTAACTGCAAAATACCAGAGGATATGTAGTATCCTTTGGTTGCATTTCCACTAAGGTTGTGCATTTGGGGTAAACCTTGACCCATTTCGTGCCCTGGCTTTCGGTGGGGGCCTCGGCCGATTTTTTAGGAGCCTCCCGAAATCGGGAGGACAGATATCTGTTTTTGCTCTGGGGTGCCAAAAGATCCATTTTCTGTTGGCCCATTATGCGAGGAGAGGGGGAGTTCCCAGGCTCCCCTTCCTGCGCATTTTAAGGAGGTTTCTTCTTACCTGCTGTTTTTACTCTCTAGGAGGCTCTCGGCTGCCTTTCCAAGGCAAGGAGGCAAGTTCTGTTTCTTACTCTAGAGGAGGTGCTAGGCTGTAGGTACTGGCAGGCATGCACGATTCCTGGGCCTGAACGCCATACATGCACTCTCTTTCCAAAGCAAGGAGGCAAGTTCTGTTTCTTACTCTAGAAGAGGTGCTAGGCTGCAGGTACTGGCAGGCATGCATGATTCCTGGGCTTGCACGCCATACACGCACTCTCTTTCCAAGGCAAGGAGGCAAGTTCTGTTTCTTACTCTAGAGGAGGTGCTAGGCATGCATGATTCCTGGGCCTGCACGCCATACATGCACTCAAGATCTGTTACTTACTCTAGAGGAGGTGCTAGGTTGCAGGTACTAGCAGGCATGCACGATTCCTGGGCCTGCACGCAATACACACACTCTCTTTCCAAGGCAAGGAGGCAAGATCTGTTTCTTACTCTAGAGGAGGTGCTAGGTTGCAGGTACTAGCAGGCATGCACGATTCCTGGGCCTGCACGCACTACACACACTCTCTTTCCAAGGCAAGGAGGCAAGATCTGTTTCTTACTCTAGAGGAGGTGCTAGGCGGCAGGTACTGGCAGGCATGCATGATTCCTGGGCCTGCAGACAATACATGCACTCTCTTTCCAAGGCAAGGAGGCAAGATCTGTTTCTTACTCTAGAGGAGGTGCTAGGCTGCAGGCACTGACAGGCATGCACAATTCCTGGGCCTGCACGTCATACACACACTCTTTCCAAGGCAAGGAGGGAAGTTCTGTTTCTTACACTATAGGAGGCACTCAGCTGCAGGCACCGGCAGGTGTGCACACTTTCTGGGCCTGCATGCTACACAAGCTCTCTCTTTCCAAGGTAAGGAGGTCCTTGCCTTGGAAAGAGAGTGTGTTTGTGGTGTGCACCTGCCAGTACCTGCAGCCTAGTGCTCGGCTGCAGGCACTGGCAAGTGCGCACTTTCTGGACCTGCATGCTAGACATGCACTCTCTTTCCAAGACAAGGAGGCAAGTTCTGGGAGGTGTTTGGCTGCACGCGCACACGCTTTCTCATCTGGGCTACACCTTGCCAGCCAGCCACGCACTGCTTTCAAGGAGGCTTCCCAATTCCAGGTAAGGAAGAGTGATGATCTCCTGGAAGAGGAGAATAGTTTTTAGGGAATAAGTGTTTACTTTTTGTTTGCTGTGGAATTAATAAAAAACATTAAATGGTGATGGCAAAAAGCAGGATTGGAGCTGGGATCGGCTCCCACTTGCTTTCGTGTCAAGCTGAATTTCATAGCGGGAGGGACTTTCCCCTTTCGTGCTCCTGAAGTAGCGAAAGAATGAAACGAAGGAAACAGGAGAAACAAATTCTGCGCACAGCTTTAATTTCCACTTACTTTCTGATTGGTTGAATGGATGGATTTATTATTAATTGCTTTGACTGAAGATCATACTAATACGTCAGTTGCACAGATAATCTAATATCAATCCAATCTGATTTTAGTTAGGATTTATAGTTGAAACTCAAACATAATTAACTCAGCTTGGTGTAGAGGCACATTTGGAAATTCTTCCTTAGGTTTAAATGGCAACACAATGCATCTTGGTCTAATGGGCAACGTGTCTGCTCAACCTGCTCTTCTGGAGTTTGAGATGGGCAACGTTCAAGCTCCTGTTCTTCTTCTTAAGTCAAATAACACTTGTGTTGGGCAGGTCTGCAAATAGAGCAAGAGAAGTTCCAAGTTTCCTAAAGGCACTAGGATCCTAGCCTTGGAAGGTAAGCAGAGTCAGCTTTGGTTAGTGCATCAGTGGGAGACCATGAACAAACACAAGCATTGATAAGGCTACATTTCATAAGAAGTAACTGGCAAAAACACCACTAAGGATACCTGGACTAAGAGTTCATCTGCAGTGAAGAATTAGTGCAATCTGACACCTCTTGAACTGCCATGTCTCATCGCTATGAAATCCCGGGAGTTATCATTCTGACTAAGGACCTGAGACATCTAAAATTCCCAGGATTTCATGGCATTGAATGATGGCAGTCCAAGTAGTGTCCAATTGTATTAATAGTAGATGTACTCCAAGAAAACCTTGTAAAATTTTTGGGATCTCCATAAGTCGGCAGGTGACTTGAAGGCAGCTACACACTTTCAAGGACCGTCAGGTCTCAGGGGTCCATTCCAGTCCTTTGGGATTTTTGGTGCCCTTTCTCTTTAGTTTGTCTTTCCTGGGCTTTGCAATACGCCCTCCACGTTTTTCATACCTCACTAAAGGCAAGAGAACAATTGAGCTCAAACAGCATGATGTTTTAGGTGCCTTGTCCATCCCAGCAATGTTTTTCATCAACAGAATACAACTCTCCAACCTAGAAAAAGTATATCACCCTATGCCATGTAGAACAAGTATCAGGTCTGCAATTGCTACTTTCTTTATATTTGATGGGAATGAGATTGATCAAATAGTGGAACACTACCAGACTCTGGTGGCCTCCCGATTCACAAAGGCATCTCCAACATGGCCTCGAAATTGTGAGATGAATCATCACTTGAAGCCCAACTACGGATTGTTATCTTTGGCATGGTCTTCGTGCTGTTGAGCCTTGTTTGCTGTGCTGTTGCTTAATTTGCACATAGTCTGTGCCCTGGCGGTTCTGACCTACCTTGGTCAACATTGGTAGCCAAGTGCGTCTCCGTTGGGGATTCACAACCAGAGTTACAAATGTGTAACCTGGAGTTAGGTATCCATAACTCATTCATATTCACAACCCTTGCATATTCTTTCAGGCAGTGGTTCTCAGCCTTCCTAATGCTGCAACTCCTCAATACAGTTCCTCATGTTGTGGTGAGCTCCAACCATACAATTATTTTCCTTGCTACTTCATAATTGTAATTTTGCTACTGTTATGAATCGTAATGTAAATATCTGATATACAGGATGTATTTTCATTCACTCGAACAAATTTGGCACAAATATCCAGTATGCCAAATCTGGATACTGGTGCGGTTGAGGATTGATTTTGTCATTTGGGAGTTGTAGTTGCTGGGATTTATAGTTCACCTGCAATCAAAGAGTATTCTGAACTCCACCAATGATGGAATTGAACCAATCTTGGCACACAGAACTCACATGACCAACAGAAAATACTGGAAGGGTTTGGTGGGCATTAACCTTGAGTTTTGGAGTTGTCGTTCACCTACTTCCAGAAAGTGCTGTGGACTCAAACAATGATGGATCTGGAGCAAACTTGGCATGAATACTACATATGCCCAAATGTGAACAATGGTGGAGTTTGGGGGAAATATATCATGACATTTGGGAGTTGTAGTTGCTGGGATTTATAGTTCATCTACAATCAAAGAGCATTCTGAACTCCACCAACAATAGAATTGGGCCAAACTTCCCACACAGAACCCCCATGCCCAACGGAAAATATTGGAGGGATTTGGGACGAATTGACAGTGATTTAGGGGAGATGTAGTTCACCTACATCCGGAGAGCACCATGAAACCAAACAACTATGCCAAAGGGGTTCCTAAGACCACCGGAAATATGTGTTTTCTTCTGGTCTTTGGCAACCCCTCTGAAACTCCCTTATGACCCCCCCCAGGGGGTCCTGACCCCCAGGTTGAGAAACACTGCTTTAGGGTAAGGAATATATTGCTGGTTTTGTTATTGCGTGCCTTCAAGTTGTTTCCAACCTACATCAACACTAAAAATAACATCTCACAGGGTTTTATTGTTGGGCTTTTTGGGCTTATACATTGGCGTTTAGCAAATCCATTTTTAACATTGTGTGTCTTGGATGATTAAAGAAGGTATTTTTCCTTCTCCTCATTACAGAACATTTTTTTGCAAGATCTGTTGAAGACAAGACTAATAATTCAGTCACGACAAATTCAAATACATTGATTTCAATTACTCTAGTATGACTAAATCAGGACTCAGTTCGAAAGCTCCAGTTCAATCTCAATAAACCAAGCTCTTGCTATGCCTTTTTTACTTCTCTCCTTATGGTCCAAGTCAGATTTGTGCCTTTTAATGAATATTTTACATGATAGTCTTCGTCCGTATGTACCTATGCGTTTATATGCAACATATAGTCACAGAACACTGTAATGGTACTTATGGGGATGATGGAAGATGTAGTCCATCAAAGCAATTATTTTCTGAATTCAGTGCAGTAGGCAGCAGAAAGGTCTTTCCATCGTTACATCTGTATTGAACCTTCCTCTCTTTCTTGTTTCATATGAGAGCTTATTTAATTACCCTTAGATTGATCTTTAATGTTATGACATGTTGATTGTTTTGTATGTATTTGATTTCAATTCCTGTTGCAATTGGCTTTTGGAAAAATAGATCCAATATGAAACAAAGAAGTGAGTAACTTGGAATGACCTGGGATGTATGCACAGAAATACGCTTCGTTGCATTTTGAGGAGCAGTTTAAATGCGACCAGGTTGCTTTCATGGAATACATCCATTTGACTGCATTTGACACTGGAAGAGGTCATTGGTATTTTTGAGCAATTGCAGTGAACTCTGCCAACTCTTCCTTTGCGATGACCTTGGGGAGCTAAAGTTTAAGCTGATGTGCCATGAATGTGTCCTGTACTAGAGTTCCTCTGAGGTGACCTGAGAAACATGTGGTTTTCAATCTCATGGCTAATAGAGCTGGGGATGTTGGGAAACTGAGTCCTATCATGTTGGGCTTTATCATTGCTTTGGATTTTTTCCAGACTTTGAAATACTCATTCATCAGGCCTTCTGCATTTGCGCGTCTGACTTTTCATGGCCTCAAACTATAAGAAAGGAGATTCCACCTGAACATTAGGAAGAACTTCCTGATCGTGAGAGCTGTTCAGCAATGGAACTCTTTGCCCCAGAGTGTGGTGGAGGCTCTTTCTTTGGAGGCTGGATGGCCATCTGTGGGGGTGCTTTGAATGTGATTTTCCTGCTTCTTGGCAGGGGGTTGGACTGGATAGCCCACGAGATCTCTTCAATTCTATGATTCTATGGTTAATGGATATACTTATGCATAGATTTGATTATATCTCTGGATCTTCCACATCAACTTTCTCCAGTCAAGCTGTAGGACCAAGAGATTCCTAGAGAGAGAACCTTAAGTGGAAGTCAACCATAGAATTGTACTACTAATCCCAGGATTCCATGGGATGGAGCCATAGCAGTGCTATAGTTCTGCAGTGTGAGTGGCCTCCTGAGTTTATCAATGCAAAACATTAGTGTCATTGTTTGGGTGTAAGCTCCAAATTGATTTATTGAACATACATTTGAAAAGGTATAGAAAGAACCACACAGCAGGAAAGTATAGATTCCCCAGGTAGATTAAATGAGAAAAGACATGAATCAGTGGGATTTTCATGCAGTTTGACTTTAGCTGATGCACTGATTTACATCCTGACTTTTGCTCACTGCATTTGCCTTTGGGTGATGTGTACAGAGAGCGCCAAACCGAAAGAAGGCATCATGTTGTTGTTAAATGCCTTCAAGTTGACTTCGACTTAGGTAAAGGTAAAAGTTTCCCCTTGACATTAAGTCCAGTTGTGTCCAACTCTGGGGGGTGGTGGTCATCTCCATTTCTAAGCTGAAGAACTGGCGTTGTCCGTAGACGCCTTCAAGGTCATGTGGCCAGCATGACTGCATGGAATGCTGTACCTTCCCAGCATAACTCAATGACTGATCATTGATTTATGCTGAAGGACCGAGAGGTTCCTAGAGAGTTGTTTCCTTGGATGTGCATTTTTCCAATTTCACAATGGTCTTATGTTCTGAACCAGACATGGGCAAACATCGGCCCTCCAGGTGTTTTGTACTTTAACTCCCACAATTCCTAACAGCCTCAGGCCCTTTCCGTTTCTCCTTCAGCTGCTTAAGTGGAAAAGAAAAGTGAAAAGGGAAAGGAAGGGGCCTGAGGCTGTTAGGAATTGTGGGAGTTGAAATCCAAAACCTCTGGAGGGTCTAAGTTTGCATGCCTGCTCTAAACCCTGAAAACTGAAGGGTCTACTGCAGGTAGGGGTAAACCCAGGCCCGGGGGCCGAATGCAGTTCCTTGGGCTCTTTTCTCAGGCCCTCCTCTCTCACACCATCCCATCCTATCCTTCCTTCTCTCTTTCTTTCCTCCTCCCTCCCTCCCTTCCCTCTCTCTTTCTCCCTCCCTCCCTCCTTCCTTTCCTTCCTTCCTTCCTTCCTTCCTTCCTTCCTTCCTTCCTTCCTTCCTTCCTTCCTTCCTTCCTTCCTTCTCCCTTTCCTCCCTTCTATTCTTCTTCCTCCCTCCCTTCTCTTTTTCCTTCCTCCTTTCCTCCTGGGAGATGTCTAGCTGGGAGAAGAGGAAGTAGAGAGGGAAAATGAGAACCATGTTTCAAGATTTAGAGGGTGTCCCATTGAGGAGGAAGAGGAGAGGGAAAACTGACTTTCTGCTGCTCTAGAGACCAGGGCACAAGGGGTCAATGGGTTCAAATGACAAGGAAAGAGATTCAGCTGAGAAAATTAAGAACTTCTTGAGAGTAAGAGATGTTGGAGAGTGGCACAGGCTGCCTGGGAGTGTGGTGGAGTCTCCTTCTCTAGAGGCTTTTCCTCAGAGGCTGTCTATCGGGAGTGCTTTGATTGTGTCTCCTTGCATGGCAGGGTGTTGGACTGGATGGCCCTTGGGGGTCTCTTCTAGCTCTCGGATTCTAGCTCTCAGATAGTCAATATGGGGTCTAATGGATACACTTTTTCTCTCCCATCCACCATCTCATCCTGACCAAGGTCGACCCTTTTGGGATCCAAGCTTTTCCTGTCTTTCCTTCAGTTTCTGCCTCCAAAAGAGAAGAGGAAGGGGTGGAATGGGCAAGGAGGGGACTTGGGGAAAACCCCCTTCCTCCTGGCCCACCCACCCCGCTCTGGCTCACCATGCGGCCCCGAGTTAGAAAGTTTGCCCATGCCTGGTCTACTGCATTCTTCCCTAAATCACAAATTAGAGGGTCTACTGTTTATCCTCCTAAATTGCAAAACCAGGTTTCAGTATGAAGGAGCCCAAAGAGAGAGGATTGTGGTAGTTTCCAATTCAGTGCCAAATACATGTGTTGATCTTGAGTATCAAGTACTCTCATAATCATCCAGGAGATAACGGGGCAGTGGAAGAAAGTATCTGGAATTAGACGTGAATACAGCGGGGGTGGGAGTTATATTACCCTCCTGAAGTTATTGGACTACAATCCCCTGCATTCCTCATCTTTGCAGGGAACTGCAATCCAACCATGTCAGGAGTACAACATGATTCCCATCCCATCTGATAGTGGCTTCTTGGAAGTGAAGGTAGGAAACACTCTGCACACAAGGAAAGAAAACCAACTTCTGAGTGATGCTTTCATGCGGTTCAGAAGGTGAGCTCTGGGTTTCGGAGCTACGCCTTGGCTCCCTTGGCCGCCATCTCTTCCCGGATCTCCTTGGGCTCCTCTCCCCTCTTGTAAACGCTGACGGTCACCTTCCCTGTTTCGGAGCCCCACTTGTTCTTGACGTGGATGCTGAACTTCCCCGTGTCTTCGCTGCTGACATTCTCGATGGTGATGGTGATGACCGTCCCTTTCACATCCATCCGGTACCGGTCCTGGAAAGTGATGGCTTTCTCGTTCTTGTACCAAGTGATTTCTGGGTACGGGTCACCAGAGATGATGCACGTCAAGCAGAGGGTCTGGGTGACAAATGATAACAACAGTGTTACTGTGGGGATTCTCATTTGGCAACTGTAAATACGAAAAGGTATTTCATAGGTTAGGAAAGGAATACAATTGATATAACACTGATGCCCAGTGTTAGCATAGTACCTCCATAAAAGTCGGGGGGGGGGGAGGAATTAAAAATAGCTTTTTAAAAATCTGAGTGAACATCCCGCTATGCATTTTTAGGTCCTTCAGCAACTCTTTGGTCAACTTCATTCTAGGAATCTCCAGATTTCCCAGCACAAATCTACAGGCAACTTCCACCTATGGCAGCGTTTCTCAACCTGGGTGTCAGGACCCCTGGGGATGGGGTTGCCAGGGGGGTATTTTCTGTTTGTCATGGTGTTCTCTGTGGGAAGTTTGGCCCAATTCTATCATTGGTGGGGTTCAGAATGCTCTTTAAATCCCAGCAACTACAACTCCCAAATGTCAAGGTCTATTTTCCCCAAACTCCACCAGTGTTCACATTTGTGCGTATTAAGGATGCATGCCAAGTTTGGCTGAGATCTATAATTGTTTGAGTCCACAGTGCTCTCTGGATGTAGGTGAACTACAACTCCAAAACTCAAGGACATGGCCACCAAACCTTTCAAGTGTTTTCGGTTGGTAATGGGAGTTCTGTGTGCCAAGTTTGGTTCAATTCCATTGTTGGTGGAATTCAGAATGCTCTTTGATGGTAGGTGAACTATAAATCCCAACCACTACAACTCCCAAATGACAAATTTAATCTTCCCCAACCCCACCAGTATTAAATTTGGGCATATTGGGTATTTGTGCCAAATTTGGTCCAGTGAATGAAAATACATCCTGCATATCAGATATTTACATTACAATAGCAATGTTACAGTTCTGAAGTAGCAATGAAAATAATTTTATGGTTGGGGGTCAGCACAACATGAGGAACTGTATTTAGGGGTCGCAGCATTGGAAAGGTAGGGAACCACTGTCCTAAGGGGACCCCATTATATCGTCTCTGATGGAACAGGGCAGAACAGATAAATGGTTGCCTCTCCTGCTCTGTAAATGGCAAAAGCTCTCTTGTGCTGATCAAAGTAAGATCTTATTAATCCTGGTAACACTTTCTTTTTAATAGATTCAATTTAATTCTATTTCAATGTTTGCATGTTTTCTAATGTTTGAATTATATAGTGTATTGCTTCTACTATTCGCTGCTTTAGGTCTCTTTCTGAGAGAGATAAAGCAGGATACAAATAATAATAATAATAATAATAATAATAATAATAATAATAATAATAAGACATCACGATTATGGAAAAGAAAAAAGTTTGGATTATTGATGTCGCCATACTAGGTAATAGCCGAAATGAGGAAAAACAACAGGAAAAACTCAGCCGTTATCAAGAACTCAAAATCGAACTGCAAAGGCTCTGGCATGAACCAGTATAGGTGGTCCCAGCAGGGCGGCTCAACCCATTACGCAAAGTAAGCATTTGCAGTATAATTGATTTTGCCCAGGGGCGCTCTTGAGGCGCTCTTGGGGGAAAATAGACCTTGACATATGTGAGTTGTAGTTACTGGGATGTATAGTTCATCTACAATTAAAGAGCATTCTGAACTCCACCAATGATGGAATTGAACCAAATATGGCACACAGAACTCCCATGACGAACAGAAAATATATATCAGTGATTGGTTGGGGGGGGGGGGGGCCAAAATACTGTTTGCTTACAGTTGAAAATTACCTAGGGCCGCCTCTGGGTCCCAGTGGTCATCGGCACACTGGGTGCCGTGCCAAAAGACCTCAGCCGGCATTTGGAAACAATAAACATTGACAAAATCACGATCTGTCAAATGCAAAAGGCCACCTGACTTGGATCTGCGCGCATCATTCAAAAATACATCACCCAGTCCTAGATGCTTGGGAAGTGTTCGACTTGTGATTTTGTGATACGAAATCCAGCATACTGTGACATACTGTGTTTTTGTGTCAGTAAAATAATAATAATAATAATAATAATAATAATAATAATAATATCATCATCATCATCATCATCATGGTAGGATTAGTGTGTCCATAATCTTTGTTGTTATGTGCTTTCGAATTTATACGGCTATCTTAAGGCAACCCTATCATGGTGTTTTCTTGGCAAAATATTCTCAGAGTGACTTTAGCTTTGGCCTGCTTAGAGGCTGAGAAAGTATGACTCGCCCAAGGTCACCCTTGAGTTTCCCTGATTAAGAAAGGAATTCTGTTTCCCTGATGAAGAAGGGAAACCACTGCACCATGCTGCTCATAATCACAGCCATACCTTATTCTCCATGATGGTGGCAACATCTGGAAGGCCACGGACAACTTTGGCTCGGTCTGGAGGGAAAACAGAAGTTATTGTTGCCATTATGACACCCCTCCCTTTTAACGTATGAAGCTATGCAGTTTTCTTAGGTCATGTCATATAGTTCCCCACATCCTAGGAGGGGAAGACAGTTTCCCCCAGCTTTTTGTTGTCAAACTTTAAAGAACTAAGAGTTTCTAGCTCCATTTTGCAGAAACCGTGGAGCAGTCTTGCTATAAGGAAATGGAATCATCAGCTGAAAGCAAAGGAAATTAAAGGGCAAATGAAGGAAAATGAACCTAGGAACACTACGAATAAGATTTCCCATTGTTTAGGAAAACATTGACTGTGAAACAGTACAGTGAAACAGTACAGGGAAGACAAGCGGACAAACGTCCGCATGCTGGAAGGAGCAAAGACCACCAGCATTAAAGCAATGGTCCTCCGCCATCAACTCTGCTGGACCGGCCACGTTGTCCGGATGCCTGACCACCGCCTCCCAAAGCAGTTGCTCTACTACACAATCAAGAATGGAAAACATAATGTTGGTGGGCAGGAAAAGAGATTTAAAAATGGGCTCAAATCCAACCCTAAAAACTCTGGCATAGACACTGAAAACTGGGAAGCCCTGGCCCTTGAGCACTCCAGCTGGAGGTTAGCTGTGACCAGCAGTGCTGGAGAATTTGAAGAAGCATGAATGTAGGGCAGAAGAGAGAAACGTGCCAAAAGGAAGGTGCATCAAGTGTATCAAGCCAACCCCGACCGGGACCACCTTCCACCTGGAAACCAATGCCCTCACTGCAGGAGAACATGCAGATCAAGAATAGGGCTCCACAGTCACCTACGGACCCACCACCAGTACACTGATCTTGGAAGACAATCCTTCTTGGGCAATGAGGGATTGCCTAAGTAAAACTATATATATATATATATATATATATATATATATATATATATATATATATATATATATATATATATATATATATATATATATATATATAGAGAGAGAGAGAGAGAGAGAGAGAGAGAGAGAGAGAGAGATCTCCAAGAAAGAGCCTTCCATGCTTTTTCATGTACTCACGTTCTTCCACAACAGCGGCTTGTCTGCAATGAAAAAGGGACATAAGAGTTAAATAGGGATTCTCATAGCTGCAATGTATATCTAATATAATAGGGCAGCATATTATGCAAGGTTCCAGGACTCTTTGTGATTTGGACAGATTTGGTAGTCAGATTTGGTAATTTTCAAGATTTCCTCCTTTCTGTTGAAATTGTCCACATGCTTGTGGATTTCAATGGCTTCTCTGTGTAGTCTGACATGGTGGTTGTGAGAGTGGTCCAGCATTTCTGTGTTCTCAAATAAGATGCTGTGTCCAGGTTGGTGCTCTGCTATGGCTGACTTTTCAGGCTGAAGTAGGCTGCAGTGCCTTTCGTGTTCCTTGATTCATGCTGCAATTGATGTTCCCTATGGGAACTCACTTCTGGTTTTCACTTCATGCGTTTTTGGCTTTCAAATTTGGCAGGGGGTGCATGTTGCGCTAGTTGGTTTGCAGGCTGCCTTTCCTCCATCTTCTGTGATATTTCCCCATTGCATGCACACAACAACCCTGTGAGGCAGATCAAGCTGAATGACAAAGATAGACATACAAAGCCTTTGTAGCTTTTTTCCCGTGTCAGGAGTGACTTGAGAAGTTGCAAGTCACTTCTGGTGTGAGAGAATTGGCCACCTGCAAGGATGTTGCTCAGGGGACGCCCGGATGTTTTACCATCCTTGTGGGAGGCTTCTCTCATGTCCCTGCATGGGAAGCTGGAGCTGACATAAAGGAGCTCATCATCCCCCCCGATTCGAACCGCCGACCTTCAGGTCAGCAGTCCAGCTGACACAAGGGTTTAACCCATTGCGCCATGATGGTTCCATGCCTTTGCAGCCAGTTAAGGATTTCAACATGGGATTTCTTTTTCAGGTGCTCACAATGTCACTACTACAGGGTTTTCTGCATGGAGAACGGAGTGCCAATGACATTAGAACAAATGGGGAAATTCAGGGATCAAAAACTCACTTGAATTTTTGATGTTCAACCAGTGCATCATCAAAAGCTGATAGAAAGAAAGAAAGAAAGAAAGAAAGAAAGAAAGAAAGAAAGAGAAAAAAGAGGTAAGTTGAGGCCAGGCGTGGGTAAGCTTAGGCCCTCCAGGTGTTTTGGACTTCAACTCCCACAATTTCTAACAGCCTCAGGCCCTTTCCTTTTCCCCCTCAGCCTCTTAAGCTACACTGTACACTGAAGAATCAATGCAGTTTCATACCACTTTAACAGCCATGGCTCAATGCTATGGAATCGTGCGTGATGCAGTTTTGCGATGTCTAACAAAGAAGGCTTGTACTTGACCAAACTATAACTCTCAGATCCAGACCTTATATGGACTCCTCCAAGGTACTGGACAATGCAAGTTACATGTATGTTCCAATGCACATCTTTCATATAGAAATGCGCAGAGCCATCCGTTGGCTGCTCACCTTTCCCAGACAGGTCAGTCGACAATTTGCGTGACTCAGTCCCATTCGTTAACTCCAAATCGTATTTGCCTTTGTCGGATTCCTTGGGGTCCAGGATGTGGATCCAGACTTGGTCCATGGTGGTCCCCGTTTTCAGCCTGTCCCCTCCTTCCACACGTTTGTCACTGAAAACAGAAAAGGGCATTCTATAACCTGGTGCCTTTTCGCACTACTGAAATATAGCACAGTTATTTCATCTAAACTGCCATGGCAACTTGCTTATGGAGGATTCAGCTTACGGAGGAGTGTGTAAAAATCTCGCCGGAGAGTTTTAGTGAATTAATGAATGAATGAAAGAAGGAAGAAAGAGGGAGGGAAGGAAGGAAGAAAAGAAGGGGAAGGGAGAAAGAAAAAGAAGGAAGGAGGGAGGGAAGGAGGGAAGGGGAAGGGAGAAAGAAAAGGAAGGAAGGAAGGAAGGAAGGAGGGAGGGAGGGAGGGAGGGAGGGAGGGAGGGAGGGAGGGAGGGAGGAAGGAAGGAAGGAAGGAAGGAAGGAAGGAAGGAAGGAAGGGGAAGGGAGAAAGAAAAGGAAGGAAGGAATCATAGAATGATACAGTTGGAAGAGACCTCGTGGGCCATCCAGTCCAACCCCCTGCCAAGAAGCAGGAAAATTGCATTCAAAGCACCCCCGACAGATGGCCATCCAGACTCTGTTTAAAAGCTTCCAAAGAAGGAGCTTCCACCACACTCCGGGGCAGAGAGTTCCACTGCTGAACGGCTCTCACAGTCAGGAAAGGAGAAGAAGGAAGGAAAAAAAAGGAGGGAGGGAGGAGGGAGGGAAGGAGGAAGGAGAGGGGTGGAAAGGAAGGAAGGGAAGGAAGGGAGGGAGAAAGGAAGAAGAAGGAGGGAGGGAGGGAAGGAAGGAATGGGAAAGGAGGAAAAAGGAAGGAAGGAAGGACGGAAGGAAGGAAGGAGGGAAGCAAGGAAAGAAGGAATGGAAAGGTGAAATAAACAAAGGAGGGAGGAAGGAAGGGAGGGAAGGGAGGGTGGGAGGGAGGAAGGGAGGGAGGGGAAGGAAGAAAGAAAAGGAAAGAAGGAAGGAAGGAGGAAAGGAAGGAACAGGAAGGAAGAAAGAAAAGGAAGGAAGGAAGGAAGCAAGGAAAGAAGGAAAAAAGGAAAGGAAGGGTGAAAGAAATGAAAGGGGAAGGGAGAGAAAAGGAAGGAGGGAGGAAGGGAAGAAAGGAAAGAAGGGAAGAAGGAAAGGAAGAGTGAAAGACAGGGAAGGAAGGAAGGAATGAAAAAGGAAAGAAAGAAGGAAAGAAAGAAACAAGGAAGGAAGGCAGGAAAGAAAAGGGAAGGAGGGAGGGAGGGAGGGAGGGAGGGAGGGAAAGGAAGGAAGGAAGGAAGGAAGGAAGGAAGGAAGGAAGGAAGGAAGGAAGGAAGGAAGAGAAGGAATGAGAGAAGGAAGGGTAGGGTAGGGTGAAAGACAAGAATGAAGGAGGGAGGGAGGAAAGGAGGGTGGGAGGAAAGAAGGAAGGAAGGGAGGGAGGGAGGTCTATATAAGGACGTAGCATGCAGGGAAAGGTCTTGGGCATATCTTGGCTTCTTTAGCTGAGATACAACCATCAATGGCTGGTAGGTTCCATAACCATGGGATACGGAGTCCACTCTGGAGTTTGGGCTGAACTTTAAAAGAACTATCCATGCTCCTTAAATGGTTTAGATTAGAACAACCCTGTCCCATTGTCCCAGTGATGTAGAGACTACTCACCACCATGGTGAAACTTGCAAACACAGCCTGTCCTTCACATTCATTTGGGCGAGGGCCCACAAAATAGTTGCCTCAGTCCATAAATGCAAACTACAAGAGAGGAGATTCCATCTGAACATGAGGAAGAACTTCCTGACTGTGAGAGCCGTTCAGCAGTGGAACTCTCTGCCCCGGAGTGTGGTGGAGGCTCCTTCTTTGGAAGCTTTTAAACAGAGGCTGGATGGCCATCTGTCAGGGGTGATTTGAATGCAATATTCCTGCTTCTTGGCAGGGGGTTGGACTGGATGGCCCATGAGGTCTCTTCCAACTCTTTGATTCTATGATTCTATGAAATGCACACGCTTTTCATACTCAGAACAATATACTGGAACGACATACTTGTGATCCCATGTGGCTTTCATGGCATCTGTGTAGCATTTCACCTCGCTGTCGATCTTGATGCCTTCTGGGGTTGGTTGGACTTTCAAAGGTGAGGCAGAAAGAACTAAAGGGAGAAATCAGAGCATGGCTGAGCCTCTGCCTTTTGTTTTTCTATTCAAAGAAACTTCATTTTCTTCCAAAATGAAGATCATGTCTACTACGAAGTGGCATCACTAAGGTTAGTACCAGTCCACCTAGTACTTATTATTATTTGCATGCTTTATCAAGAAGTTCTTGATACAGTCCAGTGCATGCTACAGCACGGTCATTACTATAATTACATTATACTAATAGCATTATTACTAATATTAATATTAATTGCATTCTATTAATACTACTTGTACTAACAGTATGCAGGCTTAGGAGAAAAGAACTTACTGCTGATCCTGGCAAGTTCTTTGAGGATGTCATCAAAGGCTGTCAAAAGCAATTTTTAAAAATCAGGGACAAAAATGACAGAACCAAGGAAATGCAGCTAAAGTGGAATCATTGTGCTATAATCATATTGTGTGAAAGGACATCCGGTCTATGAGGGCAAAGGAAGGTGTTGCCCAACGAGCCCAGAGGATCATACCTTCCTTGGAAAGATCCAGTTGAGTCGTATCTTGTCCTCTGTCGTCAGAAACGACTGCTTTGTATACTCCTTTGTCTGCTTTGGATATCTAGGAAATACACACAGAAAAATATACATTAAGGAATGAGACGTCTATAAGCCATACATAGGATATCTGTTAGTAGGGAAAGACAGACAGACAGACAGACAGACAGATAGATAGATAGATAGATAGATAGATAGGTAGGTAGGTAGGTAGGTAGGTAGGTAGGTAGGTAGATAGATAGATAGATAGATAGATAGATAGATAGATAGACAGACAGACAGATAGGATGACATCTGTCCTCCCCACGGTTTACCTTCTTAATCCGTAGGAGTCCGTCACCTGTCTTTGGATCGTATTGGCCATCTGAGCGGTTTTTGTTATCGAAAAACCACTGAAAGACGCTGTCTTTCTTCATGTTTGCTGCCTGTTAAGAGGAAAAAGTGAAAATTAGGACGATTCTAGAGTTTGGGGCAATGGGCATCTGCTCACCTGACCACTTACACCTCTTCCAACCAAAACGGAGAACAGGAGGCATGTTTAAGTCAGCACTGGGAAAAGGGTGCATCTACACTGTATAGTTAATGCAGTTTGATCCCACTTTGACTGCGATGGCTCAATGCTAGGGAATATTGGGAGTTGTAGTTTGGTGAGACACCAGCCCTCTTGGGTAGAGAATGCTAAAAACCTCTCATGGATCCATAGCACTGAGCCATCGCAGTTAAAGAGCTGTCCAACTGCATTCATTCTACAGTGTAGATGCATGCCGAGCCTGGTATGTTGGAGCATGCAAAGAATCAGTGTGTGTGTCAACTGTAAAATGAGATGCATGAAGGTGATTGGTTGGGCATTGCCAGGGGAGATGGCTGAACCTGGGGCTTTTGGATACTGTTACATTCTTATTCAGGTTGCTAGCTGTGCAGGAGCTTTGCAGAGAGAGACAGGCTGATTTGCTTCTTGGCTGCTGAAAGAAGATATCTCACATGGACACAGAAAGGACCATTTTGAATATCTCTAAAAGGACTTTTTGTGAGTCAGTGTAACTGTTCACATAATTGTATATGTGTTGCTCTGAATTACGAAGAGTAAATTTCTTGTTCTTTATTGATAATCTGCGTGGCAAGACAATGTGTGGACGGGTCAAACGTGAACTACCCATGATTTTCATTCAGCACATGGTACAATATGTAAAAATGGCTGAGCATCGCTCTGCAACAATGTTAGCTGTTTACTATTTATTTATTTATTTATTTATTTACGACATTTCTATTCCGCCCTTCTCACCCTGAAGGGGACTCAGAGTTGTTTATAAGTTATATGTAAATACAATACATACATTATATTATTAGCATAGCACAATATTACTAGCATACATTGCCATATTGTACTATACCACTATATTGTAATATTATTAGTAATATTACATGTCAGTTCTTGTGGGTTTTTTCGGGCTATATGGCCATGTTCTAGAGGCATTTCTCCTGACGTTTCGCCTGCATCTATGGCAAGCATCCTCAGAGGTGAGGTCTGCTGGAACTGGGAAAAAAGGGGTTTATATATCTGTGGAATGACCAGGGTGAGACAAAGGGCTTTTGTAAGTTGGGCTAGGTGTGAATCTTTCAACTGACCACCTTGATTAGCATACAATGGGCTGACTGTGCCTGGAGCAAACTCTTCTTGAAAGGTGATTAGATGTCCCTGCCTGTTTTTCTCTCTGCTGTTTTTGCTGTTGCAATTTTAGAATTTTTTTTTAATACTGGTAGCCAGATTTTGTTCATTTTCATGGTTTCTTCCTTTCTGTTGAAATTGTCCACATGTTTGTGGATTTCAATGGCTTCTCTGTGTATGCTTGCCATAGATGTAGGCGAAACGTCAGGAGAAATGCCTCTAGAACATGGCCATATGCCCCGAAAAAAAAAATATTATACTGGCAGTGGGTATTATTTATCTTGAAGGAAGATCTCCTTTTTGGTCAGTTTCTGGCCTGATTCGATTTACCTTACACGTCAGCAAGACCTCGCAGTCCTCAGTAACCTTCCACTGCAGTTGCTCAATGAAATGAGGTCCTGCAGGAAAAATGAGAAGTCATATTAGTCAACTTTCTACAATTTCACCATTTCTTTTGAGCTCCACCTGGTGGTAAATCATAGCTGGGCACCTTTGGGAACAGACCAGCACAAGGTGGTCACCAATGAAGCAGTGAATAGTCCAGGAGCTTTTCCTATCAGACAGACAGTGAATAGTCCAGGAGCTTTTCATATTTGCCAAGGCCTCTTACCGTGTTTTCTCTTCCAATCTTTCTTTTTGGCATCGGCTTCCGCTTTCAGTTTATCAAAATCTAGAGGTAGGTACAGAAGCATTGGGTCAGCACAAAATAGCAAGGAAGTAGGATTTCATGCAACGAGAATCATATTTAATAATAGTAATAATCCCAGGTGACAGCAGGATCGAAGAGAAACAACTGGAAAAGCTGACACGATATGAGGATTTAAAGATCAAACTGCAAAGACTGTGACACAAGCCAGCAAATGTGGTCCCAGTGGTGATCGGCACACTGGGTGCAGTGCCTAAAGACCTTGGCCTGCACTTAAACACAATTGGCGCTGACAAGATTACTATCTGCCAGTTGCAGAAGGCCACCTTACTGGGATCTGCACACATTATTCGCCGATACATCACACAGTCCTAGATTCTTGGGAAGTGTCCGATGTGTGATCCAATACAACAGCCAGAAGAGTGTCCGCTGTGGACTCATCTTGTATTTCAAATAATAATAATAATACATTTATATCCTGCCTTATTTCCCCGAGGGGACTCAAGGCTTTTAATCTTGCAATCAGATAAACTTTCGCCCTAACACAAGACCTATGGACTGTTCAGATCCAAGGAAAGCTTGGAAAAGTTACTTTTTTCGGAGCATAGCTTTGAATTGGCCATGCTGGTCAGGGAAACCCAGGAGAAAAATATGTATGACTTTGGCCTCATCTGTCACATAATCCAGTTTCTGAATCCAAATTATCTGCTAGTTCAAAGCGGATAATCTGGATTCAGAAACTGGATTATATGGCAGTGTCGATCCAGCTTTTGGCCCCATTTACACCGCCATGTAATACAGTTTGCAATTCATATAATGTAACTCAATGCAGTCGAACTGCATTATATGCATCTACACTGTTCATGTAAAACACCTTCAAATGTAGTATAGCTTTTGTTGAGAGAGGAAACAACTGTGTTTGTTATCATACGATCTGGTCCTTCGTTTCAAAACTCAGATCCTAGGCATGTGATCAAGAGGATTGTAGGATTGGGCCCTTGCTGATCCGTACCACTTTCAAGGTTTTAGTTTTGTATGCTCCTTTATATGACAAACAACCGTGCACACCTGAACCATTTTGCGGACTGCGGTAAACGAACAAATGTCCACATTTGCAAAGACGGCTATACACAAATGTCAACAGTAGAAGTGTAATCATAGAATCAAAGAGTTGGAAGAGACCTCATGGGCCATCCAGTCCAACCCCCTGCCAAGAAGCAGGAATATTGCATTCAAATCACCCCTGACAGATGGCCATCCAGCCTCTGTTTAAAAGCTTCCAAAGAAGGAGCCTCCACCACACTCCGGGGCAGAGAGTTCCACTGCTGAATGGCTCTCACAGTCAGGAAGTTCTTCCTCATGTTCAGATGGAATCTCCTCTCTTGTAGTTTGAAGCCATTGTTCCGCGTCCTGGTCTCCGGGGAAGCAGAAAACAATCTTGCTCCCTCCTCCCTGTGGCTTCCTCTCACAAATCATAAAGAGCTAATACAGGTTGAGTATCCTTATATGAAATCTAGAAATATTTTGGGTTTGGCTTTTAAAAGATTTTGGAATACCTGTGTTTGCATATAATAATAATAATAATAATAATAATAATAATAACTTTATTTATACCCCACCTCCATCTCCCCCAAGGGAGATGGAGGTTACACCAGCTTACACCAGGATGACAAGCAGCTTACACCAGGCCACGCCCATCAATACAATAAAACACAATATAAACACAAATACACAATAAATAAATAAATAAATAACATAAGATGCAAAACCAATATAAGTAAACAACACAACAGTAAACAACACATATGCGTACATGATGAAATATCTTAGAGACAGGGCCCCAAGTCTAAACATGAAAATTCATTTATGTTCCATATATAACTTAGGCACATCGGCTGAAGGTAATTTCATACCATATTTGTAATAATTTTGAGTGTGAAACCAAGTTTCTGTCCATCCAAAGCAAAGGTATCCCTCTCTCAACTACCCATGCAAACAATTTGGAATTTTGGAGTGATTTTGATATTTGTATAATGGAGGCTTAATCTGCGATTAGCTTTCTTTTCATTACACCCCAAATTGGACACTTTCAGCTTTCTGTTGAGCTTTCCTAGACTTCTGTATACATACCATCTCCAACCAGAGCCAAAGTGAACTGGTTTTCTGCCTTGCCGTCCTTCAGCTGGGCAGAGTAAGTCCCTTTGTCATCTTCAGAGAAGTCTTGGATGGTCAGTTCTACCAGGCCTTTGGCTCGGTCGAAATCGATCTTATGGCTCTAAAGTCAGACCAAGCGAAACAGCTCATGAGGAAGACAAACACCACCCACTCTCTCTCACACACACACACCATCAGAACACAAAAAAGCCATAGGAATAAGAAAAATTCATTCATCCACTTTGATTGACAGGCACCATTGCGGGTTTTACTTATGTGGATTTGATTAATATGGTCTCTCCAGGAGGTTCTACGTCTCTTTTGTGACTGTATGGTCAACCTCCAGTTGAAGTTGTGTGGAAGATGTAGAGACTCTAAAACACTCCTGTAGGCACTTATAGGTTAATAATACACACAGTCCTTGAGTTACAAACATCTGACTTACAAACAACTCACAGTTAAGAATGGGGCTGAGACCACAGGAAGCGAGATAAATCTATCCCTCGGAAGGGAAATTCACTCCTGTAAGAGTTATTATCATGGGGAAAAGGGGTCTCCACTGAAGCTCTCTCTCCAATCCTTTTTTCCACAACAAGCCATTTTTTTTCAAAATCCAGTTATCACAGGGAACCCTCGGTGGCACAATGGGTTAAACCCTTGTGCTGGCAGAAGTGAAGGTCGGAGGTTTGAATCTGGGGAGAGCTCTCTCTGTCAGCTCCAGCTCCCCATGCAGGGACGTGAGAGAAGCCTCCCACAAGGATGGTAAAACATCAAAACATCCGGGCGTCCCCAGGCAACGTCCTTGCAGACGGCCAATTCTCTCACACCAGACACGAAAAAAACAAACAAACAAAAAACAGGGACAGAAAGTGAAGTGAAATCTGCTGAACAGGGACACAGACAGGAAAGGAAATCCCACAGGAGTTTCCTATGCTATACAAAGTATATATATATACATACACACACACACACACACATATATATACATATACATACACACACACACACACACACATGCTGGAGTAACACTTTAAAATGTATCTGTTCTGACTTATGTACAAATTCAACTTAAGACTACTGCAATGCTCTCTACGTGGGGTTGCCTCTGAAGACTGCCCGGAAGCTACAACTAGTACAACGAGCAGCAGCCAGATTACTAACGGGAGCAGGGTACAGGGAGCATACTACTCCTCTGTTGCGCCAGCTCCACAGGCTGCCAGTCAGCTTCTGAGCACAATTCAAAGTGCTGATGTTGACCTATAAATTCCTAAACGGCTCTGGCCCTATTTACCTGTCCAAACGGATTCTCCCCTATGAACCATCAAGGTTGTTAAGTTCTTCTGGAGGGGCCCTGCTCAGTCCCACCACCTTCGCAATTGCGTTTGGTGGGGACGAGGGACAGGGCCTTTTCGGTGGTGGCCCCTCGGCTTTGGAACTCCCTCCCGATGGAGATTAGATCTGCCTCTTCCCTGCTGACGTTTAGAAAGCAGGTAAAAACATGGCTTTGGGATACTGCATTTGCAGAATGATGACTGAGTCAATAACTACTGACTTTTCTGGCGGATGGCGATGGGTTTGTGATTCTTTTGGACGAACTGATTTTTGCTGTAATTTGTATGAATTGTATGAAGCGTATTTTAATGTATTTTATATTGATGACCTATAATGTTTTTCTTATTATGTTGAATTTTATGTTGTTAGCCGGCCCGAGTCCCTCCCCGGAGGTGAGAAGACCGGGGTATAAAAACTCTAAATAAATAATAATAATAAATAAATAAGAACAAATACACACAACCTATGTTGTTCGTAACTTGGGGACTGTCTGTAGTGCACTTGCAATAAGTATATAACATTTTTAATTCAGGCTACTGACAAAAGTAGAGCTGAACATTAATAAATTAATAGCAGTGCACCAGGTTCATTCATCTGATTTACTATTGTTTTTAATATTATTTGCAACACCTTTTTGTACCGTGTTGTAGGATGTAGGTGGAAACATAGATACAGAAAAGAATGGAAATTTGTCATCCATCTTTCTCTTTGTTTGCTTAAAGAAAGTTCATTTATAGGGGGGTGTTGAGTAATATTATTTCTCAAAAGGGGGAGATAGGCCAAATAAATTTGGGAACCTCTGCTCTAAACATTCTTAGAGGGGTAGAATAATTAATAGATAGATACCAGCAGATAGGGGTAGAGATACAATTGCAGAAGGAGAATAAAAGAGAACTCACTGGGGTGCTTGAAAGCTCCTTCCCATTGAAGATCAAGTGAAGCTCTGCCTCCGGAGAGAGCTTTTCAACCTCCAGCCAGAGCCGGACCTCCCCTTTCTCCAGCACATCGATGTTCCATCCAGATATCAACTCGATCACTAAGAGAAGATCATATAAAAGATGCTCAAATACAAGACCGATGCCTAAATCTAATTGTTAGCCACAATTAGCATGGACCCACTTGTTGTAGATCAAGCAGAGGTTCCTGGTTTAACTGATGATTTAGAGAGGAATGTAAGCTTTCCTGTGGCACAAAGTGATGGGTTCTCAAGTCTGGGAAATTCAAGTCTGGGAAATGATGGTTCTCTCTGTGTAAAAACTGGCTCGGAAAGTGCAGGGTCTCAAGGGCATTCTGGGGATTCAGAAGTAGCAATAGCAGATAAGGAATCAAGTGGAGTGATAAGGAGAGTTCCCAGGAGAACCCACCTGGAGCTACTCAGATCAACAAATGGCTGTGATTACAAATCAGAGTCGAAAATAGATTGTATCGGTCAGAGAGATTGCGTAGGAAAGTTGTGAAGGAAATTCACGGGAAACTGAATGATTTCATGGGTGTCTATTAAACAAGTTGTTTAATTTATGCTCAGTTCAGGCAATGCTGCATTAGAGTGAGAAGCTAAGCTTGAGTTCTCTTGTTCCTGGTTCAAGTCAAGCTTTGATTTTGGATTTCAATATCCTGGAAGTTTTCTGTGTTCCTGTTCATGTACTCCTGTTCGTGTTTTGCTAGTTATGCCTTCTGGATTGTGAACTTATGCTGTATCTGTGATTCCTGGACCTCTGGAACTTTATGAGACATTTGGATTATTGTCTGGTTTTCAACTGTTGCTAAACCTTTTTGGATTATATATCTTCCTTTCTTATTCCTGATTTTTATATGCTTTTCATAAGTTTTTTACAATAAACCGTTGGCTTATATTCCTGGATTCTTGTGCGGTGTGGTGGTCATAGATGCTTCCAAGCCTGGAGTGCAACACCACTAAATTAAGTGAGTTGACATTATTTTTTTGTTTGTTTACGACATTTATATGCCGCCCTTCTCACCCCGAAGGGTACCCAGAGTGGCTTACAAGATATATATATATATATATATATATATATATATATACACACATACATACACATACAAACATACAATATATTGTATTATTAGCATAGTACAATATCAGTATTATATATTACTATATTGAACTATACCATTATACTGTAATATTATTAGTACTATTACATGTAATATAAAATATATAATTATAATATTACATAAGAGCTGATTTCCCCGGTTCCAATTGATATAATGTGTAATTGGCACTATTAATTAGATTTATTCTTGAATGAGACTGAGCACATTAACACACGAAGCTGCTTATGCACAATTATGGTGTGGCTTAATGTATGACATTGTGACTGTCCCAAAAGTTGTATCTATTGCACTTGATTTGTGATTGGCTTGTCTCTTTTCATTGATGGGGAAAACCCGTCAATGAATCAAATATCCTTCTTGTTCTATTGGTCTTCTCTATGTGAGATTCTCCTTCTGCTACAGTTCTGACATTGCAAAGTGGAGGAAGGTCTCATGAGAATGCAGAAACTGTGCACTTGTGGCAAAATAGAAGAAATAAGGGGGAAAACTCACAAAGTGAATGTGTAAAAGACCACAGGAATTTGCATCAACAAAGTGCCAGGAACTGCACTGAGATGTGGAAGAGATCGTTCCAATTATGGTATGTTTCCATTTGCTAAAATAACACTGTTGCGATGAGATAACAGATTAGTGTGATCAAGTCCTCAGCAAAGGCTCGACAATAGTAACTTCATTCAGTGCCACACCTTTCTACCAGCAACATGGGATTCAAGGTGGCTTACACAAATGCTACCAGGCATGGGCAAACTTGGGCCCTCCCTCCAGTTGTTTTGGACTTCAACTCCCACAATTCCTAACAGCCTCAGGCCCTTTCCTTTTCCCCCTCAGCCGGAAAAGGAAGGGGCCTGAGGCTGTTAGGAATCATGGGAGTTGAAGTCCAAAACACCTGGAGGCGGGGGGGGGGGGAGTTTGTCCATACCTGTTATAGCCTATAGAACCTGGTATTCACTGGCAGTGTCCCATCCAAGTACCACCCAGGACTGGCCCTGCTTCGAATGGATCTGGTTTAGCAACACTTACAGGGGTTTCGGATCTCATGGCTGATCTTCCGGAGCTTGTCCAGTTCTGGAAAAAAAAACACATACACGAAGGTGTCTTAGAGGTTGGAAGTCAGAAGGAAAGGTAAATTCGATGTTATTTTCCTGATAATGAATACCCTTTGGTTTGGCAGAGAGGTAGATACTCTGCTGAAGAAAAAGGTACCTTGATAAAGCCACTGGTTTAGAGTACAATCCTATATATTTCTGCATTTATTTATCTATTTGCAGTATTTATATTCCACCTTTCTCACCCCGAAGGGTACTCAGGGCGGATCACAATGTACACATACACGGCAAACATTCAGTGCCTGTTTCAGACATACAAGACAGACAGATTTAGGCATTTTCCAACTTCGGCGCCCGGAGGTTATGCTCAATTCCGGCCACAGGGCGGTGCTGGCACTTCATCCACTATGATGCTTAGCCCTTTTGATAGTAGTATTTCCTCTTTGTTCTTTTGATCTCCAACATTTTTATGGTGTCGTAAAATACCTCTCCGCTTTAAGCGGTACCTAATTTCTCTATTCACAGCTCAGCTGTTTTCTAACTGCTTAGGTCAGTGGTTCTCAGCCTGTGGGTCCCCAGGTGTTTTGGCCTACAACTCCCAGAAATCCCAGCCAGTTTACCAGCTGTTAGGATTTCTGGGAGTTGAAGGCCAAAAACACCTGGGGACCCCAGGTTGACAACCACTGGCTTAGGTGAACAGTAAGCTAGGCTTAACAGTTGGGTACTCAATCTGACTCGGGCTTGGAACTTGCCACCTTCTGTACAGCAGTGATCTATTGCTGCTGGCAATTAACCAGCTGTGCTACAGTCTTACCCTTATTCTCACTTTGCATATTCTCACTTTGATGTTGCTTGGCATTATATGCCTCAGTTTCAATCTCTGAAATATTGGAGGCTATTTATTTATTATTTTATTTACTGCATTTGTTGACCGCCGTTCTCAGCCCTAGGGCGACTCACGGCGGTGTACAACATATAAAAACAGTTTACAATAAGGCAATATCACAACAGAATATCAACATAACTATCAATAATACAATAATACAATTACACTAAATCATCCGCGTCGTCTCATCGTAGAATCATAAACCAATCAACAAGACTGAGCAAGGATTTAAAACATATACGATACAGGAAGTTACAAACATCCGACTTACAAACGAATCATAGTTACAAATGGGGTGAGACAGCAAGAAGTGAGAGAAATCCACTCCTTGGAAAGGAAATCCAATAAAATAAAATAAAATGGAAGAGTATTATCACTGGGAAAAGGTTTCTCCATTGAAGTTTTCTCACCAATCCTTGCTTCCACAACAAGCTACATATTTGAAAATCACAGGGACAGAAAGTGAGGTGAGATGTTCTGAAAAGGGGCACAGACAGAAATACCACAGAGGTGTTCACCCTTCCCTATTCTATCCAAAGCTAAAATTATAGACACACACACACACACATACTAGTTGTACCTGCCATGCGTTACTATGGCCAACCTTTCCTCTTTCTCTCTTTCTTTCCCTCCTTCCTTCACTCCCTCTCCCTTCCTTCCTTCTTCTTCTTCCTTCTTCTTTCCTTCCCCTTTTCCTTCCTTCCCTTTTTTTCCTTCCCATTTTTCCTTCTCTTCTTCCTTCCTTCTCTCTCTTTCCTTCCTTTCCCCTTTTTCTTTCTCTTCTACTCTCTCTTTTCTTCCTTCTTTCCTTCCCTCCCTCTTTCTCTACATCTTCCCCCTTCCTTCGCTCCCTCTTTCCTTCCTTCTTTCCTTTTTTCTCTTCCTTCTCTAACTTTCCTTCCTTCCCTTTTTCTTTCCCTCCCTCTTTCTCTCCTTTCTTCCTTCTCTACCTCTTTCCTTCCTTCTCTCTTTGCTTCCATGCTTCCTTCTCCCCTTCCTTCCTTCCTTCCTTCCTTCCTTCCTTCCTTCCTTCCTTCCTCCTCCTTCCCTTCTCTTCCTTCCTTCCTTCCCTCTTTCTTTCTTTCTTTCTTTCTTTCTTTCTTTCTTTTCTTTCTTTCTTTCTTTCTTTCTTTCTCCCCTTCCCTCCCTCTTTCTTCCCTTTTTTCTGTATTGTCATTTAGCTTTTGGAGGCTTTTAAAGTCCCTTCTGCTGTGTTTTTCAGTATTTTTATGAGTGAAGGACATACATTGGGTTATTAGGTGTCTTGTGTCCAAATTTGGTGTCAATTCCCCCAGTGGTTTTTGAGTTCTGTTAATCCCATAAACAAACATTACATTTTTATTTATATAGATATGGCTGGAGTTACACTTAAAATGTATGTGTTCCGACTTACATACAAATTTAGCTGAAGAACAAACCTACAGAACTCATCTTGATTATAACTTGGGGGCTACCTGTAAAAACATTTATAATTTACCTTCCTCGGTCAAAACGTGACTGGCGGAGATGTCTTCATCGGTGTCAGTTACTTCCACTGAATAGGTTCCCAGGTCCCTTTCGGTGGCATATTTCAGGATGAGCTTAGATCTTAAATGAAAGAAGAAAAATCGAAGCAAGAAAAATGAGGTCTATTGAGAAATGGAATACATTTCAAAGTTGGGTGTTTGTTGCAATTTGGCAATAGCAACAACAAGGCATAGAATGGAGTAGAGAGTACATAATTCTGCTTGCTGAAAATGTGAACTTTCATTTGACAAAGTATTTCAGGACCATGAAAATCCCCAAGTTTCTGCTTAATGGGAAGCAGTTGCTGTGTTTGACGTAGTCTGTTCCTCTATTGTTCAAGAAGCAGCTGACTGACAAAGAAAGATTCGGTAATATATTTTGGAAGCTGCTTCCTGCTCCATCAGAAGTTTTAGAAACTTTACATCAAGGTGGATATTGCATCTCCCAGAGGCTCTGAGTCTGGAACCCGGACTTTGAGACCCCAAACTCACTTGTCATCTTTATCGACAGCTTGGACTCGGTCTGGTTTCGGAGGCCCTTCATAATCCTTGGACCACATAAATTCAGAAGTGTCCACTACTTCGGGGGCCTCAAAGGCCATGTAGATAAACCCTTCTTCGTCTACCCCAAGTTCAATTTCTTTAGTACCTGCAAAAGAGGGTTTTTTTTAAAAAAAAAGTTATTTTCCAATATGTAGAGAAGAAATATCAATGGACCAACTTAACCAATTTAAGGCTGATGGGGTTTGAGGTGGAGAAAGAAACTGGAATTTTACTGAACACAGACAGGGTTAAGCAGAACAGAGTGGGACTATTAACTTCCCCTGATCTAGATCAGTGGTTCCCAACCTGTGGTCAGTGGATCACCAGTGGTCTGCAATAACAAAAATATGGTCTGAGGTCTCACCATTACTACACCATTGCTTTGAAACTATGTGGCAATGAGAGCAACTGGTCTCTTATAGTGCCCAGTGAATGGGGATGTCAGGAGGGGAGAGGCTGACTACCTACAAAAGATTGCTACTACCACATCAGCTCCAGATTATTAAATATGGTTTTCTGTGGGCAAGCAGATGGCAAATACTGGGTGGCATATGTTCTGTATCAGAAACTTGAGCTGATATGGTCTATCCAATGCAATGTTGTGAATCAGCACCCCAAAGAACCAAACCAAATCAAATCTAAAGTTGACCAAAAACTGATTTGTAACCTTTTTGGTACTAATGGAGAGTGGTCCCTGGTCAAGTGGTCCCTGGTCAAGTGATCTCAGGTCAAAGTGGTCCCTGGTCAAGTGATCCCTGGTCAGTGTTCCTTGGTCAAAGTGATCGCTGGTCAAAGTGGTCCCTGGTCAAGTGGTCTCTGGTCAAAGTGGTCCCTGGTCAAAGTGGTCTCTGGTCAAAGTGGTCCCTGGTCAAGTGGTCCCCGGTCAGTGTTCCTTAGTCAAAGTGGTCCCTGGTCAAGTGGTCCCCGGTCAGTGTTCCTTGGTCAAAGTGATCCCTGGTCAAAGTGGTCCCTGGTCAAGTGATCTCAGGTCAAAGTGGTCCCTGGTCAAGTGGTCCCTGGTTAAGTGGTCCCTGGTCAAAAAAAGGTTGGGAACCACTGCTTTAGATCCTCCAGAGCAATTCCAGTTGTCAACTTCCGCTGCATACTGATCTTAGAATTACTCTGGAGGACCTACAAATGCTTTGAGAAGTCTTATGTCTAGGAACCTCTAGGTCTTCCAGCACAAGTCTATGGCCGACATGTGATTGAAGTTGACCATCATGCTGGAGGTCATACAGCATGCTCTTTAGCTCCTCCACCTCTACTCTGTCATCAACCTCTGATGGGCATTGACCATTGTATCCCTCTGGAGGACCTACAGATGCTTGGAAATATGTTATTTCTAGGAATCTCTAGGGAACCGCTGATCTAGAAACTATACTCCTGTTGATGCAACTGATAATTGCATTGGCCTTTTTAGCTGCCACATCACACCCTTGACTTACACTCATCTTGATTTAACATTTTGTTGCTTTATACCTGGTTTGGTTTTTACTATGACAGGATCTGATGGCAAAGATGGTGGACCAATCCCTGCCTTGTTCATGGCCCGCACTCGGAAAATGTAGCTCTTTCCTGTCTCCAGATCAGAAAGCTGCAGAGGGAAAATATTACAAGAAGGAGCAGATCACAGACAGCAGTGGATAGAGGTCATAAGTAAAGCTGATGCAGACAGGCAGACTCAATTTCTTGGGTGGAAAGTGTGACCTCGGAAGTTATGTCGGTAAATGGACTGGAAACTGTATGCTCAGGAAATAAGCTCCTCCTAAAAGAGAGATTTCTAAAAGACTTCTAGACTTTCCACTGCAACATTTGGTTAACTTCTGTTGGAAACAGAATCCTGGATTATATGGTGCCAGTTAAATTCTAGTCTTATTCGGACTCACAATCTCAAACTAATTATCATGAGTTGTTTCCCAGTCAGAAGGCAGTGGTGAGAGTAGTTTTGAAATGGTGCTGTGGAATCATGTTTTGAGATCATTCCTAACAGGCTGAAATAAATATGGGGGGGACCCTTTTTTTCAACTTCAGGGAGCTGCATTCCAACTTTAAGGCAGTTGGCAAAGCAAAGTGGACAAGGTTGAATGGAAATCTATGCCATTAGGCCACTTTCTTGATTCTTTCACATACAAGAACATTACACAGTAATAGGCATGTCTACTCAGAAAAAAAATCTGGAGAAAAACTTCATCAAGATGCAAAACAAAGCTCCAGACAATCACTTCCTGGATTTTAAATGCCCTCTTATCTTCAAGCATTGACCCCTTATTTCCAGACACTTGTTTCTTATCTCCAACCATTGATCCCTTATCTGAACTTCTTGACCTCTTATCTCCACTTACTGACCTCTTATCTTCATTCACTGAACTCTTATCTCCTCTCACAGATCTCTTATCTCCATTCACTGAACTCTTCTCTTCATTCATTGACCTCTTTTCTCACAAATCTCTTATCTCCATTCACTGACTGCTTATCTTTATTTATTAATCTCTTATCTCCATTCACTGACCTCTTATTTTCATTCATTGACCTCTTATCTCCACTCACTGACCTCTTCTCTTCATTCACTGACCTCTTATCTTCATTCATTGACCTCTTATCTCCACTCACTGACTTCGTCTCTTCATTCATTGACCTCTTCTCTCACAGATCTCTTATCTCCATTCACTGACCTCTTATCTTCATTCATTGACCTCTTATCGCCACTCACTGACGTCTTCTCTTCATTCATTGACCTCTTATCTTCTCTCACGGATGTCTTATCTCCATTCACTGACCTCTTATCTTTATTCATTGACTTATTATGCCCATTCACTGGTTTCTAATCTCCAACCACTGTCCTCTTATCTCCACTCACATCTCTTATCTCCACTCATCGATCTCGTATCTCCACTCACTGACCTCTTTCCTTCATTCACTGGTCTCTAATCTCAAACCACTGACCTTTTATCTCCACTCACTGGCTTCTATTCTCCAACCACTGACCTCTTATCTACGTTCGTTGACCTCTTATCTCCTCTCACTGGTCTTTTATTTTCATTCACTGATCTCTTATCTCCAACCACTGATCTCTTATCTCTACTCATGTATCTCTTATCTCCAATCCCTGATTGAAGCAGAAGGCATTTGAAGGCTGTACGGGGATCCCCAGTGGACTGCAGAACTGATGTTCCCTACCTTATCCTTGTCGCAAGAACTATATACCCATTGAGATGTGCTATGGCAATTAAGAATTACCATACAGTTTGATGACCCACCAAACGAAGACAAAAAACCAGAAAGCCTTGCGTCCTGTCAGATGTTTGACTGTCTCCACCCTCAATTTCAGTAGTTCCTATCAAGAGAGGAACAGCTGTAATGTAAATAAAGAATGCAGCAGCAGACCTTCATGTGGGTGCTGTTTATTGGCTCCTTGTTGAGTTGTTCCCAGGTATCTGATCCCTCCTCACAGGCCTCCACGAAATATCCAATGATGGGGCCTGCTCCGGTGTACAAAGGTGGCTCCCAATGGACCATGAGAGACGTGTCTCGCACTTCAGAACACCTTACATCATAGGGAGGGCCTGTTTGTATGGAAGGATAAGATTTTGATGCACATAGGGAAAAAAGAAAGGAAAAACAGAGAGACAAAGTGTGCTTCTACACTATAGAACAGTGTTTCTCAACCTGGGAGGGGGGCGTGAGGGGGGTTTCAGAGGAGTCACCAAAGACCATCAGAAAACACATATTTCTGATGGTCTTAGGAACCCCTTTGGCAGACGAAGCTGAAAATCTCTCCACCTGTACTTCTCTTCCTTTTTGGAAGAGAATCCTCCCACCAAAAGCCCTCCTCCTCTGTGATTGGCCAGCCTCTCAGCAAGCCTCTCAGCCAGTGGGAAAACTGTTCATGAGACTCCATGTGGGAAGGGGAGAACAGGTGTGCTTAGCACATGGCAGCACTGCATGCATGCGTTGGCAAGGGAGAGTGAACAAGGTTGAAAGGAGGCTCACAAGTCCCTTCAAGGAAGGGAGAAAGTGCCGTGTGATGTGGAACTGAGAGTGGCCCAGCAGCATCAGGAGGAGACGCAGCAACAGAAGCAGCTTCAGTAATTTGTAATGCTATTTATTAGGAAAAAAGTCAGTCTTTCCTTTTGTTTTTTAATTAATGCTCCCATTAGAAAATGCATAAGGATGTGGCTGAACTACAACTCCCAAAATTGTGGGTCAATCCTCCCCAAACCCCACCAGAATTCAAAGTTGGCCACATTGGGTCTGCGTGCCAAGTTTGGTCCAGATCTATCATTGTTTGAGTCAACAGTGCTCTCTGGATGTAGATGAACTACAACTCCAGAACTCAAGGTTAATGGCCACCAAACACTTCCAGTATTTTCTGTTGGTCATGGGAGTTCTGTGTGCCAAGTTTGGTTCAATTCCATTGTTGGTGGAGTTCAGAATGCTCTTTGACTGTAGGTTAACTATAAATCCCAAAAAACTACAACTCCAAAATTACACAATCAATCACCACAACCCCACAGTATTCAAATGTGATTGTATTGAGTATTTGTGCCAAATTTGGTCCAATGAATGAAAATATATCCTGCATATCAGATATTTACACTACAATTCATAACATTGGGAAAATGATAAGTTATGAAGTGGCAACAAAAATAATGTTATGGTTGGGGATCACCACAACATGAGGAACTGAATTAAGGGGTCGCGGCTTTAGGAAGGTTGAGAAACACTGATCTAGAATGAGTGCAGTTTGACACCACTTTAACTGCCGTGTCTCAATGACATGGAGTCATAGGAGTTGTAGTTTGATGAGGCACCAACATCAATTACAAGTTGATGATAAAGTTGTACTGGAGGTGTTTATGGAAAGGTGTTATCTAAATGTAAAAGAGCACAGTTTTTAAAACCCTGGCTTCCCATTTTTGCAGCCCCTCAACCCAAACCCCAGAGAATGTGGAGGGTTGACCATAGTCGTAATCCTGGCCTGCATTTTATTTATTTATTTATTTATTTATTTGATGCATTTATTAACCGCCATTCTCAGCCCTCTCGGGCGACTCATGGCGGTGTACAGCATAAAAAGGCAATTTACAAAAAGACAATTACAACAACATATTAGCAATACAGCAATACAACAATTAAAAGTTACACTAACTAATCCGCTTCGTCTCATAATAGAATCGTAACCAATCTCGTATTCCTTGTTCCATTCCAGTCATCTTTACCACATTATTATAGCACTTAATTAAATGCCCTCTCGAACAGCCATGTCTTAAGGCTTTTTCGGAAGGACAAAAGGGACAAAATTTTGGGCTTTACCTGGCTCTGGCATTGTCCATTCTTCACACTTGAAAACATCACTGGGTTCAGATACACTTCCAACCCCAACCACATTCATGGCGTAACCACGGAACTCGTAGAAGCGCCCGTTGGTCAGGTTGTCAGCCTGCAGAATCGCAAGATCCTTAGAACATTTCCCAAAGCTTTGTCTAAAAGCAATTGTATCCCCCTCCCTGCTCATACAAAAGCTTAACCAAATGCAAATGCAAAATGAAATAAAGCTAAACACTGTGTTGTTGTGAGTTTTCTGGGATATATGGCCATGTTCCAGAAGCATTCTCTCCTGACGTTTTGCCTGCATCTATGGCAGGTTGTGAGGTCCAGGGTGGGAGAAAGAACAATTGTCTGCTTGAGGCAAGTGTGAATGTTTCAAATGGCCACCTTGATTAGAATTGCACAGCCTTGCAGCTTCAAAGCCTGGCTGGTTGCTGCCTGAGGGAATCCTTTGTTGAGAGGTGTTAGCTGGCCCTGATTGAATCTTATCTGGAATTCCCCTGTTTATTAAAAAAACCTCTAAAATCAGGACAGTAACTAAAGAGGTTTATATATCTGTGGAATGTCCAGGTTGGGAGAAAGAATTCTGGTCTGTTTGAGGCAGGAGTAAATAACAGTAAATAAAGAACAACACTCAACAACAAGGAGATTCCAGACAAAAAACAACAACAACAACAACAATAATAAAAATTTGGAACAAATTCATAGCCTTTTTAAGGAAAAATAATATTAAGTACTGGTGAAACAAGAAGGAAAGATGAATCCCGAACATGAGCACAAACTAGGTTAGTGACTAACCACTAAGATAAGACTAGTTGGATGAGAAAATAAATATATGTTCGCTTGAAGACCCTGGAAGTCAAGAGGAATGTAAATGTATTTAATGTATTTATATGTATATTTAAGGCAATGTGTCATAGGGTCGGGGGGAGGCAGGGAAGAGGGTAGGTAAAAAGATAGGTAAGAACATAATGTATTTACGGACAATGAAATTGGGAAGGGAGAAATATGTGAGAATTAAGAGATGCGAAGGAAACTACCCAATCAACTACTGTAGTAGATATTTTAAGCCGTAGGGCAATTAGTAGAGGTGGTTGTAATGTTGTGATTTGTGTTTTTTGTATGTGTTGTTAAATGTTTTTGTATGTGTTTTTATTTTGTTTGGTATGTGTTGTTAAATGTTTTTTATAATAAAAATTAATAAAAATTATATTAAAAAACCTTTATTTATACCCCGCTACCATCTCCCCAAGGGGACTCAGGGCGGCTTACATGAGGCCAAGCCCAACAACACATCAGTAAAACAATGAAGCAATAAGCAAATAAACAACACAATTAACCTAACTCAGATATAGACAATAACACACAAAATTAAAAATAAAATAAAAACCTATGGCCGGGCTAGATGTAATAGTTTAAAAATTTAAAAATAAACACTGGGCATGAACAGAGGTAAGATGTATCTAAGCAGGAGGGTTTTCAAAGAAATGTAGGGAGAGCAACCCAACGTGTAGTTAAAGTGCTTCTAAGGACATTTTGCAGGGAATTGTTTCCTTTATTCAGGGAAGGCACACTGGAATAGCCATGTTTTCAGGCGCCCCACATTGGCAAGACTGCCAATGTGGGGGCTTGCCTATCAGGGCCTGCTAATCACCTCCCAAGAAATGGTTACCCCCAGGCAGTAAGAAGCCAGACCTTGAAACTGCTAGGCCATTAAATGCTAATCAAGGTGGCAAATTGAAACATTTGCACCTACCTCAAACTGACAAAAGTTCTTTCTCCCACCCTGGACATTTCACAGATATATAAATCTCACTTGCCTAGTTTCCAACAGACCTCACAACCTCTGAGGATGCCTGCCATAGATGCAGGCAAAACGTCAGGAGGGAATGCTTCTGAAACATGGAAAACTCACAACAAACCAGTGATTCCTGCCATGAAAGCCTTTGACAGTACATTAAAGCTAAACCATTGCAAAACTATAACCCAAGCTGCTGGCCCTGCAATGAATCTGCACACATTTGATACAGCTATCACAAATAACCAAGACAGAGAAATTGCTAGTTTTTTTCTCTACATCCTTCCCAGGAAACAAAATGCAAGCCTCCATACCGTGTAAACCCGTTCTGGGATTGGCTTCACGTTGACCTCATGCCAATCGATCTCGGCCACATCATGCTGATCCAGGAAATAGCCCAGAATAGTTGTGCCTCCTTTGCGTTTTGGGGGCTTCCAGCCAATGGTCATGCTGTTCTTCCCGCAGTTCAGCAAAGCAAAGTCCCGAGGAGGAGATGGACAAGCTGAGTGAGAAAGAAAGAAAACTGTAATCCAAGTTTGGGATCCAGTCTAACATGCATCTCCTAAAATTGTCTGGGTCTTTATTTGCAAGTTGGGGAAGTTTGAAAACAAGAAAAGTTACAGCCAGACTTTCTCAGCCAGCATGGCCCCCTATTGCGGTCCCCCAAAAGGAGTGTTACTGTTTTCTGGGATGGCACCCATCCTTTCATAAAACATACTTACAGATGGCCTGTCTGGCAAGGATGGGGTCAGACTCAGGGGACCTGTCGCCAACTCCTGCTTCATTGACACATTTCACGCAGAAGATATACTCTTTGCCGGTTTTGAGCCCCGGAACAACGAACCTAACCAATAAATGGAAATCCAAAATAGTAAACATAAATCCCTTCCTTTGACTGTCCCTCCCAGTCTTAGATATGTGTGAGGTCCAAACTATCCACTCAAGGGAACGTCAGGCCCCTTCTTCACTGTTGGAGCATGCAAGAAATCGAAGTGTGTGTGTATCAACTGTAAAATAAGAGGCATGAAATTGATTGGTTGGGCAATGCCTGGGGAGCAAGCCGAGCCTGGGACTTTTGGATACTGTTACATTTTCGTTCATGCTTGAGCTATGCAGGTGCAGAGGGAGAAGAAGTGAGAGGTTGAGAGAGACAGAGTTGGTGTGTACTCTTGTTCCATGAGCTGCTGAAGGTGTTTGCCCTAATGGACAAAGAAAGATAATTTTAAACCTCTCATAAAAAGGACATTATGTGAGTTGATACAACTGATCACATTGTACATATGTTGTTCTGAACTAAGAAGAGTAAATGACTTGTTCTTTTTTGCTCATCTGCATGGCATCATTTCTTTCCCTGACTGATCAAACGTGAAGTACATGTGATTTATTTTACATTGCGCTACATGCACTGCCATATAATCCAGATTATTAAAGCAGATAATCCACATTATCTGCGTTGAACTGGATTATATGAGTCTACATTGTCATATAATCCAGTTCAAAGCAGATAATCTGGATTTTATTTGAGAATGTAGAAGGGGTCTCTGAGTAGCTTTGTGCCTAAAGGAGATAAAAACAAGATGGTGTGCCCATTGGGTTCCAATACTGGTCTTGGAAGGTGAGGATTGCTTTGTAAACTCACTCGTGACACTTAAGGGGCTTGTTGTTGACCGTCTGCCATTCGTCTGTCCCAACCTCCTGGCTGTATACGTAATAGCCAAGGGGCTCTTCCTCACCCTCCTTGGGCTTGCTCCACTGGACAAGAACAGACGTGTCAGTGTCTCTGAAGGCCAGAACCTGAGATGGCGGAGGCAGGGGAGCTAAAGGAGAAAGAAAAGAATGGGAAAGGAAGAGAAATGGGATTCAGCTAAGAAGATCAGGCGATTTCGGATTCTGTGCTAACCCATCTCAGGTTCCGGTTCTGTTTGCTTGCTTTCTCATTTGAGCCATTACAAACTGACTGTATCCTAAGATACATTTTGCCCACCCCTGATTTTAAGTCATAGCCCCTTTATTTATTTATTATTTACTAGCTTTCCCCTGCCACGCGTTGCTGTGGCCCAGTCTGTTGATCTGGAAAATAAAGTAATGATAAAGTGTTGGTTTCTAATATATGTAATGTCTTTCTGCTTGTGGGTAAACAGTATTTCTTGCTGTTTCTTTGTCAGTGTTGATGTGGAGATTGTCTGGTTTGCCTACTCTGGAACATGCAACATATAATTGTCCTTCTTCAGGGGTCCCTTTCAAATCTAGGATACTATATCTGTGTGTGTGTGTAAATCATATCTATCTATATCTATGGCTGGATGGCTCTTTGTCAGGAGGACTTTATGTTTTCTTGCCCTGGTGAAGGGAGTTGGACTGGATGGCCTTGAGTATTTTCTGTTGGTCATGGGGGTTCTGTGTGGGAAGTTTGGCCCAATTCTGTCATTGGTGGGGTTCAGAACGCTCTTTGATTGTAGGTGAACTATAAATCCCAGTAACTACAACTCCCTAATGTCAAGGTCTATTTCCCCCAAACTCCTTCTGTGTTCATATTTGGGCGTATTGAGTTCTTGTGGCAAATTTGGCCTAGATCCATCATTGTTTGAGTCCACAGTGCTCTCTGGATGCAGGTGAACTACAACTCCCAAACTCAAAGTCAATGACCACCAAACCTTTCCAGTATTTTCTGTTGGTCATGGGGGTTCTGTGTGGGAAGTTTGGCTCAATTTGGTCGTTGGTGGGGTTCAGAACGCTCTTTGATTGTAGGCGAACTATAAATCCCAGTAACTACAACTCCCTAATGTCAAGGTCTATTTCCCCCAAACTCCATCTGTGTTCATATTTGGGCGTATTGCGTTCTTGTGGCAAGTTTGGTCCAGATCCATCATTGTTTGAGTCCACAGTGCTCTCTGGATACAGGTGAACTACAACTCCCAAACTCAAGGTCAATGCCCACCAAACCTTTCCAGTATTTTCTGTTGGTCATGGGGGTTCTGTGTGGGAAGTTTGGCCCAATTCTGTCATTGGTGGGGTTCAGAATGCTCTTTGATTGTAGGTGAACTATAAATCCCATCAACTACAATTCTCAAATGACAAAATCATAATTTTTGAGTGATGGTCACTCCTTGTGTTGTGAGACGTTTTGTTGCCAAATTTGGTGTGATTTCGTTCATTGGTTCTTTTGTTTTTAAGGAACTCATTATGCACAGAGCATTTATATGTATATATAGATTACATGCATTTCTACCCTGCCCTTCTCCCCCCAAAGGGGACTCAGGGAGGCCTCACATAAGCATCATGTCAACATATAAACAACAAGGGTTACAATTAAAACAGTAAAATCATTAAAACACATTATACAGATACATTACCAAGTTCATTAAACAATAAATTAAGATGCCAGTTAAAACCAAGTCCAAGTCGGGTAAATCCAGTGTCGCATATATCCTAACTTTGCTTCTAATTGTCGATATCTACTACACAAACACCTGGTTCCAAAGCCAAGTCTTCAATTGGGAGGTTAAATCTAAAATCTAGAAATAGTTTTCTAAGATCTACAGAGACACTCACTGGAACACCTCAGCAAGCGAGAGTCCAAAAGTGGCAGGCTCAAACCCAGAACCTCAACCAATGGCTGATACCCAATGAGAGACTCCCCCCTGGGCACACAGAGGACTGGGCGACCTGGAAGGCACTGAACAGACTGCGCTCTGGCACCACGAGATGCAGAGCCAACCTTCAGAAATGGGGCTACAAAGTGGAATCCTCGACATGCGAGTGTGGAGAAGAGCAAACCACTGACCACCTGCTGCAATGCAACCTGAGCCCTGCCACATGCACAATGGAGGACCTTCTTGCAGCAACACCAGAAGCACTCCAAGTGGCCAGATACTGGTCAAAGGACATTTAATCAAATACCAAACTCACAAATTTTGTATTTTGTCTGTTTGTTTCTGTTAGAAATGTAATATAATTTGACTGGTTGTTCTGACACGACAAATAAAATAATTGGGAGGTGGCCATCCTGATGTCCTTAGGGAGGGAATTCCACAGATGGGGGGCCACTGCCGAGAAGGCCCTGTCCCTTGTCCCCACCAACTGCGTTTGTGAGAGTGGTGGGATCGAGACAATCTTAAGCTTCGTGATGGTTCGTAACAGGAGACACGATAGGACAGGTAATCTGGGCCAGAACCGTTTAGGGCTTTAAAGGTTAAAACGATGGAATTGGACAATGCTTTACAATATGGAGACGCTAATGATGTTATTTTTTTATTGCTGTTGTGGTTTATATAATTGTAATGTTTTTAACTGTGTTGTGAAATTATGTATACTGTTTTGTTGGAAACCGCCTTGTTGAGTCGCCGATATGGCTGAGAAAGGCGGTATACAAATACAGTCAATAAATAAATAATAAATCAAACCAGCATTTTGAATTGTGCTCGGAAGCAGATTGGCAGCCAGTGGAGATGGCGCAACAAAGGAGTAGTACGCTACCTGTACGCTGCTCCGGTGAGCAGCCTGGCTGCCAACCATTGGAGTAGTTGAAGCTTCTGAGAAGTCTTCAAAGGCAGCCCCATGTAAAGAGCGTTGCACTAGTCTATTTGGGATGTAACCAGAATGTGGACCACCGTGGTGCCCCTTCCTTCCTTCCTTCCTTCCTTCCTTCCTTCCTTCCTTCCTTCCTTCCTTCCTTCCTTCCTTCCTTCCTTTCTTCCTTGTCAGCAATAGTGAATCCAGATTTTAGTCTAAGTATATCAAGTATATTCAGCACTTTGGAGAACTCCTTGTAAAGCTGGCCCAAACTGGAATGGGCCCACTGCATCACTGATATGGGATCCATTATAGATACTGTTAGGGCAACTAAGAAATCAGTTATTGAGTGTGTTAACTGTAAAATGCAAGGCACGAAGCTGATTGGTTGGGCCACGTCTGGGGAGCTAGCTGAGCCTGGGAATTTTGGCAACACTTTCATATTTAGGCTTGAGCTGTGCAAGTGCTTGCAGAGAGAGAGACACACTTGCTTCATGAGCTGCTGGAAGGAGATTTTCCACACGGACACCGAAATACCATTTATATCTCTCAAAAAGGGCATTGTGTGAGTCAATTCAACTGATCTCATAATTGTAAATATGTTGTTCCACTTTATGAAGAACTACTTGTCTTTATTGATCATCTGCATGGCATATTTTCTTTCTCTGGCAAGACAGTGTGTGAACTACACGTGATGTGCGTTATGCCAACAGATTCCCCCAGTTTTCCACTTCCCTGTTGTCCTGGTAGAGAACAGGTGCCCGCAACATGTCAGGCTAAATTGTGACTCTTTCATTTTAGCAATTTATATGACCTTGGTCTTGCATCCTACATGTGGAATAAAACACTGTTTATGTAACTTGGTTTTGAGGAGAATCATAGAATCATAGAATCAAAAAGTTGGAAGAGACCTCATGGGCCATCCAGTCCAACCCCCTGCCAAGAAGCAGGAATATTGCATTCAAATCACCCCTGACAGATGGCCATCCAGCCTCTGTTTAAAAGCTTCCAAAGAAGGAGCCTCCATCCACACTCCGGGGCAGAGAGTTCCACTGCTGAACGGCTCTCACAGTCAGGAAGTTCTTCCTCATGTTCAGATGGAATCTCCTCTCTTGTAGTTTGAAGCCATTGTTCCGTGTCCTAGTCTCCAAGGAAGCAGAAAACAAGCTTGCTCCCTCCTCCCTGTGGCTTCCTCTCACATATTTATACATGGCTATCATATCTCCTCTCAGCCTTCTCTTCTTCATGCTAAACATGCCCAGCTCCTTAAGCCGCTCCTCATAGGGCTTGTTCTCCAGACCCTTGATCATTTTAGTCGCCCTCCTCTGGACACATTCCAGTTGTCAATATCTCTCTTGAATTGTGGTGCCCAGAATTGGACACAATATTCCAGATGTGATCTAACCAAAGCGGAATAGAGGGGTAGCTTTGGTTAGACCACATCTGGAATATTGTGAAGAGAAATAAGATTGCACCAGGACTGTGGCACAGCTGGCTGGGAGTCAGCTGCATGAAGATCACTACTGACCAAAAGGTCATGAATTCGAAGCCGACCAATTTGAGTAGTTTGCGACCAATTTGAGTAGCTTGCTGTCGACCTTTGCAGCCAGAAAGACAGTTGCATCTGTCAAGTAGGAAATTTAGGAATTGCTTATTCGGGGAGGCTAATTTACGACGCCATAAAAATCTCCAGCAAGCATGCAAAGAACGAGGAAGTAGTTCATCAGTGTGACAGACGGTGAAGCGATAGCTACCCTGGTGGCCAGAATACCCTCATGAAAAAGCTGGAATATTAAGTAGCTTCTGTGTGTCTGTCTATGTATGTTGTGTGTCTATGGCACTGAATGTTTGCCATGTATATGTACATTGTTATCTACCCTGAGTCCCCTGCAGAGTGAGAAGGGCAGAAGATAAATACTGTAAATAAATAAATAAATAAATAAAGTGTGCTCTTTCCAGGAGATTAGTTTAGTTTTTCTTTCTCTTGGTTGTAGCTGAGATGAGTGTCAGTTCTTAGTGGCCAAAATCATCACCTCCTTTAGCCAGTAAACAGCCTCAGCAGAGTTCATGGTGTAGGTCTGATCGGTCTTTGGGGAGGCAGAGTTCTGGATGGTGTCAACAGAGTGAGCAAATGGCATCACTTACGGACCATCCAAAATAATTCAGAGCAAAGAACCAGACCCTGCTAACAAACCCATGTTATAAGACACAAAGTAAATATTTTACAGTAGAGTCTCGCTTGTCCAACCTTCGTTCATCCAACACTCTGTATTATCCAACGAAGTCTGCCTGCCACCCGGATCCACAGCTATTTCAATACATTGCGATGTTTTGGTGCTAAATTTGTAAATACACTAATTACTACATAACATTACTGTGTATTGCACTGCTTTTTCTGTTGATTTGTTGTAAAACATGATGTTTTGGTGCTTAATTTGTAAAATCATAACATAATTTGATGTTTAATAGGCTTTTCCTTAATTTCTCTTTGTTATCCAACATTTTCGCTTATCCAACGTTTTGCCGGCCCGTTTATGTTGGATAAGCAAGACTCTACTGTACTTAAAACGAAAGAATGACTACCTATTTTTTCGCCAGATGAGATGGGTTCACTGGGCAACGAAGGCTCGCTGACTCCATACTTGTTCACTGATCGCACGCGGAAACGGTAGGACTTCCCTTTGGCCAGGTCAAAGACAGCCAAGGTTGTTGAATTGACCGGAGTGTCAAGATTAACCCTCTGCCAACAGTCGCTGCCCTCAATGGACTAAAGAGGGAAAAAGGAAGACCCACAAATGAGTAATTGCCATGAAACTGGATGTTCTACTTCCATAACACTATGTAACAAAATTTGAAAAGTCTTTCGGTTCCTGATTTGAAAGTGTTATTCCTGTTGATTTGTGCAGTTTTTCCATTTTTGGGGCTGCCATAAACTGTGCTGAATTGAGACTCGATGAGCTATTGATTGAAAAACTAAAGCAAAATGTGCTGCGGGATGTTCTTCATGCAAAAACAAAGTTTTTGGGATTTAATAAAGTGTTTCCATGTTTTTTGCGATAGAACCAATTAGGAAATGGCATTTAAAACCCAGGAACAAAAAATGTGTCACATGGTGGAATCCATGGTGTCTGCACTGTCTTGTGAATTGGCTACTCCATGTCAGTGCATGATGAGTTTGAAGTTGAAAAAAAAAATCTTAACACTATCTTAACACCTCTCAGCAAGAGATTTTCCCAGGCTCAGCCAGGCCTTCAAATGCTAATGAAGGTGGTCAGTTGAAACATTCACACCTAGCTCCAGCAGGGAAGAGCTCTTTGCCCCACCCCAGCCATTCCACAGATATATAAACCCATTGTCCCAATTCCAACAGACCTCACTACCTCTGAGGATGCTTGCCATAGATGCAGGCGAAACATCAGGAGAAATGCCTCTAGAACATGGCTCTATAGCCCGAAAAAACCCGCAAGAACCTAGTGATTCCAGCCATGAAAGCCTTCGACAATACGAAAAATCTATCCGTTAGCTGAATCCTAGCCAAATAGGATCAGTGCCTTTGATAGTTCCAATGAAGGTCGAACTAAAGCCTGGAGTGGATTCACTGCAAAACGTAATCCAAAAGGCATTTTTGGTAGCCTACAGAGAGTTATGCAGTTGACCCTATACATTTGCAGGGCTTAGGGGTGCAGGACCCCTGCAAAAGGGAAAAAATGACAAATATAGGCCTAGTAGCTCTCTTTTTGGTTTGAGAGATCACTTTTCTGGGCATTTTAGGTCCTCCAGCACAATTAGATGGTCACTTTCTGCTGGAAGTTGACCATAGAATCATGCTGGAGGATCTACAAATACCTAGAGAAAACGTATTAGTTTTAGGTTTTAAATTGTATATGTTTAAACAGTTTATGAGGCCTGTGAAGAAAAGTATACTCAAACTTCTTGCGAAATGAATGTTTAATGGATAAGGCTTTTAAATACGGATGCGTTTAATTTATCGACATGGCTTTTAATATTTGTATGAAATGTTTATTTGATTGTGTTTTATTGATTTGTTATTCTTTGACTTATTTACCTGTGACATATTAATTATTTGGTTTATTTATTATGTACTTTTGTATCGAGTGGCTGCCATTTGAGTTCCCAGAAGGGAGATGGGACAGGATACAAATTATTATTATTATTATTATTATTATTATTATTATTATTCTGACACAAAAACACAGTATGACACAGCAAACGAGATCTATATGCTGGATTTTGTATCACAAAATCACAAGTCGAACACAAGTCGATTGTGTGATGTATTTTTGAATGATGCTCACAGATCCAAGTAAGGCGGCTTTTTACAGTTGACAAATTGTGATTTTATCAATGTTTATTGTTTCCAAATGCCGGCTGAAATCTTTTGAACGGTACCCAATGTGCCAATTACCACTGGGACCACCTGCACTGGTTTATGCCAGAGCCTTTGCATTATTATTATTATTATTATTATTATTATTATTATTATTATTATACTAGCTATCCCCTGCCACGCGTTGCTGTGGCCCAGTCTGTTGATCTGGAAATAAAGTAATGAGAAAATGTTGGTTTCTAATATATGTAATATCTTTATGCTTGTGGGTAAACAGTATTTCTTGCTGTTTCTTTGTCAGTGTTGATGTGGAGATTGTCTGGTTTGCCCACTGTAGAACAGGCAACATGTCATTGTCCTTCTTTAAGGGTCCCTTTCAAATCTATGATACTATATCTGTGTGTGTGTGTGTGTGTGTGTGAATCATATCTATCTATCTATCTATCTATCTATCTATCTATCTATCTATCTATCTATCTAATCTATCTAATCTATGGCTGGATGGCTCTTTGTCAGGAGGACTTTGATTACATTTTCTTGCCCTGATGAAGGGAGTTGGACTGGATGGCCTTAAGTATTTTCTGTTGGTCATGGGGGTTCTGTGTGGAAAGTTTGCCCCGATTCTGTCGTTTGTGGGGTTCAGAATGCTCTTTGATTGTAGGTGAACTGTGAATCCCAGTGACTACAACTCCCAAATGTCAAGGTCTATTTCCCCCCAAACTCCATCTGTGTTCATATTTGGGCCTATTGAGTGCTTGTGCCAAGTTTGGTCCAGATCCATAATTGTTTGAGCCCACAGTGCTCTCTGGATGTAGGTGAACTACAACTCCAAAACTCAAGATCAGTGCCCACCAAACCCTTCCAGTATTTTCTGTTGCTCATGGGAGAACTGTGTGCCAAGTTTGGTCCAATTCCATCGTTGATGGAGTTCAGAATGCTCTTTGATTGTAGGTGAACTATAAATCCTAGCAACTACAACACCCAAATGACAAAATCATAATCTTTTGAGTGATGGTCACGCCTTGTGTTGTGAGACGTTTTGTTGCCAAATTTGGTGTGATTTCATTCATTGGTTCTTTTGTTTTTAAGGCACTCATTATGAACAGAGCATTTATATATATATAAATTATATTTTGTTTTTATCGCTGTTCACTGCTTTAAGTCTAATTAAAAGAAAAAAGCAGTATATAAAAAACAATAACAATAATGATGATGATAATGACAACACACCAACTATAACACTTGTGGAAAAGAAATCTGTTTTTATTATAGACATTAGACCTCATCACACTAGAGAATGAATCCACTTTAAATCTGGTTTCTGCCTCCTGCAGAATTCTGGAGTTTGTAGTTTAGGGAGGCTGTTAAAGGTTCCTCCCTAAACTTCAAACCCCAGAATTCTGCAGGAGGCAGAAATCAGATTTAAAGTGGATTCATTCTCTAGTGTGATGAAATGGCAAAGAAACCCTGAAAAGCACTTGCAAAGCCTTAGTTTGGACAGAACATCAATCCACATGCTGCAGAAGGCAGCACATTTCGGAACTGCGCATATTCTGTGAAAATGCCTCTAATATCCTAGGCCCTTGGGAAGAGCCAAATATTCAGAGACGAATATTCAGAGACGAATCCAGACACTTGGACCTAATATGCATGTGTGCTGTGTTGTTATGTACAAATAAATCAACAACAAATAAATAAAGGTTGCATGTAGGGCAGCAACAGAGGAGGTCACAAATACAGGAATTCCTGCATAATTAGATCCACAAATGCTGAATCTGTAAATGAGGAAGAATGGCTAGATAACCATTCTGTTTTCCTTTCTGTCTGGGATTGCAAATATTTGTGAAAGAGGGAGATACATGTGGAAATAACACCCCAGAGCAGTGTTTCTCAACTTGGGGGTCGGGACCCCTGGGGGGGTGGTGAGGGGGCGTCAGAGGGGTCACCAAAGACCATCAGAAAACATAGTATTTTCTGTTGTTCATGGGGTACTGTGTGGGATGTTTGGCCCAATTCCATCACTGGTGAGGTTCAGAATGCTCTTTGATTGTAGGTGAACTATACATCCCAGCAACTACAACTCCCAAATGTCAAGGTCTATTTTCCCCTAACCCCACCAGTGTTCGCATTTGGGCATATTGAGTATTTGTGCCAAGTTTGGTCCAGATCCATTATTGTTTGAGTCCACAATGCTTTCTGGATGTAGGTGACCTACAATTCCAAAACTCAAGGTCTATGCCCACCAAACCCTTCCAGCATTTTCTGTCGGCCGTGGGAGTTCTGTGTGCCAAGTTTGGTTCACTTCCATCATTGGTGAAGTTCAGAATGCTCTTTGATTGTAGGTTAACTATAAATCCCAGAAATTACAACTCCCAAATGACAAAATTAACTCCCTCTCCTGGCTGTATCAAGTATTTGTGCCAAATTTGGTCCAGTGAATACATCCTGCATATCAAATATTTACATTATGATTCATAACAGTAACAACATGACAGTTATGAAGTAGTAGCAAAAATAATGTGATGGTTGGGGGTCACCACAACATGAGGAAATGTATTAAGGGGTCGCGGCATTAGGAAGGTTGAGAAACACTGCCCCAGAGAAAAGAGAGTGACCTGTCATTGGCTTACCTTCTCTACAAAATAACTCAGTGGCTCTTGGCCCCTGGGGTCTGGCTCGTCCCAAGAAAGGACCACATAATCTTCCCGGACTTCACTGGCATGGACATTGGTGGGCGGCAGAGGGATCTTGATCTTTGCTGCGGGAGGAAGGAAAATGTGAACACATGTTTGGACCCCAAGATGAAGTTTCTCATAACAAGGGACAGAGGGAGCAATGAATCCCATGGAAACTTGTCCAGAAGGACGTCTGTCAGTCAGTGATTCAAGGACCAAATGATAGCCATCACAGATGAGTCAATGCAAGCAGGGCCGCAGCCAGAAAAAAATTTCGGGAGGGGTTGAAATTTTTTGGGGGGAAGGTTGAAAATTTCGCGGGGGGGGGGGGGTTGAAACCTGCCTCCTAGCTCACGCTGAAGCAAAGAGCACAGCAGGGGGCAGAGCAGCCTTCAATAGCCTGCAGCTCCGCCCTGTCAACCACCTCCACCAAGTCTGGCCTCCTTAATGAGAGCATTCAACATCCCCCCCCCCCCCAACTTGGTTGCTTCACTACTGTTCTGTCGCGTGCTGGGCCTGTAAATAATTGTCTTTAGAACAGGATGTGCAACCTTTGCCCAGCGGGAAGCCAGGGGGCCTAAAGAGAAGTTCTCAGAGGTTTCCACCACAAACAGTCTTTAGATGGCTTGAGAAGTACAACAAAGTCTTTTATTAATGAACAATCAAACAGAAACTTCTCTTGTCTTCAGTAAAGTTAGGCAAATGATTCCAAGCTTTTAGGCAACTGGTGAATTCCTAATCTTGCCCACGAAGGTCAGGCAACTGTCTTCAATAACTTCTTCTTTAAAGGAAAATCCCCGTTTTAACTTCTCCCAGGCTGACTGTAATCTAACCCTTACTGATGTGGGCTCCGCTACCGGGTCGAACTGCGTCTCGAACGCTGAGTGGACCTACCAGCAAGGCAGTAGATGTTCTCCAGCTGGAGTTCTTTGGTCTTTAGGGCTGTTTTCCTGGAAATTCTTTGGAGACTCTTAAGACCTTTCTCCCCCGGAAGGTCTTAAGGGTTGAAGCTTTTGTACAGGGGAAGCTTGCACACATCCTGTACATAAGCTTACCTTGCTGAGACTAACTAAAAAATGGCTCCCTTCCCTTCCCAATTGCCCTGAGCAAGGGGCGGACCAAAACTTAACGATGATGGACAGGTGACTTGCCCTATGACTGCAACCAAAAGAAGCCACCTATCTGCAGAGTCCCTGAAACCTAGGACTGCAAGCAAACATTTAATACAAAGCAAATAAAGTTGGAGCTCCTGGTAGAGCTGTACCAGAACAACTACATCGGCTATTGCTGCAAGTAATGACAGTGTGAATAAATTGCCAATATTTGCTTGAGATAGTGCTTGCAGTTCTGGAGGGACTCTTAATTTTTTGCATCTCATAGACTTAGCATGGGGATTTGGTTAACCAGTTAAAATTCATGAGTAAACCAGTTTTAAAAAAAAAATCTGAAAAATTTCGAGGGGGGGTGGTTGAACCCCTAACCCCCCCCCTCGCTACAGCAAAATACAAGCAAAATGTTCAACTTCTTCCCCAATGTATATCACATCTACCTGAAATTGCAACTCAGAGCTTCTGTTGGAAGTTATAGAGATTTATTGAAGGATCGCCATCCCTTTCAACTCCAAACCCGGGAATGGGCAGCCGCAGAGAGATGATGATGATTATTGGGTTGCTGTGAGTTTTCTGGGCTGTATGGCCATGTTCCAGAAGCAATCTCTCCTGACATTTCACCCACATCTATGGTAGGCATCCTCAGAGGTTTTGTGGTTTTTTGGAAACTAGGCAAGTGAGGTTTATATATCTGTGGAATGTTCAGGGTGCTGGACACTCTAACAATCACCATGTCAGATGACACAGAGAAGCCACTGAAATCCTCACACATGTGGACAATTTCAACAGAAAAGAGGAAACAATGAAAATGAACAAAATCTGGCTAATAATATTTTTAAAAAATCTAAAATCAGAACAGTAAATTAAGAAAAACACTAAAAAAACTGGGGAATTCCAGACAAGAATCAATCAGGGCCAGCTAATACCTCCCAACAAAGGACCCTCTCAGGCAGCAACCAACCAGGCTTTGAAGATAAAAGGCCATTAAATACTAATCAAGGTGGCTAATTGCAACATTCACACTTGCCTCAAACAGACAAGAGTTCTTTCTCCCGTCCTGGACATTCCACAGATATATAAACCCCAACAAACCTCACAACCTCTAAGGATGTCTGCCATAGATGTGGGCAAAATGTCAGGAGAGAATGCTTCTGGAACATGGCGATATAGCCCAGAAAACTCACAACAACTCAGTGATTCCGGCCATGAAAGCCGTCAACAACAAGATGATGATTATGTTGATGATGATTAATGATAATAATGATAATAAAATATTGACAGGCAGCTCGGCCTGTCATTGAACATTGAGAAAACCAAAGTGATCTTTCAGCAGTCACGAACCAACCCATCTGCAATGCCATAAATTGGATAAAAACTATAACTGGAAGCCACATTTAGCCTCAATCTCCGAGTCCTAAAGTCAGAAATGTGGAATTGGTAGAGGTTAAATGCAATCCATTGCTCTTGAAGGGGTGAAAAACATCTAGATTAAAGAAGAAGATGGGAATGGGTGAAGGAGCATTGGGATGGCTTGGGAGATGAAAAATAGCCCCAGGGATGCATAATTCCCAACTCTTTTCCAAATGGCAACATGGCCAAAATCAAGGGTAGAAGTGTATTTGATACCAAGATTAAATTTCCTTTGAACTTACGCTCCAGTTCATCTTTGGAAACGGTGATGGTCCGCATCCCATCGTCATAACGGATGTCTAAAGATATGGAAGAGAAAGACAGAGAGGTTAAGAATGAAGACACATGAAAACAAAAAAGGAAACCCAGGAAATGAGGGAATTTCCTCCCGATTTAAGAGGATTCCAGCATCCACTCTACGTGAATCTGCAAGGATTTGAATCCTGGAGTCCAGGTTTAAACCACTATAGCATGCTACCTCTATTGCTGATATACGAGGGTTGAATGAAAAGTAATGCCTCCACCTTCGTAATTTCTTAACAGATGGCAGTATGCGGCAGGTACTGGCTTGTTCAGTAGACTCTCCTCTACATTTCCATGTTGGCGGGAAGCCTTAGCATTGAACAGTTGTATTGTTAAAGTGCAAAGTATGGAACCCTGCACATACGGCCGATCAATGCAACTTAAGCAACGTGCAGTCATTGAATTCTTGACAGCAGAAGGTGTCATCCCAAGGAGTCATTGGAGAATGCAAGCTGTTTATGGTGATTGTGTTGATGGGAGTACTGTGCGTCGTTGGGCGAGTAAGTTTAAAGATGTTGAGGTGGAAACACCTGACTTGCGTGACAAACAAAGGTTGGATGTCCTGTGACAGTAACCACCAAGTTTCACAAGCAAAAGTTTGACAGATTGATTCAGGAGGATCGTCATATCACTCAGAGAGAAATTTCAAGCATAATCAGCATTTCAAAAGAACGTGTGGGTTACATTATTGCTTTGCTTGGCTATCGGAAGATCTGTGCACGATGGGTACTCAGGATGTTGACACCTGAAATGAAAGCGCACAGACTTGAAACTTCAGAGACTGGATCTCACCACTGTACGACATCCTCCATACAGTCCAGATTTAGCACCGTCTGACTTCCATCTGTTCCTGATAGTGAAAGAAGATCTGTGGGGACATCATTATGCTTCTGATGAAGATGTTGAGAGAACTGTGAAATGCTAGTTGCGGAAACAGAATGTCGACTTTTTCTGTGACAGCTTCAGAAAACTTGTTCATCATTGGCAGAAATGTATCCAATTGTCTGGTGATTATGTGGAAAAGTGAATAGTGGTAGCTAAAGAGCACATTCTAAGGATTATTTCTGCATTTGATTTATTAAAATATTCCCATCCAAACCTAAGTAACAAAGGTGGAGGCATTACTTTTCATTCAACCCTCGTATAAGAGAGTGAAAGACAGGGAATAACTATCCTTGATATAGACATATCCAAAATCTATAATACAGTGAATGTCTTCTTTCACTGGTGGGTTTCATTGACTTGGAGGTTGATTTTGAGATCTAGAAAATCTTATAGAAAGTCTGTACTCATCAATCTTTTGGCCTCATTGGGGTCGGTCATCGTCACTGGATCGCTGGACTTGGATGGGTGGCTGATCCCCGCGCAGTTGACTGCCTTCACTCGGAATTGGTACGTCTTTCCTTCAATGAGTCCTATAATGGGAGACCGGCAGGTTTTCACGAGTGCTTCATTGCACGGCACCCACTCGTCTGTGTCCAGTTTACACCTGAAGAAAAGAAACACCATCATTGTCTTGGTGGAGATGGAAGCTGTGGTCCAGTACAGTTATGGAAGCAAATATTCCTTATGAATCATAGAGTTGGAAGAGACCTTGTGGGCCATCCAGTCCAACCCCCTGCCAAGAAGCAGGAAAATCGCATTCAAAGCACCCCCGACAGATGGCCATCCAGCCTCTGCTTAAAAGCATCCAAAGAAGGAGCCTCTTCCACACTCCAGGGCAGAGAGTTCCATTGCTGAACAGCTCTCACAGTCAGGAAGTTCTTCCCAATGTTCAGATGGAATCTCCTTTCTTGTAGTAAGATCACTCTCACCAAAAAGGTCATGAGTTCGAAGCCAGCCCGGGTTGGAGTGGGTTTCCAACCACTTGTGTGTAGCCTGTTGTCGACCTTTGCAACCCGAAAGACAGTTGCATCTGTCAAGTAGGAAAAGAAGGTACCATCTTAAAGTGTGGGGAGGCTAAATTAACTGATTTATGAGGCCATAAAGAAGACTCCAGCAAAAGCATTCCAGCGGGGAAGCATGCGGGGAATGCGGAAGTACTTCATCAGTGTCGCAGATGGACGATGAAAGCGACAGCTCCCCTGGCGGCCAGAAAAAGTTAAATAGCCTCTGTCTATGTCTGTATATGTTTGTATGTCAAAAATTGGCATTGAATGTTTGCCATATATGTGTACACTGTAATCCGCCCTGAGTCCCCTGTGGGGTGAGAAGGGCGGAATATAAAAGCTGTAAATAAATAAATAAATAAATAATAGTTTGAAGTCATTGTTCCGCGTCCGAGTCTCCAGGGTAGCAGAAAACAAGCTTGCTCCCTCCTCCCTATGACTTCTTCTCACATATTTATACATGGCTATCATGTCTCCTCTCAGCCTTCTCTTCTTCAGGCTAAACATGTCCAGCTCTTTAAGCCGCTCCTCATAGGGCTTGTTTAAAAGCCTTCAAAGAAAGAGCTTCCACCACACTTTGGGGCAGAGTCATCCATCCTTATGAAAGGATGGATGACTCCATTGTTATTTTTAAACAACCAGAGCTCCATTGCAATAAGAGTTATCATAGGGAGGGTTGTCATATGGATAAACTGAGGAAAATCACATCAAATTGTTGGTTGCTTTTACCTTTCTATAAAATAGCCAAGGACAGGGCTTCCTCCATTATCGCTGGGCGGGATCCAAGACAGCACCAGGCTGTTCTTATTCACATCAAGGCATTTCACACAAAGAGGTGACCCAGGAGCTCCAACCGTTTCAGTTTCAGCATCTAGAAAAAATATACGTAGCAACAATTGAGATTATCTTGCCTCACACCAGGGAAAGAAACCACTTGGATTGGTTTCCATCCTTGTTTGAGAGAAAGGGATGGGTATGGATTTATGTAGACCCTCAGAAATCAATGGGATTTAAGCCAGTTGTGATGATAAACCCCCTTGGTTGCTATTAACCTTCCCTGAGTCTCTAAAGCTGAATTTACACTGTGGGATGAAGGCAGTTTGACACCACTTGAACTGCCATGGCTCAATGCTATGGAATCCTGGGATTCCTCCTCTGACAACTTTTTTAGCCTTTTTTGCCAAAGAGGGCTGGGGACTCACCAAACTACAAAATGCAGGATTCAATCGCAAGGAGCCATGGCAGTTAAAGTGGTGTTAAACTGCATTAATTCTACAGTGCAGAAGTGCCCAAAATCTGGGTCCATCTAAGAGGCAGGAATGGCTTTTACTCAGTGTGGGATCTGGGCATGCATAGACAGTTACGAAAAGATTGGTTTTGTAGATTTGTTCTTAAGTTGAATTTGTAAACCAGAACAGGTATATTTTAAGTGTAACTCCCCAAACATATATATGGTAAAGGTAAAGGCTTCCCCTTGACATTAAGTCTAGTCATGTCCAACAAAGGTCATCTATGGACCAAGAAGCCATGGCATACAGCCTCTACACTCATCAGATGGAACCAAACTTCTGAAGGACAAAAAATCAATTGCACTACGTTGGAAAGGACACTACCAAAGCCTCCTGAATCGCAGCTCCAATGTGGCTGAAGAGGTTTTTTCACAAATCCCGCAACAACAAACCAGGGATGAGCTTGCAGCACTGCCTAGTTTGGAAGAAGTCAGCAATGCCATCAGCCAACAAAAAAAAAAATAACAAAGCCAGTGGACCTGATGGGATCCCTGCTGAAATCTTTAAAGAGGGAGGACCTGAGCTGACCCAACAACTCCACCAGCTCATAGAAAAAGTGGGGGTGAACAAGAAAATCCCAGTAGATTTCAAGGATGCCACCATCTTCACCCTCTTCAAAAAAGGGGAAAAAACAGACTGCAGAAACTATCGAGGTATCTCCTTTCTAACCTCCGCTGGGAAAATCCGCGCAAGAATCTTGCAAACCGCCTCTCAGAAAACACCCTCCCAGAATCTCAGAATGGCTTCCGCCCCTCCAAAGGAACAATGGACATGATCTTCACTGCACGACAGCTCCAAGAAAAATGCAGGGAACAAAATCAACCTCTGTACATGGCATTCATCGACCTTGCAAAGGCATTTGACACAGTGAATCGCAGCGCTCTCTGGACCATCCTCCAAAAATTCGGGTGCCCTAAAAAATTTGTGAACATCCTGCAGCTCCTCCATGATGACATGACAGCAACAGTTTTGGACAGCAATGGCTCCCAAAGTGACCAATGTAAGGTGGAATCCGGTGTCAAACAGGGATGTGTTATTGCCCCAACTTTATTCTCCATCTTCATCGCTATGATACTTCACCTTGTTGATGGGAAGCTTCCCAGCGGAGTGGAAATCATCTATCGGACAGATAGCAAGCTATTCAACCTCAGCAGACTGAAAGCCAAAACCAAGGTTACAACAACATCTCTTATAGAACTCCAGTATGCTGATGACAATGTCGTCTCTGCGCATTCAGAAGAAGATCTACAAGCCACTCTAAACACCTTTGCAGAAGCATACGAGAAGCTCGGCCTGTCACTGAACATCGAAAAAACCAAGGTGCTGTTCCAGCAGACACCAGCCAACCCCTCTCCAATGCCAATGATACAGCTTAATGGTGTAACATTAGAAAATGCTGACCATTTCCGCTATCTTGGCAGCCACCTCTCCACCAAAGTTAACATCGACACCGAAATACAACACCGTCTCAGCTCTGCAAGCGCAGCATTTTTCTGAATGAAGCAGAGAGTGTTTGAGGACCGGGACATCCGTAGAGGTACCAAGGTGCTTGTTTATAGAGCTATTGTCCTCCCAACCCTGCTCTATGCCTGTGAGACGTGGACTGTCTACAGACGTCACATGCAACTCCTGGAACGATTCCATCAGCACTGCCTCCGGAAAATCCTGCAAATCTCTTGGGAAGACAGGCGGAAAAACGTCAGCGTGCTGAAAGAAGCAAAGACCACCAGCATTGAAGCGATGGTCCTCCACCATCAACTCCGCTGGACCAGCCACGTAGTCTGGATGCCCGACCACCGTCTCCCAAAGCAGTTGCTCTACTCCGAACTCAAGAATGGAAAACAGAATGTTGGTGGGCAGGAAAAGAGATTTAAAGATGGGCTCAAAGCCAACCTTAAAAACTCTGGCATAGACACTGAGAACTGGGAAGCCCTGGCCCTTGACCGCTCCAGCTGGAGGTCAGCTGTGACCAGCAGTGCTGCAGAATTTGAAGAGGCACAAATGGAGGGCAAAAGGGAGAAGCGTGCCAAGAGGAAGGCGCGTCAAGCCAACCCCGACTGAGACCGCCTCGCACCTGGAAACCAATGCCCTCACTGCAGAAGAAAATGCAGAGCAAGAATAGGGCTCCACAGCCACATACGGACCCACAAGAATACTGGAAGACTATCATCCTCGGAAAACGAAGGATCGCCTAAGGCAGGATGTATGTATGAGTGGTTCTAAACCTTTGGGCCTCCAGGCATTTTGGACTTCAACTCCTAGAAATCCTAGCTTCAGTGGAGATCCTTTTTCCTCATGATAATAACTATTCCAGGAATGAATTTCCCTTCCTAGCGTAGGTTTCCCTCACTTCCTATTGTCTCAGTCCAATTATTAACTGTGAGTTGCTTGTAGTAATATGTTTGTAATTCGGGATTGCCTGACTATTTGACCTCCAGCTAGTATTGCCATGGCCTCAACACGTCTCTCTTCAAATAATTAAAATAATCAAGGTAAATATTCCCCAATACTCACCCCTAACGAAGACATAAGCTCGTTGCTCTTTGTATCCGTCTTGCATCGGGATCCGGATGCTGTAAAACCCTTCATCCTCTTTGTAAGCACAAGGTACGGCCAGGGAAGCCTCACGGTCTTCACAGCGGATTTTCCTCCGGTCCGAATCTTTCAGCAGCTCTCCTGGAGCCCAAACAGAGATGCATTTTATGCTGTTGCAAAATAAATCTTCAAAAATTATGTGGGGAAGGTTATCAGAAGAAAAACTCCACATTTCTATTTATCAGCGCTGGGCATGCTTTTGAGGATGCTGGAGAAATGGAAATGGCCAGCAAGAAAGGAGGGTCAAACATCTCTTGCACTGGTTTGCTGGAGCATGTAAAAATCAGTTACTGAGTGTGTTAACTGAAAATGCAAAAGCATGAAACTGATTGGTTGGGCCATGCCTGGCGAACTAGCTGAGCCTGGGCAACAGTTACATTTTTAGGCTTGAGCTGTGCAGATACTTGTAGAGAGAGAGGCACACAGTTCTTGCTTCACCGAAAGACCATTTAAATCTCTCTCAAAAGACATTGTGTGAGTCAGTACAACTGTTTGTATGACTGTATATGTGTTGCTCTGCATTACAAAGAGTAAACTCCTTGTTCTTTGATGATCATCTGCATGGCATATTTTCTTTCTCTGTCAAGACAGTGTGGGGGCTGGTAAAACATGAGCTACCTGTGATTTTCATTACACCACATGATAGCAAAGATGTGTGTTGCATATCTGAAATAGCAAAGGAATGGTAAATTGTTTCCTCCAGTTTGGGGTAGAAAGCATGTTGACAATGGGTTGTTGTAGGTTTTTTCAGGCTATGTGGCTGTGTTCTAGAGGCATTTTCAGCTGATGTTTCGCCTACATCTATGGCAAGCATCCTCAGAGGTAGTGAGGTCTGTTGGAAGTAGGAAAATGGGTTTATATATCTGTGGAATGACCAGGGTGGGACAAAGGACTTTTGTCTGCTGGAGCTAGGTGTGAATGTTTCAACTGACCACCTTGATTAGCATTTGATGGCTTGGTAGTGCCTGGGGGGAATCTTTTGTTGAGAGTAATTTGATGTGCCTGATTGTTTCTTCTCTGTTGTTTTGCTGTTGTAATTTTAGAGTTTTTTTTAATATTGCTAGCCAGATTTTGTTCATTTTCTGGTTTCCTCCTTTCTGTTGAATTGTCGACATGCTTGTGGATTTCAAGGGCTTCTCTGTGTAGTCTGACATGGTGGTTGTGAGAGTGGTCCAGCATTTCTGTGTTCTCAAATAATATGCTGTGTCCAGGTTGGTTCATCAGGTGCTCTGCTATGGCTGACTTCTCTGGTTGAAGTAGTCTGCAGTGCCTTTCGTGTATTTCCCCAGGCACTGCCAAGCCATCAAATGCTAATTAAGGTGGTCAGTTGAAACATTCACACCTAGCTCCAGCAGACAAGAGTCCTTTGTCCCACCCTGGTCATTCCACAGATATATAAACCCATTTTCCTACTTCCAACAGACTTCACTACCTCTGAGGATGCTTGCCATAGATGCAGGCGAAACGTCAGGAGAAAATGCCTCTAGAACATGGCCATATAGCCCGGAAAAACCTACAACAACCCAGTGATTCCGGCCATGAAAGCCTTCGACAATACATGTTGACAATACTTTCAATTCAAAGTCCCAAATACAGACCATACAGTGTATTTTAAATGGTGACAGACCTGGTATTTTTCAGGTTCCCATGTCAGTAGAGCAGTGGATTAAAATGATGACCTATAGTTGAAGGAGCTCTCCAAGGTGCTGAATTCCAGCCTCAAAATAGGTTCAGTACTTTGGAGAGGTCTTCAAAAGTTATCCAATGCCTGGAATGGATTCACCATCATGCTTACATAGGGTTTTTTTTTAAAAAAAATCATGTCAGGAGCGACTTGAGAAACTGCAAGTCACTTCTGGTATGAGAGAATTGGCTGTCTGCAAGGACGTTGCCCAGGGGACGCCCGGATGATCTGATGTTTTTATCATCCTTGTGGGAGGCTTCTCTCATGTCCCCGTATGAGGAGCTGGAGCTGATAGAGGGAGCTCATCCGCCTCTCCCTGGATTTGAACCTGCGACCTGTCGGTCTTCAGTCCTGCTGGCACAGGGATTTAACCCACTGCGCCACCGGGGGCTCCCTTACATAGTGTGCCTCTACACTGCTGAATTAATGCAGTTTGATAGCTCTTTAACTGCCATGGCTTGATGCTATAAGAGCTGTAATATGCTGAGACAGAAACGCTAAAGATTTTGTAAAACTACAAACCCCATGACATGACAGCATTGATGTATGGTGAGGCCAAACTGCATTAATTCCATAGTGTAGATGCATTGCTAATTAATCAGAAATACAAACCGTCTCTGAACCAGCAGACATCCCGTTGGTGCTCCAGCAAATCCATTGTAAAGGAACAGAAAAGAGTGAATGGCTCCTTCTCGCGGGAAAAGACGTGTTTCAAAGTGGTGGCAAAGTCTGCCTCCAAGCCTCTTAGTGACTCTGAAAAAGAAGATAACACCAGGTTAGGCATGGCATGACAAGGAATCTCTTCTTGTAACACTGGATAATATTTGGCAATTTACACTCTTTCAGTCTCATAGGGGAGCCCCCGGTGGTGCAGTGGGTTAAACCCCTGTGCTGGCAGGACTGAAGACCGACAGGTCACAGGTTTGGGGAGAGCGTGGATGAGCTCCCTCTATCAGCTCCAGCTCCTCATGCAAGGACATGAGAGAAGCCTCCCACAAGGATGATAAAATATCAAAAACATCAGGGCGTCCCCTGGGCAACGTCCTTGCAGACGGCCAATTCTCTCACACCAGAAGTGACTTGCAGTTTCTCAAGTTGCTCCTGACACACAAAAAAAGAAAAGCCTCATAGGAAGGTATTGGTAACGGCAACCCTCTTCGGAATAAATCTTTCTGAGAAAACTCCATCATAGCATTACCATAATCTGGGAATTACATTAAGGCCCAAAGCAACTGTCTTGCGTCCTATATTGGGGAAATAATGGAATCTTAGAGTTGGAGGGGACCCCAAAGGCCATCTACTCTACCCCTTTCTGCCAGGCAGGAAGACACAATCTAAGTCCTCTTGACAGATGGCCATCCAGCCTCTGTTTAAAGACCACCAAAGATCCTTTTTCTGGCAATCCTTCCCTCCATTTCCCGGCATAGAAATAGATCAAAGCTGTGCGATGAAACCTCATCTGAACCTAAAAAAGAGGAACAACAGCAATGACCTAATGCCATAGACTTACTTTTGTATATCTCTGAGTCAAATCCAGACTTCTTCCCGTAATATTCTGCAAAACAGCGGAGGTGAGTTGATAAGGGAGAGCAAGACATGGGAAAAAGGGCAAAAAGGGGAAGCAAACAGGAACATTTTATTTATTTATTTATTTATTTATTTATTTATTTATTTATTGCATTTATATACCGCTTTTCTCACCCCTGGGGGGTCTCAAAGCTGTTACACATCAAATAAATGGCAAAAATTCAATGCCTCGCATATAATAAAAACAGTACATCTAAAACAATAACTATAAAGTAAATAAACATCAAACATGAACATGAAACATTTTGACATTACACTGATCCTGAGGTTGTCATCCATCTGCTACGCTATTGTTGTCACTCACTGAATGCTTGTTTACATAACAAAGTTTTAGTTGTTTCCTAAACACCAGAGGAAGGGGGCCGATCTAATCTCTCTGGGAAGGGAGTTCCACAGCTGAAGGGCCACCACTGAGAAGGCCCTGTCTCTCGCACCTGCAACAGTGGCGGGACTGAGAGCAGGACCTCCCCAGCTGATCTTAATGCTCTAATTGGCTCATAAACAGAGATATGTTTGGATAGGTAGTCTGGACCAGAACCATATAGGGATTTGATTTGTGCTCCGTAGTAGACTGGCAGCCAGTGGAGCTGATGCAACAGGGGGTTATATGCTCCCAGTATGCCGCTCCAGTAAGGAGCCTGGCTGCTGCCCTTTAGACTATTTGAAGCTTCAGAACAGTCTTCAAAGGCAACCCCACATAGAGTGCATTGCATCTAAAACACAGACATGTGCCTTTCACCTTAAGAACAGACAAGTATCCCGAGCTCTGAGGATCACCTGGGAAGGAATCCCACTGGAGCATTGCAGCACACCCAAATACCTGGGAATCACTCTGGACAATGCTCTGACCTACAAGAAGCACTGCCTGAACATCAAGCAAAAAGTGGGTGCTAGAAACAATATCATATGAAAGCTGACTGGCACAACCTGGGGAACACAACCAGATACAGTGAAGACATCTGCCCTTGCGCTATGCTACTCTGCTGCTGAGTATGCATGCCCGGTGAGGAACACATCTCACCATGCTAAAACAGTGGATGTGGCTCTTAATGAGACATGCCGCATTATCACGGGGTGTCTGCGCCCTACACCACTGGAGAAATTACACTGTCTAGCCGGTATTGCACCACCTGACATCCGCCGGGAAGTAGCAGCCAATAGTGAAAGGACCAAGACAGTGACATCTCCAGCTCATCCCCTGTTTGGGTATCAGCCAGCACGTCAACGACTTAAATCAAGAAATAGTTTTCTAAGATCTACAGAGACACTCGCTGGAACACCCCAGCAAGCGAGAGTCCAAAAGTGGCAGACTCAAACCCAGAACCTCAACCAATGGCTGATACCAAATGAGAGACTCCCCCCTGGGCACACAGAGGACTGGGCGACTTGGAAGGCGCTGAACAGACTGCGCTCTGGCACCACGAGATGCAGAGCCAACCTTCGGAAATGGGGCTACAAAGTGGAATCCACGACATGCGAGTGTGGAGAAGGGCAAACCACAGACCACCTGCTGCAATACACCCTGAGCCCTGCTACATGCACAATGGAGGACCTCCTTGCGGCAACACCAGAGGCACTCCAAGTGGCAAGATACTGGTCAAAGGACATTTAATCAACTACCAAACTCACAAATTTTGTATTCTCTCTGTTGGTTTGTTTTGTTTTTGTTAAAAATGTCTGGTTGCTGATGACACGATAAATAAATAAAATAGATATAAATAGTAGTCTATTCAAGATGTAATGAGAGCATGGACCACCATGGTCAAGTCTGACTTCCCAAGGTATGAGCACAACTGGTGCACAAGTTTAATTGTGCAAATGTTCCCCTGGTCCCCTCTGAAACTTGAGGTTCCGGGCTCAGCGATGAGTCCAGGAGGACTCCCAAGCTGCGAACCTGTGTCTTTAAAAGCCTGTTTACACTCTGTACCTTCTTAGAGCGACATCATTTTCCTTCATAAATATTTTTAAGTGAGGAAGCTATAATGAAGACACAGCTGGAGGCAGAGATGTGGTAATGGGTCTAAGAAGGAGAGGGAAACATATCCCCAGACTTACTTCGGACAAGGACCGTAGCAAAGGAGTAAGCCTCGCCATATGGGTTTTTCACCTCAACACTGTATTCTGCAGAATCGTCCAAGGAGCACCTGAAAAATAATATATTTAAAATATATTGTTTATACATTATTTTATATTATTTGCAAAACACTAGAGCCTTGAGAAGGACTCAAGGCTCAACCTTTATAAAGCAAGGTCAGGAAAACTTTGCCCTTTCTATTTCAGACCATAATTCCCATCATCCCTTACTTTTGGCTATACTAACGGGCTTTTGAGAGCTGAAGTCCAAAGCTACTAGAGTGTGCCAAAGTGTCCCAGTGCTTAAACATACATTTCATTGGTATGAATGATTTTAATGTGTTTTAATCTGTGCCTTTTAATACATGTGTTTTTATCTATGTATTCCTGTGTGGTATCTTGCCTCAAGCCTTGTGGAGATGAGGATAAAACAACAACAACAACAACAACAACAACAACACTTTATTTATCAGGGCAGATCACAGTACACATACATGGCAACCATTCAATGCCATTTGGACAGACAAGGACAGAACAGACAGAATGGAGGTATGTTGTGTCAACATACTTTTCGGTGCCTTGGAGATTATGCTCAATCTAGCCACAGGGGGGTGCTGTTGCTCCATCCTCTATGACGAAGAGTCATTAGGACTTTCTCCTTCTTTTTGGTCCCTGCATTTTCTGGTCTTTTTCTTTTATAGTATCATAAAATACCTCCCCTGCTTTTTAGTAGTACCTAATTTCTCTACTTACAGCTCTTAAGCTGTTTTCTAACTGCTTAGGTAAACAGTGAGCTGGGCTGACAGTCAGGTGCTCACTCCAACTCGGGCTTCGAACTGGCAACTTTTCGGTCGGCAGATCTTATTGCTGCTGGTGGCGATTTACCAGCTATGCTATAGTGTGGCCCATCATCATCATCAAAATCACCATAACAACATTAATAGTAAGAGTAATAATAATAATCTAATGATGTCTAAATATTTTACGTCAACAACAACCAGAAAACTCTAGCTTCTGCAATGCCTTAATTAAGATCATAAAATGGCTCTATCTTGGGATGTGTATTTTGGGAAGCTATTTAGATTGTTCTAGTACACTTCCCTGCAGCATTTGAGGTCTAGACAATTCTAAGTACCACTGAACTCCAAATTCCAATATTCAATAGATTCAATAGAGTGGAGACCTCGAAATTCACATGTCCCAGTGTTGGCACTGGATCAAAAAAATAACCACACATTCCCCGGGATTTTTAAGCTAGTTATGTTACCTGCGAATGTCCAAGGTCAGCATCCCAAACTCATTTTTCATCTTGTATTTCCCAGCTGGACTGAAACGGGGGTCAATCCGAACTCCATTTTTATACCTGGTCAGGTGCAAAGAAATAGGCAGGACAGAGTTTTATTGATGCTTGAATGAATGGGTCATAGTCCTATAAAGCAGCATTTCTCAACCTGAGGGTCAGGACCCCGGGGGGGGGGGGTCGCAAGGGAGGTGTCAGAGGGGTCACCTCCCTTGCGATGACACAGAAAACACAGAATTTTCTGTTGGTCATGGGAGTTCTATGTGGGAAGTTCAGCCCAATTCTATCATTGGTTGTGTTCAGAATGCTCTTTGATTGTAGGTGAACTATAAATTCCAGCAACTCCCAGCAGCTCCCAAATGTCAAGGTCTATTTTCCCAAAATTCCACCAGTATTCACATTTGGGCATATTGAGTATTCGTGTCAAGTTTGGCCCAGATCCATCATTGTTTGAGTCCACAGTGCTCTCTGGATGTAGATAAACTACAACTTTAAAACCCTTCCAGTATTTTCTGTTGGTCATGCGAGATTTGTGTGCCATTTTTGGTTCAATTCCATTGTTGGTGGAGTTCAGAATGCTCTTTGATTGTAGATTAACTATAAATCCCAACAACTGCAAGTTCCAAATGACAAAATCAACCCCCCCCCCAACCCCACTAGTATTCAGATTTGGGCAAATTGTCTATTTGTGTCAAATTAGGTCCAGTGAATGAAAATACATCCTGCATATGAGATATTTACATTACGATTCATAACAGTAGCAAAATTACAGTTATGAATTAGCAATCAAAATAATGTTATGGTTGGGGGTCACCACAACATGAGGAACTGTATTAAGGGATCGCTGCATTAGAAAGGTTGAAAACGGTTGCTATAAAGGCTACATACCCATCTATCATCATGATATTTTGGGAAATATTGTTCAGCTGATTTCAAGTTTGGACTAAAACCCAGAGCAGGTTCCTTCCTCCGCTGCTCCAAAGTCACCAGCTGGAATCTAATGCTATCAAATTTTGGGATTCCTAGTTTGCGGAGACCTCGTAAAATTATCACTCCCAATATTTCATAGTGTTGAGCCATGGCAACTGTTAAACTGCATCAGTGCTACAGTGTAGAACAGGCATAGGCAAACTTGGGCCCTCCAGATGTTTTGGACTTCAACTTCCACAATTTCTAACAGCCCCAGGCCCTTTCCTTTTCCCTCTCAGCCGCTTATTTTTTGACCCAGCATAAGTGGCTGAGGGGGAAAAGGAAAGGGCTTGAGGCTGTTAGGAACTGTGGGAGTTGAAGTCCAAAACACCTGGAGGGCCCAAGTTTGCCCATGCCTGGTGTGAAGTCTCGGCCTAGTTTATTTTCCTGTTTATTTCCCTGGAGTTGGACTGTTCCATTCTGCTAAGTTTTAGAGTAGGAGCTTAGGCTCCCCCTATAGGTTGAGCCATTTGGTTCAGCCCATTCTGCCTCAGAGTCTGGTGAAAGACTTTTTGGCTCCATTCTTTTGAACATAGTTTTAGTAGTTAGCCAGAAAGTGTCTGGTCTGGCTTAGCAGTTTGAACAGGCCATCCTTAGCACGTATTTGCCTTATCGATAGATAGTACATATACATGCAATAGTTAACAGATATATTTGCCTTATAGATAGATAGTACATATACATGCAATAGTTAACAGATATATTTGCCTTAAAGTTTATAGTATTTGTAATAAAGAATAGTTAATAGTTATATTTACCTCATAGAAATTATAGTTGTTACCTCAGAGTTTATATTTTATTATTCTAACTTTATATCATAATCAAACTGCACCTCTGTATACCTTGTTTTGTTTCACCCTGTTTATTCAGTAAACTTCATTGGTCATTTTTAGTCTTGTCTCTAGTGTTTTATTTTGAGGTATTAAAGTAATTTAGGGCATACCAATGGTCACTGGAAAAATAGCCAGACACATTTATTTTTCCCTTAATCTTCCTGGTGTGCCATCATAGTGCTAAGAGGCCTGATCGGCTTGTAGCCGATTCGGATTGCTTATAGAGAGTTAAAAAATAGAGAGCCCTCTCCTTGTGTGGAAGTGTGGAAGAGAGAAAGGCACAACATGAGGAAGAACTTCCTGACTGTGAGAGCCATTCAGCAGTGGAACTCTCTGCCCCGGAGTGTGGTGGAGGCTCCTTCTTTGGAAGCTTTTAAAAAGAGGCTGGATGGCCATCTGTCAGGGGTGATTTGAATGCAATGTTCCTGCTTCTTGGCAGGGGGTTGGACTGGATGGCCCATGAGGTCTCTTCCAACTCTTTGATTCTATGATTGTACAATGTAACAACATTTGAAACACTTTCTGTTCCTAGTTTGAAAGTGTTATTTCCTGTTTAATTATGCGGTACTTACTTTGAAAGCAGTTATTAGACTACAGAAACTTCGTTTTTGTGAATTGGGTGAGACTCTATGACAACATTTCTCAACTTGGGAGTTGGGACTTCTGGGGGAGTCATGAGGGGGTGTCAGAGGAGATGCCATAGACCATCAGAAAACACATATTTCTGATGGTCTTAGGAACCCCATTGACAGAGAAGGCTGAAGATCTCTCCACGTAACGTTCTCTTCCTTTTTGGAAACAGACAGCGAATCCCCCCACCACAAGCCCTCTTCTGCTGTGATTGGCTGGCCTCTCGGCCAAGGGGAGGGCTGTTTCTGAGTCTGCAAGGAGAGTAGAAGAGAGTAGGCGTGCTCGGCGCATGACAGTATGGTGCGCATGTGCAAGCGAGGGAGAGCAAACGAGGCTGGAGGGAGGCTTGCATCCCCTCAAGTCAGGAAAAAGGGCCCTTTGATTGTAGGTTAACTATAAATCCCAGCAACTACAACTCCCAAATGGCAAAATCAACCCCCCGCCTAACCCCACCAACATTCAAATTTGGGTGTATGGGGTATGTGTGCCAAATTTGGTGCACTGAATGAAAATACATCCTGCATATCAGATATTTACATTATGATTCATAACAGTAGCAAAATTACACTTATGAAGTAGCAACAAAACTAATTTTATGATTGGGGGTCACCACAACATGAGAAACTGTAGTAAGGGGTTTGCAGTATTAGGAAGGTTGAGAACCATTGCTCTATGAGATAGTCATTGAAAATCGAAAGCAAAATGTGCAGCAGGATAATGTTCCTCCCGCAAAAACACAGTTTTTGTAGTTTAATAAACTTTTCCCATGTTTTTATGATAGAACCAATTAGGAAATTACATTTATAACCCAGGAACCAAAATCATGTTACATAGTGTTGTCCTTACTGATGTCCTAGTCCTTCAGAGCATTCCTAGGTCAGTCTCCAAAGGGATGCCGGAGATGAAGAGCCTGGCTGCCAACTTACCAAGTCACAGTGGGCAAAGGGGAAGCCAACACAGTACATTCCAGTTTTACGCTCATTCTTTCCCAAACGACATGAGCCCGGAGCGGGATCCAAAACATAGGCGCCCGGCAGGACAGCAGCTCCATGACCTCCTTTTCCATCTGAGCCTTGGCTTCCGCCTGCAAGAAGGAGAGAATTCAAGCCTTTTATCTCCATTCTATAAATATATCTGGAGGTATGGTGCCAACAACGCTTAACCCTCTTCTGTTTCCGGAGCCTATCAACGAACCCAACATCTCTGGCATTCAATGGGTTTTTGGTCTCACTGAACCCTTCCCAAATACATAAAATGGGCCCTGAATTTTGCATATAGCTTACAGATTAAATAATTGGGAAAGATGTGGAGTGAGATATGTTATAACATTAAGGAAAATGTGTTGTCAAGCAGACAAGAGTTCTTTCTCCCTGGACATTATTCCACAGACATATAAACCTCGCTAGCCTAGTTTCCAACAGATCCCTCAACCTCTGAGGATACCTGCCATAGATGTGGGTGAAACGTCAGGAGAGAATGCTTCTGGAACATGGCCATACAGCCTGGAAAACTCACAGCAACCCACTTATTGAACATGTTTATAAAATGCTGTTTCCATGGTATATGATTCCAGAAGGATTGTCTTGAGTGGATAAAATCGCATACAGAAATGTATGTTGAAAGTATGATGAATAGGTTGGGACATTTTAATATATGCAATGGACACTTGAGAAAGTGGACATGTGAGAAATGCCTTATATTACACTATCTAACAAAATTTGAAAAAAAATATATTCCTGGTTTGAAAGTGTTATTTACTGTTTAATTTACTGTTTACTGTTTAATAGCTGCATACTAAGTAGTCCTGGGATTTATAGTTTTCCAATGTCCACACTCCTCTATGTGGGGCAGCCAAGTGCGGGAGGGGGGGGGGGTTAGGGGAGAGGGGGGAGAGTGCACCACCACTTTCTCTCCCTCTCTGCTTCCTTGCTTCTGAAACTTTTTTTTTGTCGTGTCAGGAGTGACTTGAGAAACTGCAAGTCGCTTCTGGTGTGAGAGAATTGGCTGTCTGCAAGGACATTGCCCAGGGGACGCCCGGATGATTTGATGTTTTTATCATCCTTGTGGGAGGCTTCTCTCATGTCCCCGTATGAGGAGCTGGAGCTGATAGAGGGAGCTCATCCGCCTCTCCCCGGATTCGAACCTGTGACCTGTCAGTCTTCAGTCCTGCCGGCACAGGGGTTTAACCCACTGCGCCACCGGGGGCTCTGCTTCTGAAACTGAAGACATGTAACAGCTGACATTTCAGAGAAAGGAGTTTTCCCCCCACAAAGAACATAGGCCATGTGTAGCGATTACAATATGATGGCAAATCTACTGAAAGAACGCTGAGTACGACTGAGTAACACAGATACCGTTAACAGTGTGATGAAGGAAATCATCTGTTTCGTTTCAAAACTGAGTAAGACTGAGCTCTACTCTACCAAACACTTCCCTGCTTCAATGTGATGAAGTCCCTGGTGTTTTTGCAGTCTAATAAATTTTCCCATGTCTTGATGATAGAAACCAATTAGGAAATGACATGTATAATCCAGGAACAAAAATCTCATAGTTGCTGCTGCTGCTGTTGTTGTTATATTAATTGATATTCCATTTTTTCTCTCCACAAAGAAGACTCAAAGTGGCTTATAAAGACTACAAATCTCAACATTCCCTTTCACTGAGTCATGGCAGTTCAAGTGTTGTTAGATTGAACAGCACAGATACACTCAGAGCTTGTTGTTACCCTGAATGGAAAAAACCCACACTTCTTTGTTTGCTGATACTATTTACAGGAGTTGCTACTAAAAATACAAAACAAATGCAAATCTGGTCCCCCTTCACACTCTAAAACCAAAGTATCCATAGCAAAATAAGCCCAAGATTATTGCCTGGATGCCTAGCAAGAAAACCTGGCAGTGTCGGTAGTCTCAAACTGGATTACTTCTACAGTGTGGATGCACTACAGCAGGGGTCCTCAAACTAAGGCCCGGGGGCTGGATACGGCCCTCCAAGGTCATTTACCTGGCCCTCGCTAATGGTCAACCTAAGTCTGAAATGGCTTGAAAGCACACAACAACAACAACAACCCTATCTCATCAGCCAAATCAGGCCCATACTTCCCATTGAAATAATAATAAGTTTATATTTGTTAAAATTGTTCTTCATTTTAATTATTGTATTGTTTTAAAGTGGTTTTTTGCACTACAAATATGTGCAGTGTGCATAGGAATTTATTCATGCTTTTTTCGAATTATAATCCGGCCCTCCAACAGTTTGAGAGACTGTGACCTGGCCCTCTGTTTTAAAAGTTTGAGGATCCCTGCACTACAGCAACAAATCCCAAACAGATGTGTGTTGAAGCCATTTATGGAACTGGGTTACTGTGAGTTTTCTGGGCTGTATAGAACATGGCTATACAGCCCAGAAAACTCACAGCAACCCAGTGATTCTGACCATGAAAGCCTTCGACAACACATACATGGAATGTTGTTCTTTTGGGAAAGTGTGGATATGTGACCATACTCCAGATGGAGCTCTTTGAAAGTTTCTCAATCAGCCTAAGGCTCAAAGGTGGATCTGGGTTGAAGGTTATGATGTTTCGCTGGAATGCCTTATCTGCGTTTAATGACCTCTCTGCTGCACTTTACTCTGCTTTCCTTGCTGCGGGCATCATGTGAACCCAAAGCAAACATGTCCAACTCCTGGGCAGAGTCTGCTTTACCAAGTGCTCCCCAAGACACACACTCTTCCACTCACCTTTCTCCGCAGGGCCTTCCGGTCTGCCTTCACACGCAAGAGCCGGCAATTGCGAATGACCTCTTTCTCCAACTTTTCCATGTCGTTCCCAAAACGGACCTGCATCTGTCCCCTCTCCTCCAGCTTCAGGATGGCAGCCTCCCGTCTCATCCGGGTTTCCCTGTGAATGAAGAGCATCAAGGATCATACAGTACAGGCTGTCCCCGAGTTACAGGCATCCGACTTACAAATGACTCCTAGTTAAGAACGGGGCTGTGACAACAGGAAGTGAGAGAAAACAGGAGGGATTAACATAACTCAAAAACCACTGGGTGAATTGACACCAAATTTGGACACAATACACCTATCAGGCCAACAAGCGACCATCACTCATAACCCCCCCCCAAAAAAACACAGTGGAAGAGACTTAAAAAGCCAAAAAATAAAAAATACATTACAACGCATGCGCAAAACTACATATATACACATATACACAACTATATACACACACACAAAACACATATACACAGACTGGGCCACAACAACATGTGGCAGGAGATGGCTAGTATACACACACACACACAGGGCTGTAGCCAGAAAAAAAATTCGGGGGGGGGGGGGGGGGGGGGGTTGAAACTTTTTTTAGCAAATCATGAAGAGTAGTTCGATAACACAACAACATTTTTAATACATTCCAAAGACTCTTATTGCTCCGTAAAAGGTATAAGATACAAGGTATCCAAGGTTAGTAAGGCCAAAAATAGCCAAGAAATAGTTTTTTTAACCTGAAAATGATCTTGTTCATAACTCTAAGGCCCCATCTACACTTCCATTTCATAGTGTAGATTATCTTCTTTGACCTGGATGTTATGGTAGAGTAGACTCACATAATCCAGTTCAATACAGTTCAATCTGTATTATATGAGGCTGGATCTACACTGTCATACAATCCAGATTCTGAATCCAGATTATGTGCTTTGGACTGGATATCATGAGTCTACACTGCCATATAATCCAGTTCAAAGAAGACAATCTGGATTCAGAAACTGGAGGTGCAATCTACACTTCCCATACAATGCAGTTTGAACAGGATTATATGGTCAGTGTAGACCAGTGGTTCCCAACCTTTTTTTTGACCAAGGACCACCTGACCAGGGACCACTTTGAACAGCGACCACTCTCCAACATTAGTACCAAAAGTGTTACAAATCAGTTTTTGGTCAACTTTAGATTCAGCTTGGTTATTTGGGGTGCTGATTCAGAAAATTGCATTGAATAGACCACATCAGCTCTAGTTTCTGATACAGAACATACGCCATCTAGTAGTCGCCATTTGCTCACCCACAGAAAACCATATTTAATAACCTAGAGCCATGGCCCTTATTTTAGGTCTCGCAGCCCACCAGTGGGCTGCGGTGCACAGGTTGGGAATCACTGGTGTAGACTCACATAATGCAGATTGAACTGCACCAAATTGGATTATATGTATCTACACTGCCATGTAATCCAGCTCAAAGCAGATAATCTGGATTCAGAAACCGGAGGTGCAATCTATACTGCCATATAATGTAGTTTGAACTGGATTATATGGTCAGTGTAGACTCATATAATGCAGATTGGACTGCACCAAACTGTAATATATATATCTACACTGCCATATAATGCAGTTCAAAATGCATTATAATAGTAGTGTAGATGGGGCTTTAGTCTGACACCCAATCCACTTCAAACTGCATTATAATGGCAATGTAGATGGGGCCTCAGGCTGAATCCTGATTTTCCACATTGAAGTGGATTATATGGCAAGGTAGACTCATATAATCGACTTCAAAGCAGATGATATGGATCCAGCCCTGCTTAGCTTCCAAGATAGTAGGGTTGCCATGCATTGCTTTGAAGGTGCATGCACATATAGACAACACAATTGGCAAGGGGAGAAAAAGTAACATCTGCTGACTCAGAGTTGTCATTTTCTCCAGTGCCCTCCTTTATGGCAGTTTTGCCTTCAGCCCTTTTTCTTCTGGCATATTTTGTTTTCTAAATACCCTAAATACTGGCAGGAATCCAGCTTGATCGGGCGAGACAGAACTTGAGCTGGATGAGCCAACTTGTTATTAGGCAGCTCCCTATCTTTCAGGGAAATCTGATAGTTCTTATAGTACATCTTGCAGACAGAACCAAAGTCCATCTATGTCTTCGGGTGCATCTACACTGTAGAATGAATTATAGTTATAGTTCCACAAGGCCCCCTCTGCCAAGGGAAGTCATGCTCCCCCTCTATTTTGCCTTGGTCAGCCCACAACTGGAATACTGTGTCCAATTCCGGACACTACAATTGAAGGGAGATGTTGACAAGTTGGAATGTGTCCAGAGGAGGGCGACTAAAATGATCAAGGATTTAGAAAAACAAACCCTATGAGGAGCGGCTTAAAGAGCTGAGCATGTTTTGCCTTCAGAAGAGAAAACTGAAAGGAGACATGATGAGGGCCATGTATCAAGATGTGAGGGGAAGTCATAGGGACAAGGGAGGAAGCTTGTTTTCTGCTGCCCTGGAGAGTAGGATACTGAACAATGGCTCCAAACTACAGGAAAGGAGATTCCACCTGAACATGAGGAAGAACTTTGTAACTGTGAGAGCTGTTCAGCAGTGGAACTCTCTGCCCCGGAATGTGGTGGAGGTTCCTTCTTTGGAGGCTTTTAAGCAGAGGCTGGATGGCCATCTGTTGGGGGTGCTTTGAATGTGATTCTCCTGTTTCTTGGCAGGGGATTGGCCTGGATGGCCCACAAGGTTGCTTCCAACTCAATGATTCTATGATTCTAAGTATTATTGGGGCCTCACCAAACTACAACTCCCACGATTCCATAGCCGTGAGCCATGGAGGTTCAAGTGGGAATCAAACTGCATTTATTCTACAGTGTAGATGCACCCTGAGGTGTCTTTTTTGAAATGTTGGAGGGTATGGACTATATGAGGAGCCCCCAGTGGCACAGTGGGTTAAACTGCTGAGCTGCTGAGCTTGTTGACCGAAAGGTCACAGGTTCAAATCCGGGTAGTGGCGTGAGCTTCCGCTGTTAGCCCCAGCTTCTGCCAACCTAGCAGTTCAAAAACATGCAAATGTGAGAAGATCAATAAGTACTGCTCTGGCGGGAAGGTAACGGCGCTCCATGCAGTTATGCCAGCCACATGACCTTCGAGATGTCTACGGACAATGCCAGTTCTTTGGCTTAGGAATGGAGATGAGCACCATACCCCAGAGTCGGACACGACTGGACTTAATGTTAGGGGAAACCTTTACCTTTTCCTATAGACTATATGATCCAGCATTCCTCAATGAGGATACAAACAAAAGGGAGTTGCAACCCAACAATATCTAGACGACCACAAGTTGCTGAGTCCTGATTTCATGTGCCTCGCCTTGACTCATTAAGAGAGGGGGTAAGAAATAAATTGTATTATTGTTGTTGTTGTTGTTATTGTTGTCGTCATCATTATTATTATCATTATTTGAAACACAACAAGATTAGTACACAGCAAACAAGATCACTATGCTGGCTGTTGATTTGAATCACACGTCGGACACTTCCCAAGTGTCTAGGACTGTGTGATGTATCAGCGAATAATGCGTGCCGATCCAAGTAGGGTGGCCTTTTGCAGCTGACAGATTGTATTTAAATGCAGGCTAAGGTCTTTAGGCACTGTGTGCCAATCACCACTGGGATCCACCTTTACTCACTTGTGCCAGATTCTTTATTATTATTATTATTATTATTATTATTATTATTATTATTATTATTATTTTAAACACAACAAGATGAGTCCACATCAGACACTCTGCTGGCTGTTGAATTGGATCACACGTTGGACACTTCCCAAGTGTCTAGGACTGTGTGATGTATCAGCGAATAATGCGTGCAGATCCCAGTAAGGTGGCCTTCTGCAGCTGGCAGATGGCAATTTTGTCAGCGCCGATTGTGTTTAAGTGCAGGCCAAGGTCTTTAGGCACTGCACCCAGTGTGCTGATCACCACTGGAACCACCTTTACTGGTTTGTGCCAGAGTCTTTGCAGTTCGATTTTTAAATCCTCATATCGTGTCAGCTTTTCCAGTTGTTTCTCTGCAATCCTGCTGTCACCTGGGATTGCGACATTGACGATCCATACTTTGTTTTTTTAACACAATTTTGAGGTCAGGAGTATTATGCTCCAAAACTCTGTCTGTCTGAGTCCGGAAGTCCCAGAGGAGTTTGGCGTGTTTATTATTATTATTATTATTATTATTATTATTATTATTATTATTATTGATCTGCAGATTTTGTACATATTTATATGAAACTCTCTGTTCTTTAGGAAAATAGAAAATAGGTTTTTTTGTACGTACCATGATACTTCCGATGTCAACGCAAGAGCGGATGCGATGGATAACTCTGAAGCTGTGAAGCCTTCCTCTTCCTCACTGTTGAGAGATCAAAAGGGCGAGAATAGATAAAAATAAAAGCATGTAGGAATTCTGATGATTTCAGAGCTTTTTCCCTTTGCCACTACTGTGTCTGAATTGTCCGTAGGTACTTCTACAGCAGTGTTTCTCAATCTGGGGGTCAGGACCCCCGTGGGGGTCGCAAGGGAGGTTTTAGAGGGGTCACCAAAGACCATCAGAAAACACATATTTCTGATGGTTTTAGGAACCCCTTTGGCAGAGAAGGCTGAGGATCTCCCCGCCTCTTCTTCTCTTCCTTTTTGGAAACAGACAGCAAATAGCCCTCCTCCTGCTCTCTGGTTGTAAGTGAACTAACACTCCAAAACTCATGGTCAATGCCCAACAAACCCTTCCAGTCTTTTCTGTTGGTAAGGGAGTTCTGTTTGCCAAGATTGGTTCAATTCCGTTATTGGTAGAGTTCAGAATGCTCTTTGATTGTAGGTGAACTATAAACCCCAGCAACTACAACTCCCAAATGTCAAGGTCTATTTTCCTCAAACTCCACCAATGTTCACATTTGGGCACATTGAGTATTTGTGCCTAGTATGGTCCAGATCCATCATTGTTTGAGTCCACAGTACTCTCTGGATATAGGTGAACTACAACTCTAAACCTCAAGGCCAATGCCCACCAAACCCTTCCAATATTTTCTGTTGGTCATGGGAGTTCTGTGTGCCAAGTTTAATTCAATTCCATCGTTGGTGGAGTTTAGAATGCTCTTTGATTGTAGGTTAACTATAAATCCCAGCAAGTACAACTCCCAAACCCACCAGTATTCCAATTTATGCATATCGGGTATTTGTGCCAAATTTGGTCCAGTGAATGAAAATACATCCTGCATCCTACGATTCATAACAATAGCAAAATTAGTTATGAAGTAGCAACAAAAATAACTTTATGGTTTGGGGGTAACCACAACATGAGGAACTGTATTAAGGAGTCACGGCAATAGGAAGGTTGAGAAACACTGATCTACACTGTGGAGTTAATGCAGTTTGACACCATGTAGGCTGCCATAGTTCAACACTATGCAATCCTGTTTTACAAGGTTTTAAAAGAGCATTAGCCTTCTCTGCCAATGAGTGCTGGTGTGTAATGATTCTTACCTAGTAGGTCGAAGGAGAAGCCTGGGATATCAGTGAGGCAGGCCTCTATTTTGGGAGTGTAAGCCAGGGAAGCAGACATCTTGTGAGGGTAAAGTGAGAAGAGGGGAGGAGCTGGAGCTCTCCTAGGATTGGTTAGGACAGATGGGAGGAGCCAAGTCCTGGGAGGGAAGAGTGTCAGCTTCTAAGAGAGCAGGGAGATTGAATTTGGGAATTGAAGAAGGGAGATGAGTTTTGGGAACAGAAGAGAGGAGAGGTATTTTTGAGCTTAGGGTTTTCTGACAGAGAGTGTTTGTGGCAGGCAAGGCTGCATTATTGGCCAGTCCGGTCAAGTAGTCGCCTGATGGCTTGTGGGTGTTTGCACAAGTGGTTTGCTCTCTGGGTAGAGTAGATTGGCTATAGAGAACTCTGATTAGAGTGGGCTAATTGCTCTGAAGACAGCCTGAGTAGGTTAGTCTGGGGAACTCACTGCTACTGTGTTACTGTAGAGTGAGGAGTTTTGGTAGTAGTTAAGTCAAGTAACCTGTTTAAAGAAAKCATCAAGATTATTGTACTTTAGTAACCATTTAAGCTTTTGTGCCTCATCAAAGAAGTCAGTTGTTTGTTTGATCTTATCAATAAATCTTTTCTCTATTTCAACTTTTAAAGAAGCCTCAATTGTAATTCATCCCTATGGGGATAATTCTAGTTTCTTTAAGATCTTAACATCAGTCATTTTTGGGAGCTAAGAGAGAGCTGTATTGGGTTGGCAGGGAATAGTTTACCMCAGAGAATCATCGTTAATATCCTAAGGCAGTGGTTCTCAACCTGGGGGTCGGGACCCCTGAGGGGGTCGCGAGGGGGTGTTAGAGGGGTCGCCAAACACCATCAGAAAACACAGTATGTTGTGTTGGTCGTGGGGGTTCTGAGTGGGAAGTTTGGGCCAATTCTATCATTGATGGGGTTCAGAATGCTCTTTCATGGTAGGTGAACTATAAATCCCAGCAACTACAACTCCCAAATGTCAAGATCTAATTTCCCCAAATGCCAGATTTGGGCATATTGAGTATTTGTGCCAAGTTAGGTCCAGATCCATCATTGTTTGAGTCCACAGTGCTCTCTGGATCTAGGTGAACTACAACTCCCAAACTCAAGGTCAGTGCCCACCAAACCCTTCCAGTATTTTCTGTTGGTCATGGGACTTCTGTGTGCCAAGTTTGGTTAAATTCCATTGTTGGTGGAGTTCAGAATGCTCTTTGATTTTAGGTGAACTATAAATCCCAGCAACTACAACTCCCAATTGACAAATCAACCCCTCGCCCAACCCCACTAGTATTCAAATTTGGGTGTATTGGGTATTTGTGCCAAATTTGGTCCAGTGAATGAAAATACATCCTGCATATTGGATACATTACAATTCGTACATTACAATTCGTAATAGTAGCAAATTTACAGTTATGAAGCAACAACGAAAATAATATTATGGTTGGGGGTCACCACAACATGAGGATCTGTATTAAGGGGTCATGGCATTAGGAAGGTTGAGAAATACTGTCCTAAGGTGTTAAGTGGTGGCAGCAAATATACCAGGAGAAGATTGAAGCGGTGTTCATTTTTACCAGAGCACACCCATTACATCATATACACATAATACTTCCATGTAAGAAATCCTTTATACTGGTGTCAGCAGGTGGGATGTGATATATTTCCCCCCTTCATCTTTCCCCGATCTGTTAAATGGTGCCTCCCCAAACTACAAAGTGCAGAATTCCATAGCATTGAACCATAGCAGTTAAAGTGGTACTAAACTGCGTTAATATCATAGAGCAGATGGATCCTGTGTTGCATGCTTTCTTTAACTTGTCAGCATCACCTTGTCTTGAACTTGGCTTTTCTTGTTCTGGAGGTCATTTGCAGATCTCGGTGCCTCTCTTCCTTTTGCTCCTCTTCCCTTCGCTGGAAAAAGGTTCGGGTTTCCATGCCGGCGGGTATTTCGGAAGAATTTTCCCTGCCAGAACGACAACATCAACATAATAAAGAAATATAGCCTTTAAAAAGTAGGGAAACAACAACAAGAAGAAAGGGTAGGCAATCTGACGTCCTTCAGATAGTTTGGGCTACAACTCCAATGGGCCCCAAACTAGTGGCCCACAATTATTATTATTATTATTATTATTATTATTATTATTATTATTATTATTATCTTTATTTGTACCCCGCTAGCATCTCCCGAAGGACTCGATGCGGCTTACAAAGGCCAAGGCCTCAAAACACAACATAACAATACAACACCTAAGCAAATTAAAAACAGTTAAAGCAATATTAAACAACAAACAGTAAACAATACATCAAGACACTATAAAAACTGGGCCGGGCCAGGGTAATGGGTACAAGATTAAAAGTGCTGATGTGACAGGTGATATGTAAGGATTAAAGGGTAAGTGCAGTGTGCAGAGTGCAGCAATCTTAGTTCTAATAAAGTGCTTCTGGGACTTGGTATTGGAGATTTCCTAATCTGGGAAGGCACATCGGAACAGCCAGGGCTTCAAGTTCTTTCTAAAGACTGCCAATGTAGGGGCCTGTCTAGATCTTTTGGGAGGGTGTTCCAGAGTCGGGGGGCCACCACGGAAAAGGCCCTGTCTCGCATCCCCACCAAGCGTGCCTGCAACGCAGGCAGGATCACGAGCAGGGCCTCTCCCGATGAACGAAGTGAGCGCGTGGGTTCATAAATGGAGATGCGGTCACGCAGGTAGAATGGTCCCAAACCGTTTAGGGCTTTGTAGGTAAGCAATGATGGGATTTGCCATCTGAAAGATCTGGATGGCACTACATGGCCTGCCTTCGCTGGGAGCCATCTCCATTCCCTGTCCCAGAAATATGGATTTCCTTTCCGCCTTGTTGTGAGTTTTCCGGGCTGTATGGCTATGTTCCAGAAGCATTCTCTCCTGACATTTCACCCACATCTATGGCAGGCATCCTCAGTGGTTGAGGGATCTGTTGAAAACTAAGCAAGGGAGTTTATATATCTGTGGAAGGTCCAGAGTGGGAGAAAGAACTCTTGTCTGCTTGAGGCAAGTGTGAATGTTGCAATTGGCCACCTAGATTAACATAGAATGGCCTTGCAGCTTCAAAGCCTGGCTGGTTGTTGCCTGAGGAAACCCTTTGTTGGGAGATGTTTGCTGATTCTTGTCTGGATTTCCCCTGCCTTTTGAGAAATAAGCAATTCCTAACAGCCTTGGGCACTTTTCTATTTGAGGCATATGTTAACTCTTGTCTGTTTGAGGCATGTGTGAATGTTGCAATTTGCCATATTGATTAGCATTTAATGGCCTTGAAGTATCAAAGCCTTGGCTGGTTGCTGCCTGTCTGTTGGAAATGAGGCAAGGGAGGTTCATATACCTGTGGGATAGTGTCCAGGGTCGGAGAAAGAACTCTTGTCTGTTAGAGGCAGGTGGGAATTTTGCCACTGACCACCTTAATTAGCAATAAATGGCTGATTGCTTCCTGACTGGTGGAATCCTTGGTTAGGGGGGTGTTAGCTGGCCCTGATTGTTTCCTGTCTGGAATTCCCCCGTATTCTGAGTGTTGTTATTTATTTATATATAGTATGACCATTGTGTCCTCAGGGGATAAATTCAGGGGATAAATTCCTGAATTCATTGCAGAAACAAGAAATTGTGAATAATAGCAAACCCTATTGAAATGAACAGCATCCACTAAAACAGTGTTTCTCAACCTTCCTAATGCTGTGACCACTTAATACAGTTCCTCATGTTGTGGTGACCCCCAAACATAGAATTATTTTTGTTGCTACTTCATAACTGTAATTTTGCTATTGTTATGAATTGTAATGTAAATATCTGATATGCAGGATGTATTTTCATTCACTGCACCAAATTTGGTACAAATGCCCAATACACCCCAACTTGATTATTATTATTATTATTATTATTATTATTATTATTATTATTAAACTTTATTTGTACCCCGCTAGCATCTCCCGAAGGACTCGATGCGGCTTACAAAGGCCAAGGCCTCAATACACAATACAACAATACACTCACAATATTGGTGGGCTTGGGGGAGAGTTGTCATTTGTGAGTTGTAGTTGCTGGGATTCATAGTTCACCTACAATCAAAGAACTCCACCAACAATGAAATTGAACCAAACTTGGCACACAGAACTCCCATGACCATCAGAAAATACTGGAAAGGTTTGGTGGGCGTTGACCTTGAATTTTCGAGTTGTAGTTCACCTACATCCAGAGAGCACTGTGAACTCAAAGAATGATGGATCTGGACCAAACTTGGCATGAATACTCAATATGGCCAAATGTGGACGCTGGTGAAGTTTGGGGAAAATAGACCTTGACATTTGGGAGTTGTAGATGCTGGGATTTATAGTTCACCTACAATCAAAGAGCCCCTTGAACCCCACCAACGATAGAATTGGGCCAAAATTCCCACACAGAACCCCAATGACCAGCTAAAATACTGTGTTTTCAGATGGTCTTTGGCGACCTCCCTGACACCCCCTCGCGACCCCCCCAGGGGTCCCGACCCCCAGGTTGAGAAACACTGCACTAAAATTTATTTATTTATTTATTTACTTTACTTGTATACCGCAGTTTCTCAGCCCAACAGGCGACTCAACGCGGTTTACAACAAGGATAAGAATCAATCAACGATATACAATTTAAAACCATAAAAGCATAATATACAATATTGACACAACAATAGACAACACAATGCATCTCATAACTAGAGTCGTGATCCAATCCGTCGTCCAAATTTCCATTCCTGTAATCATCACATTCATTGCACTGTTTAACCGAATGCCCGTTCAAACATCCAAGTTTTTAATCTTCTTCGGAACACCATTAGCGAGGGGGCTGATCTTACCTCCATAGGAAGGGCGTTCCACAGCCAGGGGGCCACCACAGAAAAGGCCCTGTCTCTCGTCCCTGCCAGCCGCACCTGTGAAGCAGGCGGGATAGAGAGCAGGGCCTCCCCAGAAGATCTTATAGGTAACATTAAGTCATGAAAATTGTCAGAAAGAGATCCAGTTCCAAAGTCTGTAACACAAAATTCAAAAATGGATTCCGATCCCAAGAATAGAGATTCCTCCTAAATATTTGGAAGAACTTTCTGACTGTAAGAACTGTTCACTGGTGGATAGGATTGCCTTGTGTATGAATAGACATTCCTCCTTAGGAAGTCTTTAAAGCGATGTTGGGTGGATATCTTTCCAGAATATTTTATTGGGGGCTTGACTAGATGACCTTTGGGGTTCCCCTTGATGCCATGATTCCCTACAAATTCCCCATCAATGGGGATTTTTTCCTCTTCCTTTCTCATTGTTCATTCAGAAGATAGGCTTTCTGTTTTAACTAGCGCCTATTATTTTGATGCTTGAAAGCAAGCAAGGGCTTTTAAAATAGCCCAAGGGTAAGAGCACAGACACAAAATGCTCGGGCTTAACAACACATGTGTTCCTATCACTCTTGAACTAGGAAAAGCTCAGATAGACAGTAAGGCTTTTGTCTCAAAAGCAAGGCGAGACCAACAGAGGAAACAATTATTTTCCTGAAATGCAACCATTTTAAACAGCTGTGCAAAATACTTAAAAGAAAATAAAAGATGTTTCAAAGGGTAGGAAACTGGACTGGAGGAAGGTAAAGACCAATTTCCCAAAATTTGGTGGGTTTAACATTTGCAAAATGGATCCATATAGTATCCCTGGGGGTGCATCTACACTACAGAGCAGTGTTTCTCAACCTGGGGGGGGGGTCGGAAGGGGGGTTTCAGAGGGGTCGCCAACAATCATCAGAAAAAACATATTTCTGATAGTCTTAGGAACCCCTTTGACAGAAAAGGCTGTAGATTTATCTGCCTGTCCTTCTCTTCCTTTTTGGTGTTGGTTAACTACAACTTTCAAAATTCAAAAACAGCCCCTCAACTTCACCAGTAATCAATGTTGTCTATGTAGGTAATGTGCCAAGTTTTGTGCAGATCCATTGTGGGCTGGATTCAGAGTGCTCTTTGATTGTAGGTGAACTAGAAATCCCAGCAACTACAAATCCCAAATGTCAAGGTCTATTTCCCCCCAATCCCACCAGTGTTCACATTTGGACATATTGAGTATTTGTGCCAAGTTTGGTCCAGATCCATCATTGTCTGAATCCACAGTACTCTCTGGATGTAGGTGAACTACAACTTCAAAACTCAAGGTCAATGCTCAGCAAACCCTTCCAGCATTTTGTGTTGGTCATGGGAGTTCTGTGCCAAGTTTGGTTCCGTTCCATCGTTGGCGGAGTTCAGAATGCTCTTTGATTGTAGGTGAACTATAAATCCCAGCAACTACAACTCCCAAATGACAAAACCACACACCCTCAACCCTACCAGTATTCAAATGTGGGCCTATCGGGTATTTGTGCCAAATTTGGTCCAATGAATGAAGACACATCCAGTATAACAGATATTTACATTACGATTCATAATAATAGCAAAATAACAGTTAGGAAGTAGCAACGAAAATAATTTTATGGTTGGGGGTCCCACAATATGAAGTATTAAAGGGTCCCGGCATTAGGAACGTTGAGAACCATTGCTGTAGAGTTAAGACAGTTTGATACCACTCTCACTGCCATGGCTCAATGCTTTGGAGTCCTGGGAGTTGTAGTTAGCACTCTTTGGCAGGAAAGGAGAAAGACTGTGTCAAACTACAACTCCCATTATTCCATAAGTAGTTAGAGTGGCATCAAACTGCATTAACTCTACAGTATAGATCAGGCATGGGCAAACTTTGGCCTTCCAGGTGTTTTGGACTTCAACTCCCACAATTACTAGCAGCCTCAGACCCCTTAAGGCTTAAGCAGCTGAGGGGGAAAGGAAAGGACCTGAGGCTGTTAGGAATTGTGGGAGTTGGAGTCCGAAACACCTGGAAGGCCAAAGTTTGCCCATGTCAGTATAGCATTGGAGCCCCCGGTGGCGCAGTGGGTTAAACCCTAGTGTCGGCAAGGACTGAAGACCGACAGGTTGCAGGTTCGAATCCGAGGAGAGGCGGATGAGCTCCCTCTATCAGCTCCAGCTCCTCATACGGGGACATGAGAGAAGCCTCCCACAAGGATGATAAAAACATCAAATCATCCAGGCGTTCCCTGGGCAACATCCTTGCACACGGTCAATTCTGTCACAACAGAAATGAGTTGCAGTTTCTCAAGTCGCTCCTGACACGACAAACAAACAAACAAACAAACAAAAAACTATAGTATTAATGCAGTTTGGCACTACTTGAACTTCCAAGGCTCAATGCTATGGCATCATGGGAGTTTATAAGGTCTTGAGCCTTCTCTGCCTGAGCTAGAGATCAAAGACCTTGTGATACTACAACTCTCAGGATTCCATAATATTGAGCCATGGGAGCTAATGGGTGGCCAAACTGCGCGCATTCTGCATTGTAGATGCACTCCCTTTAATGTTCAAAGCAAGGCAGGAGTTTGGAAAGGGAAGCATGGATTACCTTGGTTTCAAAAGGGGCAATCCTCCATCTGCGAATGGCAACCCCAAAGGCAGGGAAAGGCTGCGGTGCCAGTCCCGAGGAATGATCCACGGACAAAAGAGGGATGGCCTTCCCCTTTCCGTGGCATCAAGGATGACAGTGTCCCCGCAAGAATGTGCCCAAGGATCAACTGCCCACCCTTCGCGGCCTGAAATATCACATTATCTCATGTCACTTCAACGACAATGGAGAGGACCATCCTGGAATTACGGTCCACAAACAGCTCTCTGCCCAGACAAGCAAGATCGTTTTCCGAGGCCTGAGAGTATTTATGTCCTTTGTCGGACCAGAATAAGAAAGAGGAATGAGCATTGCGCCTTCTTGAAACCTTTCAGCGAAGTGAACGTTTCTACTTTCTTTTACTCAAGTTTTTAAGTTGAACTCAAGAGTGCATCTACACTGTAGAATGAATGTAGTTTGATACCACTTTAACTGCCCTGGCTCAATGCTATGGAATCAAGGGAGGTGTGCTGTTCACAAGCTCTGTAGCCTTCTCTGCTCAAGAGCGTTGTTGCCTCCACAAACTACAAATCCCAGTATTCCATATTGAGCCCTGGCAATTAAAATGGAGTCAAACTGCATTAATTTTCCAGTGTAAATGCGCTCCAAAAGCCAGGGATTGATACAACCCTTAGAAAAACGTGGATGTTCATTTCCATCAACTCCCGCTATCAGTGTTGATAAGAAGGAATGCTGGCAGTTGCAAAACAATGTTTTTAATTAAGAGACGCAAATGATCTATGTTTTAATATTCTTGTTATGGTTTTATATTATGTGTTAATGTTTTAAAATGTTTAATGGTGTTTTTGGGCATCGAATCGTTACCATTGTAAACCGCCCTGAGTTGCCTGAGGGCTGAGAAGGGTAGTATACAAATACAGCAAATAAATAAGTAAATAAACAAACATTTGAAATGTGGCATTTCATATAATCATAGAATTATAGAGTTGGAAGAGATCTTGTGGGCCATCCAATCCAACCCCATTCTGCCAAGAAGCAGGAAAATTGCATTCAAAGCACGCCTGACAGATGGCCATCCAGCTTCTGCTTAAAAGCCTCCAAAGAAGGAGCCTCCGCCTAACTCAGCGGCAGAGAGTTCCACTGCCGAACAGCTCTCACAGTCAGGAAGTTGTTCCTAATGTTCAGGTGGAATCTCCTTTCCTATAAGAAAAGGAAAGGGCTGGAGGCTGTTAGGAATTGTGGGAGTTTGCGTCCAAAACACCTGGAAGGCCAAAGTTTGTCCATGCCTGGGCTACAGGCCAAAGACTTTGTAAAACTACTAGCCAGATTTTGTTCATTTTCTACACAGAGAAACCATTGAAATCCATGAGCATGTGGACAATTTTAACAGAAAGGAGGAAACCATGAAAATGAACAAAAATTGTCTACCAGTATTTTTAAAAAAATCAGAACTGTAAATAAAGAATAGCATTCAAAAAGCAGGGGAATTCCAGGTAGGAATTAATCAGGGTCAGCTAACACCTCCCAACCAAGGATTCCCTCACGCAGCAACCAGCCAGGCTTTGAAAGTGCAAGGCCATTAAATGCTAATCAAGGTGTCAAATTGCAACATGCCTCAAACAGAAAAGGGCCTGAGGCTTTTAGGAATTATTTATTTCTCAAAAAGCAGGGGAATTCCAGACAAGAATCAATCAGGGTCAGCAAACATCTCCCAACAAAGGATTTCCTCAGGCAGCAACCAGCCAGGCTTTGAAGCTGCATTCTATGTTAATCTGGGTGGCCAATTGCAACATTCACACTTGCCTCAAGCAGACAAGATTTCTTTCTCTCACTCTGGACCTTCCACAGATATATAAACTCCCTTGCTTAGTTTCCAACAGACCTCTCAACCTCTGAGGATGCCTGCCATAGATGTGGGTGAAACATCAGGAGAAAATGCTGCTGGAACATGGCCACACAATGCAGAAAACTCACAGCAACCCAATGGAATATACAATTAAAAAACACTCTAATAAGATTGGAAACCAAGTTCAAAATATCAAAAATGTATTAAAATATTGAAAACGCTTCACAACAACCCCAGACTTAGTTGAGCCTTTAGAAATAGAATTTAGGCATCTAAAGAAAAGAGACAAGGAAATTGGGAAATAGCAAATCTAGAGTTCAAGATGTGAACTATTCTCCATGTGTCCCATTTTGTGCAAAGCTGGAGGTTTTCTTTAGCAGGCAGAATTCTTAGAGAGCGAAGCGTCCTTCATCTATATCTCAGAACTGACTCCTTCTTGTCTTTGCTGGCATCCCACAGAGGATCTTTTTGCACAATGCCAGTTGGAAGGAATGAAGCGGTGGCCTTTTAGGACTGTTGGAATGGCATCAGCTGGCATGGGATCCCTGGGCGACGGCTCCTGAAAACATGTCCCATCAAGGGCTTGGGAGCCAGCCTTGGCACCCTTTGGGAATGCACCCTCCCCAGCACTCCCTGTCATTTTGAAGAAAGAGTAAACGAAACAGATGGCCAGCCTGGAACAATTGCTTTGTGTGTATGTGTATGTGTGTATGGGGCATGGAGGCAGGGAATGGTAACTGTCAAACTATCCCAAGCTGGAAGACCCAGAATAGGAAACCCTCAGCCAATACTAAACCCCTGCTGCTCTAAAGACTCGGATACAGAGCAATGGGTTCAAATGGCAGGAAAAGAGGTCCCACCTAATTATTCAACAGGAAAAAATCCTGATAGTAAGAGCTGCTTTGAAATCCTTCTGTGGAGGTTTTTAAGCAGAGTCTGGATGGTCATCTGCTGGGAATGCTTTGATGATGCTGATAATGATACTACACTCAGGGCCGTAGCCAGAAAAAAAATTCAGGGAGGGTTGAAAATTTCAGGGGGGGGGGAGGTTTGAAAAATTCGGGGGGGAGGTTTGAAAATTTGGGGAGGGGGTTAGGGTCACGCTGAAGCAAAGAGCACAGCAGGGGGCGGAGCAGCCTTCAATAGCCTGCAGCTCTGTCCCTGTCAACCACCTCCACCAAGTCTGGCCTCCTTAATGAGAGCATTCAACACCCCCCCCGCACAACTTGGTTGCTTCGCTACATCGGCTATTGCTGCAAGTAAAGACAGTGTGAATAAATTGTCAATGTGGAATGACCTCCGGCTGTGGAACGACCTCCCTGCTGACATCAGACAGGCGCCTTCCCTTCTGTCCTTCCGTAAGAGCCTGAAGACCTGGCTATTTGAGAAGGCATTCAACTGAGCGCTACGGCAACTGGTAATTGACAACTGGAACGGAATACGGATTACGATATTGGTTATGATTCTATGATGTGACGGAGCGGATTATTTAGTGTAACTAGATTATAGTGTATTATTGTTGTATTGATTCCCTGTTTTGCCCTTTTTGTAAACTGTTTTTATATGTTGTGCACCGCCGCGAGTCGCCCTAGGGCTGAGAGCGGCGGTCAATAAATGCAGTAAATAAATAAATAAATAAAATAAATAAATATTTGCTTGAGACAGTGCTTGCAGTTCTGGAGGGACCCTTAATTTTTTGCGTCTCATAGACTTTGCATGGGGATTTGATTAACCAGTTAAAATTCATGAGTAAACCAGTTTTTTTTAACCTGAAAAATTTCGGGGGGGGGGGGGGGGTTGAACCCCTAAAAGGCTACAGGCATGGCTACACTGGCAGATTATGTGAAAGGTGGTCAAGAACCAACATTGAGGGAAGTCAATAGTAGTAAACTGCTTCAAGTGCAAAAGATAAAAGAGTGAATACAGTAAAAATACAATGCAGAACAGAAGGGAAAACTGGCAAAAGAAGGTTTGCCATGGACAGTTTCTGGGAAAAACTCAGAGCCAAATTGACAAAGAAAATACATGGCTGTGGCTCCCAAATGGAACTTTGAAAAAGGAAACAGAGGGCCTGATTTTGGCAGCCCAAGAACAAGCCATTAGAAAAACTGCCATCAAAGCCAGAATTGAAACGTTGATGACAGATCCCAAGTGTAGACTGCAAGGAAGCAGATGAAATGGTAGATCAAATCTTCAGCTGCTGCAAGAAGATCACACAGACAGACTACGAGCAGAGGCATAATACCATTGCTCAGATGATCCATTGAAACTTGTGCCACAAATACAATCTGCCTGAAACAAAGAACTGGTGGGATCACAAGCCTGAAAAAGTTACAAAAAATAAACACGTCAAAATAAACACGCACAAACTCTGGGACTTCCAAATTCAGACTGACAAGAGTTTTGTAGCACAATACTCCTGACCTCACGATCGTGTTAAAAAACAAAGTATGGATTGTTGATGTTGCATTCCCAGGTGACAGCAGGATGGAAGAGAAACAACTGGAAAAGCTGACACGATATTGCTTTCATACTAACAAGAAACCTGTCAAATAATGCAAGCTACCATTTTTTTCCACTCACTTTGTAATATTATCGTACCTTTTGATTTTTGAATTGCTCCTCTGCCTTTTTCCCATGTTTTTTTAAAAACCTGATTTGCCCTTCCCTAGAAGAATAGAAAACCAAATTCATTTCCAAAGCGTCATTCAAGCTTTTCAGATAAACTCTTCTCCATAAACAGGAGCTTCCCCCCTCGCAACTTCTGCTTCTATTGGGTTCCCATTCGGGGCAATGATGAATTGCCCTTTAATCAGTCTGTTCCTGTTTCTCCTCTTTTATTGCAGAGACTGGGGATTTACAATAATAAGAGGAAATTGGCAATTGGGGGGATTGGTGCAATGAGGTGGAAGAAGTGCCGTCTTTTTCGGATCGGGAAGAGACTTTGGAACCAGAACATGGTTATTTTCAAGCTCTTTGTAAAATCCCTTTCAACAAAGAAGCACTGTTATTGTTCAATGTATTGTTGAAGGCTTTCATGGCTGGAATCACTGGGTTGCTGTAGGTTTTTCGGGCTATATGGCCATGTTCTAGAAGCATTCTCTCCTGACATTTCACCTGCATCTATGGCAAGCATCCTCAGAGCTTGTGACCTCACAACCTCTGAGGATGTTTTCCATAGATGCAGGCAAAACATCAGAAGGGAACGCTTAGAGCATGGCCATTTAGTCCGAAAAACCTACAACAACCCACTGTTATTGTTGTTTGCTTTCCAAAAGATGGTGTATAATGAATAAGAAAATACCATC